TTGATAGTAAACAAATTTTTGATAATAAGTGCTTTTAGTGACATATATTTATTAAGTAGTATACATTATATGGTTTATGACCTCTGAGATTGAGTCTGTCTAAGCCAGGTTGAGAGTCAGAGCTTGAGCGTCAACCTCAAATTGAGTCTGATCATGAGTCTTAGGCAGAGTTGAGCTTTAGCCTAAGTTTGAGCCTGCGCCTAAATTTAGCCAGTTGTAGAGCCTGAGCTTGAAGATAAGGTAGAGCCTAAATGTAAGTCTGAGCTTAAGCGTAAGCTTTTTTATATTCTGAAACGAGCCTGAGCTTGAGCCTGAGCCTGAACCTGAGCCTGAGCCTAAACCTGAGCCTGAACCTGAGAATGAGCCTAAACCTGAGCCTAAGCCTGAGCCTGAGTCTAAGTCTGAGCCCAAGCCTAAGCCAGAAACTGATTCTAAACTTGAGCTTAAAATTAAGCCTGTCTTGATCTTGAGCTTCAGTTTGAGTCTGAATGTAAGCCTAAGCCTGATTCTGAGCTTGATCCTAATTTTGAGCATGAGTCTGAGTCTGGGCATGGGCCTACGCCAGAACCTGGTTCTAAGCTTGATCCTGAACCTAAGCTTGAAACTAAGCCAGGTCTTGATCTGTTTGAGCTTTTGAATCTGAGTCTAAGCCTGAGATTGAACCTAAGCCTGAGACTAAGTCTGATACTGAATCTGATTGAATCTCTGTGCCTGATCTTGAGCCTAAGCTTGAGTCTAAACCCGAGTATGTGTCTAAGCCTGAGCCCGAGCTTTAGCACGATTTATAAAAGCTTTAAAATTTTAATCTAGCTGTTTGATTACAAAGTGTCACTTCATTTTATTTTTATGTCATTTCTGCTTTTTACTTCAACTTTTCTATATACAGTTACGTTTTTACAAGCTCTAGAACCTTTCATAAGCCCTAGCCCTTGACCTTTACACTGTTAGCCCTCCCCTCTGCTTAATAACATCTTACAAACATTGGCGCGCGAGCCGGTCGAATATATGCAAATTCGTGGTGCGAGTAGAATGTTGGTTTATTACAGTTGTAAGTCGATAAAGAATGGCAGAGACGCGATAAAAAAATGGCGCGGGTCACTCGTTCATTTATGTTATAGTATATACGAAAATGGAGGGAAACGAGTAATTTCGGGCGTTCGTTTGGCTAGCTATTTAGTTTTTTTAAAGGAAAGTGAAAGTAACTTCTTTTTTTTGTTGCGAATCTTATGGCATTAGAAAAAAAATGTTTATTTATAAAAAAAATTAAGGGCGGGGGCTTATGGGTTACTGTAATCTTATTATAGAAAGAAGGGTTCCGGTAATGTCAAGTTGATGAGGAGAGGGGGATGGAGTAAGGTTAGATTGATGAAATACGGTAAGGTTAACACTATGGGTTACGGTAATTTTACCCTTTTTTAAAAAATTAATTTTTTCTTTAAATTTTGCAACGTTAGGTTATTTTTAAACGTGTAAACAAAGTTCTTGCCATTTTTTGTTTTGTAAACAAAGTTCTTGCCATTTTTGGTGTTGTAAAGAAAGTTATTGCCACCTGTTGTATTTTAAACAAAGTCCTTGCCATTTTAAATCTTGTAAAGAAAATTCTTGCCATTTTTTTCTTTGTAAAGAAAGTTCTTGTCTTATATCTCTTGTTTACGTTTTTCATATACATGTAGACTAAAACTTTTACGCAAATTAAAACGCGTTTTTCGTTTTTGAATTAATTATAAGGTCAAATATACTAACATATGTATACTTATAACGGCTTTTTGAACTATAATAAGGCGGAAAATAGACGGCTTATACTACTGAACCTAGACCTACCGAATTCGAAGCTTACTGGTCCCAAGTATACTAAGCCTAAGCATACTAAGCCTAAACTTACTAAGCCTATTAAATCTAAGCCTACTAAGCCTAAGCCGACCAAGCTTTAGCCTACTAAGCCGAAGCCTACTAAAGCTAGTTCTACTAATTCTAAGCCTAAGCTTACTAAGCCTAAGTCTACTAAGCCTAAACCTACTAAGCCTAAGCCTACTAAGTTTAAGCCTACTAAGTCTAAGCTTGCTAAGCCTAAGCATACTAAGTCTCAGTCTACTAAGCCTAAACCTCCTAAGCGTACTAACTCTAAGCCTCATAAGTCTGCTAAGCCTACTAACTCTAAGCCTCCTAAGCCTACTAAGCCTAAGCCTACTAAGCTTAAGAATTTTATCCTAAGCCTTTAATCTTAAACTTCATAACCCAACTCTGTAAGCCTGAGCCAAGTAATCGTAAGCCGAGCTTTACTAAGCCTAACCTATTGTGTGCAAGCGTTTTATATTTTGATCTTTTTTTGTTACTGTAATCTATTTTGTGTTCTTTGGCTAACAACACTATTTACCGTATTTTACACTATAAATAAGAATTTATAGTGGAGAATAGGGGGTTGTAGTGTAATTTCTTATTGATCAGTCGAATCGACCCGAATCCCTTCGAAATTATACTTTTGGGGGGTGGCGGCCTTGCTCGCTGATATGACTTTTGTGGGATCGGACGGCGCTCCCGTCGACAAAAATAAAGTAGGCCATCCACTTACAAGCTGATTACTTTTACTCGATCAAATTTTTATTTGCGCTTTATCGTCGCTCGCCCCCCCCTTCGTCTTCTGAGCATTTGCATATTAAGCCTTTACTGTCTTTCGCCCCCCCCCCCTCCGATCTTACGAATGGTATCAAATGCCGTCTTGTATATGACATTATTCAGATACGAGTAGGGTCGGACTGGGGGGGGGGGATGTCGAACATACGGAAAGTGGGTCAAATGTTGCGCGTTGTGGTTGTAAGTGGGGTTACTATCAAGTAATGGCATTTGGCTAGTGTTTTTGTGGTTTAACAATGGCATTTGTGGGTTTGTAAAGAGTTCTTAATTTCTTGCCATTTTTTGTTTTGTAAAGAAAGTTCTTGCAATTTTTTGTTTTTTAGCCGTTTCTTGTTTTTTAAAGAAATTGCTTGCCACTGTTTGTTCTGTAAAGAAAGTTCTTGCAATTTTTAACTTGTTAAGAAAGTTTTTGACATTTCTCGTTTTGTAAAGAAAGTTATTGAAATTTTTTGTTTTGTAAAGAAAGTTCTTGCCAGTTTTTTTAATCAAAAAATTCGGTTTATCTTTACCTTGTTCCTCCATTCCTCCCCCCCCTCTTTGCTTAACCTAATATATGATTATATAGCGCACAATAAAAGAAACTTTTTGTCTGTAACTTGGCCAGTGTTTACTTAATCTACCCTTCAGTTATCATAATTCTTTTGAATTGAAATACAATCTCATTTTATCGGCTAACAATCTTCGATCCGCCGGATATGTTTATAAACATTTGTTTTAATAACTAACGCGATCTTTCGTCGTTCGGTAGAAATTCTTTCGAGTTGGGTGTGGGTTTCTGTACATAAGGACAGTGATCGGCGGAGGCTTTTGATTAGGAGTGGGTGGGGGTATGGGGAGTGCAGAAAGAGGAGAAAGGGAGAGGGGGGGGGGGGGGGGTATGGTAAAAATAGTTTTTTTTAGTTAACAGCGAGTGGGTGGTCACAATTTTTTTGTGTATTTAAAAAAATGTTTTTTATTATTAAAAAATGTCATTTTAGACCTAAAATTACGGCTAGTTCCTCATTACAATATCCGGAAAGAAAGTTCTTGCAATTTTTAACAATTTTTGTAAAATTGCTTTAGAATGCTATGTTTACTTTATATAAATTATTGAATATCCCATTTTTACTCTTTTACCCCTATTTTTTGCCATCTGAAATTTTGAATCTCCTTTTTCGCGGGCTTTTTTGTTTTTACTTTATACTTTTTGTACTTGATCTAAAACTACAAATAATGATAATTTTTGTTTAGAAAAGGGCTACTTTTTTGATTTTTTAACTTTAAAAATTTTTAATTTTACTGGTTGATTGAAAAATTGACTGGAAAGAAAGTGATTGCGGTTTTTAAAAAACAAAATGTGAAGAAATTTAAAATTAAGATTTATCTTTTAGAATATTGTTGAAACTACATTTTATAGCTTTTTTATTGATTTGTACTGATTTTAAAAAGCTTTTAATTTTAAATTACATTTTTCGCGCGCTTTTACAAGCTCTTCGTATTCTCTTGGCATTTCGTCAAGTTCTCTTGTTTTTTGTAATTTTTCTTTTACAAATTTGTTTTTATGTTTTTTATTAAAAAGTAGTTGAAAATAAATAATTTTGTCAAGGAAAATTACCAAAAGCTTATTTTTACAGTCTTAAATTCATATTAGTTTAGGTAACATACGACTTTTTTATTGCTTTCTGTATTTTTTTAGGTAACAATATTGTTTCTTCATGTCGATTTGTCAATATTATTGTAATACAAACATTTCCTGAGGTTATTCATATTGTTTCAGATGCTTTTATGTAATCTGTCAGGTTAGAAACTAAAAACTTATTTGTGCGCGTTAGTTACCTCGATATTGTTTAAGGTAACTTTTTCGTTAGTATCACATACTTTTCATGTTAATAATGGTTGTGATAGGTAATAAAAAGTATATTCTTGTATATTTTAAAATTTCGTGGTTTTAACTTTTGTAGTCTTTGAGCTTTATCAAAGTTTGGTTAACAATTCCAGATTTTAGGTATAGCATGGTGTATATTTTAATGTTTTTATAGTTTTTTGGAAGTTTTTAGGTTTAAATTTGATGTTAAAACATGAGCAAAGGCTTGTAGAAGATAGTTATAGAGGTTTTGGAGTTACTGCGAGGCTATGTTTTGTAAAATATTGAAAAGTATGTTGTAGTACCCTCAAACTTGGACCTTATTTCAAACTTTTTTATTTTTCTGGAAGTTATTGTTTAGATATTGGTTTGATTTTTGGATATAATGTTCTTTAGAGTTATCTTTAGATATTTTTATTAAGTTATCTTATCTATGTACGCGTAATTGTGATATATGAGCTGTTCGGATGTTGTTATACCTTCGTAAATAGAAAAAATTTAATATTTTTCAACTTTAGCAACAAAAATGTCCGCAGAACAACAAGATATTGGACTGAATCTTCAAAGCCTCCTGGCATCAGCCTCCTCCTCATCTCCACTATGTCTTCCATTAGATTCTCCATCGAATTCAGAAGCCCCGACCAGATCTTCGCCTACCTCAACATCTCCAAACAGTACTGGCTCTGTGGACCAAGTAGCGAATTTGTTGATGGAAAAGGCGAGAAAACAGTCTGAAGTCAATCATGTTTTGACCGAAAGTCAACAATCTCAGGAGAATTTGGAGATTGGTGCGGATGCAGGTAATGGTACCGAGCCGAAGTCGAAGAAACGAAAGAGGACCAAACGGAACCCAGTCTGGAACTTTTTCGATGTTATTGAAGCAGAAGGAGGAGGATCGATAGCACAATGTCAGCAATGTAGTTATAATACGAAGAGTGCGTTCAGTACGAATTTGAAAATTCATTTGAGATGTCATCATAAAGAGAGTCATGTACAGGTATGTCTGTGTTAATATTGGTTTGTCTTGGTGTTTAAACTGGTTTTTAGAGCAGTATTTTAGGTTATTATGTAGAAAATGGTTTTTACTTTGATATGATAGCCTATTTTTTAATTTTTTTTTCATTTTAAAAGAATTTCATCAAAAAAGAAAAGGGGAAGATTTTCAGTGCAAATTGCATTAGAAATCTTCCACTCTTTAAACCTAACGATTTTTTGTTTTGTAAAGAAAGTTTTTGCTGTTTGCTTGGTTATAAAAAAAGTTCTTGCCATTTTTTGTTCTGTAAACAAAGTTCTTGCCATATTTTGATCCGTAAAGAAAGTTTTTGCCATATCTTAACTTTTAAAGAAATTTCTTGCCATTTCCTTCTGTAGACAAAGTTTTTGACATAATTTTTTTAGGTATTAGAAATGGAAGCCAAGCTAGCCGAAAATCAAATCCAAGGGTCGCCAAGAACGCCAAAAGCATTGGATTTTCAACAATTTTTGAATCAAGCTGGTGCACAAAATGAAAATGAGGAGGAAAATCAATGTATGTTTTGTTGAAAATTTTGTTTTTTGAAATTTAAAAATTTTGAAAAAAAATTTTTTTTGCACAGTGCAATGAAAATTAGGGATAAAAAATTAGTTCACTTAGCAGTTTTTAGGCTTAAAATTGGAAAATTACGGTAATTTGTTGAGGTCTGGCTTTTTGTTACCGTAAATTGTGGGCCTTTGTTTGCAGTACTTTATGTACTACTTTTTATTGTAACTTATGGACTACTAGTTACGGTGCTTTATGGATAGTTAGTTGCCGTAATCTATGGGTTACTGTTACAGTATCTTATTGACATAAAGTTACTGTAGCTTGTGTCCTACTACTTAAAGTGTTCTATGAGCCATTTGGTGCAGTAACCTATTGTTTTTGATTACAGTACTCTAGAATTTTTGTTACTGTATCATATATATGACTAAAATAATGAGTCCGAGGACTTATGGCGCAACCTGTAAGCGGCAGACTACTGTAACTTATGAGATTTTGTTTACAGTAGCTTATGTGGTTTTGATTACAGTAACCTTTTTACTTACAGTACTTAATGGGACTCTTGTTACAATATCTTATAAATTACTGATTACAGTAACCTATGGGTTTTCGTTTACAGTAACCTATAGTCGAGTTACTCTTGAAGTAATACTATGACATATTCTTTGAAATTTGGCATACCGTAACTAAACCAATGATCATTGCCATGCCTCTTACATGGCTTGTTTTGTGTTACAGTAACCAATGATTAAACCAACACAAACATAATGCAAATATACATTCATCAACGGGCCGAAATAACCAAAAATCGACCCGATTTCCGCTGTAAATGTTTTCCCAACGCAAAAATATTATTTACCGGCCCTAAGGCGATTAAACTGTAAAGTGAATTTCGAAACTTACAATAAAATGTTTTGAAGGGATTTGCCATTGTAAAGCTTACAACTATAACTTTTTGGATTTATGGTCTAAGCCCGATGTCTTCAGGGTTTCGTTTTGGGATTTAAATAGAAGGAGGGGGTTACGAAAATACTGGATTACTTATTGGACAGCGTTCTGTTCATAATTTTGTAGTTTTTGTAGATATTAATTGGATTAATGGAGCCGAAAAGTGGAATTGGAGATGGGGGTCGGTTACTGTAGGGTAGAGAGGAGGGAGGGGTTGGGTTGCTGTAATTAGGAGTGAGGAAGGGTAGGGTATAACTTGGTAGGGAACGGTGGAGTAGGATAGGGTAGAGTAGAGACGATTAGGGTACGGTGTGATAGGATAGCTTTTAGTAGGTTACCGTAAAATGGGATAGGTGTTAGTATGTTAAGGGCTAGATTAAAGTAAGACTAGAGTATTGTGAGTACTGCAGGGTAGTGATCATGGTACGGCTTATATGGCCTATTAAGGTACGTAGTACGGTGCAGCATTGATATAGTAGGGTGGGTAGGGTACTGTTGGGAAGTCTTTCGTAGGGAATGGTAGGGTAGAGAGAGCAAGGTAGGGTCGGGCAAGAAACGGTAGGCTAGAGTAGGGTAGGGCATGGTAACTATTATTTTTGAAAAAAACTAGCTGTAAGATATCTAAAAAAATACGGTAGGCTAATCTTGAGGCTAGAAAATCTTTTTTTTTGACAGCGGTGTCATTTTTTTGGGTGTTGTTGCTATGTGCGAGAAAAATATTTATACTGTTTACCTAAAGAATGCAATTTCAATAATTTTCATTTTTAGCTTGGTTAAACAACTGACAGTACTATAATCTTCTACTTGCAGTAATAAAATTGAAAAAAAAATATTTGTTACCTAAAAGTTGAAAAAAAGGTTCAAAAAATAAAATTTTATTAAAAATTATAAAATCAGTTGGAAAAACTGAAAACTGGTATGGCATTTTACACACCGCATTTCATTCCAGTATCGAATTTCTCGACGTTATTAGCCATGTTGGCAACTCAAACCAACTCGGATGCAACGACGGCGACGCCCGACGACAACAGGCGCAAAAGAAACCGCAAACATCCTGTTTGGAAATATTTTGGCGACATTGGAGATAAGGTAAGGACTATGTTTTTTAGTTATAGCTGGGCATAATAGGGCTAGGATTAAAAGATTAGCTAGGTCTCAGGCTGAAGGTAGTGGTAAGGCTGGGACTAGTGCTAGGACTTGTGTTAGGGTTAAGTTTAAGGCTAGGCTAATGCTATTGGAGAAGAGCGCATTTATTAGGTTTCGACATAAAGAACCCGCCATTTTTTACAGGAAATTAAGGCAAAATATGGCGGGTCCTTTATGTTGGCACCTCGCACTAACTTTCTTTACAGATGACAAAATTAAAAAATATTTAGTGGAAAGAAAGTTCTTGCGCATCGAAATCTTATTTTAAATTTTCATTGATTTGAGAACACTGGAAAGAAAGTTATCGCGTTTTGATTTCAAAAAAGTTGATTTTTACCGTTTTTTTTTTGTTTTTTGAACCTAAAATCTGCAATAACTTTCTTTGCAGATAATAAGGTTGAAAAATATTTTGTGGAAAGAAAGTTATTGCACATTACAAGCCTATTTTAAATTTTGGTTCATTTTCGTATACTGGAAAGAAAGTTATTGCGTTTTTAGTTAAAAAATTTTTACTAAAAAGTGCAATAACTTTCTTTCCAAACTTTAAAAAAATAATTTTTAATTTAAATATGCAACTTTCAGGTAGTAGGCTGCAACCTCTGCGATTTCCACACAAATTCCGCGTTCAGCACGAACCTAAAAATGCACTTGAAGTCACATCATAAAGAAGAATTCATTGATATAATGGAACAAGAAGTAGAACTACTGAAGAAGGACGGCGAAATCCAGAATCAAAATCCAGAAGACGGTAGCAAAAGAAGACGAAGAACGGTTGCTGAACTAGAAGAAGACATAGAAAGGGCGAAGATCAGTATTCAGAAGGATAAGGAGAAACAGCTGGCTAGGAATCCAATATTGTAGGTTTTTTTGGGTCTTATGGGGGGAGGGGTGGAAAGAAAGTTGTTGCGGGTTTTTGAGACTTCTAGTAAATTTTTTGTAATTTTATACATTGGAAAGAAAGTTTTTGCTATTTTGATTTAGAAAAAACAAGTTTTGTCGAAGAAAGAAAAGTGGAAGTTTGATGGAAGATTTTTAGTGCAAAATACATTACAAATCTTCCACTTAACTTCTACTTTCAAAAAGAGCCAAAAATGCATTTTTAGGCCATTTTAAGACATTTTAAAAAGTGGAAGTTTGATGGAAGATTTTCAGTGCAAAATACATTACACATCTTCCACTCAACTTCCACTTGTGAAAAGTGCCAAAAACTCATTTTTAAGCCATTTTAAGACATTTTAAAGATGGAAGTTAAGTGGAAGATTTTCAGTGCGAAATACATTACGAATCTTCCACCCAACTTCCACTTTTCAAGAATTCGATTTTTTAGGTTTGTAATGAAAATTTTTGTCATTTTTTATTATGTAAAGAAAGTTCTTGTCAAAATAAAGTTCAGAAAGCTTAGAATTTGAAGTGCCAATAATATACCATAAGCTGATGCATCATGATAGGTTTCAAACACAACATGATACTTTTTTCGGGATTTCAATTGAATTAGAAGCCTTTAAGGCATGGTTGTTTAATGTTTGTTTAAAGGATAATCCTGTTATTAATGTACTGGTGAAAAGTGATGCTGACATTGTTTTTGTTTCGAAAAAAGCAAGGACTTTGTTTTCGGCATGAAAAATGGCAATAACTTTCTTTACAAAACAAAAAATGGCAAGAACTTTCTTTACAAAACGAGAAATGGCAAATACTTTCTTTACAAAACGAGAAATGTCAAAAACTTTCTTTACAAATTAAAAAATGGCAAGTACTTTCTTTACAAAATTTTTAAAAATTTTTCAAAATTTTCTAAAATGCCATTTTCAGATGTGCCGCCCTAACTAGTCCCGCCAAAGTCCCAAAACTAAAGCGGCCAAAGATGGACAATGACTATATGATGCCTCTCTTGAACAACATCCAACCTCTCGACCTCACCAGCGATGTTCATGACATTCCTCAACTGACTCCGGAACAAGACCTCAAAGATCACAATAATATGGAGTTCAACTTTCAATCACAAGATGTCAACTTACAATCAGCTGTTGTTAACACAATCTTGAAGAACGCCGCCTTACAAGGCTTCTTACAGGCTATGGGTGGAACTGACGACATTCTACGGTTACCGGCTTTTAGGGTAGGTTTTTGAGTTTTATCGTTTTATATGGTCGTTTTTAAAGCAAATTTGGTATTTTCTTTTTAAGATGTGTGTTTTGCATTCAATTCTTAACATATATTTTAAGTTTGGTACTACTAGTACAATTGGAAAGAAATTTATGACGATTTTTGTCCACTGCGTCGTTCTCTGAAAACTTTGGGGTTTTTATAGTTTACCGGTCAATATAGCCGTTTTTAAAGCAATATTGAAAGAATTATTATAAAAGTCGTATTTTACGTTGTGTTACTAACCTACATTTGAAATTTGGTACTGCAAGTACGCTTGGAGCGAAAGTTATGACGATTTTTGTCCACTGCGTCGATTTCTGAAAATTTTGAGGTTTTTATAGTTTTACCGGTCGATTTAGTCGTTTTTAAAGCAATATTTAAAAGACCTTTCAATGATCGTATTTTACTTGGCATTCTTAACATATATTTTTAATTTGTTACTACTAGTACACTTGGAAAGAAAGTTATGACAATTTTTGCCCAGTGCAGTTTTTTGAAAGTCTTTGGGTTTTTAAAATTTTTTGGTACTACTAGTCCTCTTGGGACTTTGGTACCACTAGTGTGCTTTAAAACTATCAAAATTGATACGGTTTATTACAATTGATACGATTATAAGGAATAGGTATATAATTACAACGAATTTTAAACTGTGTAGTGTTAATCAATGTCATTTTCAGAGCTTTGTCAACTGCCTGGACCCGACTTTCGCTCTTCCACAGTCGCTGAATCAATAAGTTATGGCGTCTTTTCCCTCCTGATCCCAAGGAAGAACACCTTTTCATAATTCTGTCAAAGTTACAGTAATTTTACTGTCTTTTTCAATTTCGTCATTTACAATACGATGCTCTCTGATAACGAACAACATAATCTTTCATCGATTTACAGGTTTTCGCTTAGTTTTGGCTAGATTTTTTCAAGATTTCAAAGTAAAATTGGTTAATATTGTTAAAATTTGCGTTTTAAAATGACTTTTTCATGTGTTCTTGTTCATGTAATAGCTTTCTATGGATCTATATTGACCATATCTTTCAATTTTTAAAAATTTTTTGAAGTTTTAATATGATTTTTTTTATTTTTGAAAAAATGACATTTTTAAGCCCCTAAGGGGCTCTGTTTAATTTTTTAAAATGATTTTTAATGTGAAACACAACTAAATAGACGTCTTATTTAGTGTTGATGCAAAAAGAATGGCGCAAGGTTTTGAAAAACACGAATTTTGCAAAAACTTTCTTTACAAGACGAAAAATGGCAAGAACTTTCTTTACAGAACAACAAATTGCAAGAACTTTCTTTACAAAACAAAAAATGGCAAAAACTTTGTTTACAAATCATAAAATGGCAAAAACTTTCTTTACAGAGCAAACAATGGCAAGAACTTTCTTTACAAAACGATAAATGGCAAAAACTCAACAACGCGCCATTCTTTTTGCATCAATTAAATATTATAGTATCTGACACTCTAATAGGTATGTAATAATCTCTTGTTCCACGAATTTCATGTCCAACTATATATCACTCTTCTCCATCCTCATCCCCAACCTACCTCAATATCGAAAGAACACGCAATATTCAAATTGTTCAATTACAGTATCGAAACGCATTAATAAATTAATTTTTTATTATTATTATTAAATGGCATTATCAGTGTTAGTTTATCACACATTTTACATTTTTCTAGAGGTAGACTTAATGGTACCATTGGTACTATCATTAGTACCGCTGATACTCTTCGTTTCGGTCGACTTTGGTCGTTTCGACAGCTGCATGGTAATTGTAGTAGCACTAATCTTTGGTGGTACCTTATTTTTTCCTTGTGATGGTACTGGCGACAGTTTTATTTGTCCTTTTGGTACACTTTTGGCCTTTTCTTTCGACGACGGACTTTTGACAATTTTGGTCGATTTCTCCGAAACGGTCGATTGATTCGGACTGCCACTTTGGGACTCGTCGAACAAGGGTGTTCTTGATGGTACAGCAAAATTCTGGTTTGGTACTGGTGCTTTTGGTACGTCTGCGACCGTTTTTTGAGGACCATTTTGAGGAGTTTCGGACTTTGAGGAAATTTTTGAATTTTTCGAAATTTCCGAAAGTTTTTCCGATGTTGTAGTAGTCTTTATTGAAGCTGATGGTACTGTCGAGAATTTGGTACCATTTTCAGGTTTATTGGTTACAGTTGACGTTAGTTCCGAGGACTTTTTGACCGTGTTGTCGGCTGTTTTTTCTGGTTTTTTGTCAAATTTCGAGTGTTTCCGGCTCTTCGACGTCATTCTAGGGCCCTTATTGGTACCAAATCCATTCTTATTAGTACTAAAACCATTCTTGTTGGTACCAAGACCACTCTTGTTGGTACCAAAATTAGGTTTGACTAAATGAAAAATGCTCTCCTTCGAATTCACGGGCTCTTCTGTGGTCACCGTGCCCTCGCTATCGTCGTTGACCGGCTCGAACACGTTGTAACAGCCACCACATGGCCTACTGTAGGCATTCCAGGTACCGTAGTACTGTGGGTAGGATGAGAAATGATGTTTTGCAAACTCAAATCGACTCTTCGATTCCTCCGGACTCTGGCTTTGACCATCGTGATCACCATGATTCCCATCCGATACTTGATAGTAGTTGTTGTTAGTACTGGGTGAGTTGTTAATGGTACTCGGAGGGTTGTTGGTATAGCTATTGAGCAGATGTGAATGTTGGTCTGGCACGGGCTTATCATGGCCTTTACTGCTTCCATAGCCTCCATTTCCACCGTAATAACTGTCGTTGTCATCGTCGTTATCGGCTTCTGTATTCGTTGTGGTACCATAATTGTAGCCACAGCCCTGGGCACAGCTTGGATCGTACGCTGAGCCACATTGGCACAAATTGCAACAGTTTGGCCCACTATATCCAAACATTCGATTCCTTAACGCCATCGCGTAGTTACCATTAAAAGGTGTACCAAATGCACCATTAGTACCACTGTTTCCAAAGTTGGCACCGTTTGAAAAACCGGCTCCATTAGCACCATTCCCAAACACCGCACCACTAGCACCATTAGCACTGTTAGTATTAGAGTATTGGCTACAAGGACTACCACAACCAGCACCAAAGTTCGTAGGTGGACCAAAGTTGTTGGCGTTAAGGTAGTTCAAGTTACCGTAACCCGGCACGCTGTTAGTGTTCATGGTGTTGAATGAACCTTCCGGAGGCTTCTCACCGTGCTGTGCTGCCCAATTCTCAACGTAGTTCAGGTATTCTTTGTGGTTTTCTGAAATTTTAAATTTTAAACTGGGTTTTAAAAAGTGGAAGTTGAGTGGAAGATTTGTAATGCATTTTGCACTGAAAATCTTCCACTAACCTTCCATTTTTAAAATTTCTTTAAATGACTTAAAAACACGTTTTTGGCAACTTTTAAGGGTGGAAGTTATGTGGAAGATTTGTAAGTTTCCAGTGCAAATTACATTACAAATCTTTCACTCAACTTCCATTTTCACATATTGATTTTTTTAGGTATTGCAAAGAAGTTTTGGCCATGTTTGGCTTTATAAAGAAAGCTTTTGCCAATTCTCGCATTGTAAAGAAAGTTCTTGTCAAATGTTTTGTTTTACACCCAAAAATCCTTACCATCCTCATCTTTATCCTCATGTTTCGAGCCCATTTTGTGGTAATGCCCTTTGGCTTTGGTGTCATTCTTGGCCAACAACTTCTCGGACACTTTTGAATAGAACTTGAGAAGCTGTTCAATGTGTTGTTGTGTAATCTCTGAAATAAAACATCCGACATAGTAGTCATCGTATTTTACATTTACAGTTTTAATTCTTGCTTTGTAAACAAAGTTCTTGCCAATTTTGCTTTTGTAAAAAAAGTTCTTGCGGTTTTTGCTTTGTAAAGAAAGTTCTTGCGGTTTTTTGCTTTGTAAAGAAAGTTCTTGCCATTTTAGTTTTGTAAAGAAAGTTCTTGCCATTTTTTGTTTTGTAAAGAAAGTTCTTGCATTTTGTGTCTTGCAAAGGAGGTTTTTTCTGCTTTCCCTTCTAAAAATGCCATTTTAAAACTTACCTTTCAAATTCTCATCATCAGACTTGGCCTTCAAATCCTGATTATTCTTCTTTTTCGACTGTTTTTCCTTTTTCTTTGGCTGTTCGACCGGCGAAGCCATGAGTAAGTTGCGAAATTCGTCGGTTAAACCACTCGAATACTCCTGAAAGACAATGTTTTGACAAGTTTATCATGACCAGTAACTCAATTCTGACAATTTTTAACATTAGAAAAGTGATTTTTTACGTTTTATCTAGCCCTATTGTTTAAATTTGGCAGTTCTTGACTAAATTTTGACCTTGAAACAGAATGCCAAGAATTCTCAGTTCTGGCGGGAAATTTAAAATTTAAAAAAATGTAAAATACGTTAGAAATGGTTTGAGTGATGTTATTTTTAAAATATGACTTTTAAAATGGCGTATAAATGAACATGAAACAGAATGCCAAAAAATTCCGTTTTTGGCGGGAACTTTAAAATTTAAAAATTTTTAAATTTTAGTAACATTGGTTAGTAAAAAACAAAAAAGTGAATAAATTTTAAGTTAAAAAGACAGAATTACTGATATATCCTCATAAAATGTCCTGTTACGATCCACTTCTGAAGCCGCTTCTGTTGTGGTCGATGTTGTTGTAGTGGTACTATTGGTGTCTGAAAGAAATAAATAGTACGATCAAAATAAATGAAAAAAATGTCAAGAACTTTCTTTACAAAACAAGAAATGTCAAGAACTTTGTTTACAGAACAAAAAATTGCAAAAACTTTCTTTACAAAATGAAAGATGGCAAGAACTTTCTTTACAAAACAAAAAATGGCAAGAACTTTCTTTACAAAACAAAAAATGGCAAGAACTTTGTTTACAGCATTAAAATCACATTTTTTTGAAAAAATTGGTTTTTTACGAAAAATTTTAAAATTTCTGCCGAAACGCAACTCAAATTCCAAATCATGATAAACCTTACCAGAATCCCCACTACACTCCATGAATAGTAACGTGAGGCCGCAAAGCAACAGATTCATAGTTTCTGACGATGCGCGGGACTGGAATCACGTCAAAAGAGGATGTTCAGCATGCTTTCCGCGGATTTATTTGTTTATTTTCTCCGCCTCTGAGTCATTTTCGTATGGGAAGATGATGTTCTTCCGGATTCGGGAAGCTATTGAGGTCACGGAAGTCGTGGGACGTGGTTAGAAGATCAGTAACTCTTTGGAATTGCAAGAACTTTCTTTACAAAACTTTGTTTATAGAATAAAAAATCGCAAGAACTTTCTTTACAAAGCAGAAAATGGCAAAAACTTTGTTTACAAATCAAAAAATAGCAAAAACTTTCTTTACAAATGACAAAACTCCAGAATATGTGAAAAGGTCCCCCTCTAAAACTCAAACTCAATAAAATAACAATCTGTACAAGTTATGACCCAAAGATACTTGGAAACACCATTATCAACACTAAAATCACAATTTTTTAATTTCAATACTTTATTGAATATAAAATTTTCGAAAAATGATAATTTACATACAAGATAGGAAATGTGAGCGGGGATTATGTGAAGCTTGGCATTGAATAAATACTACAATATAAAGCTAACAATCTACACGCATATTACACTAGGTGGATAATTGGAATTGCCGTCGGCATTTAGGCTGCGTCCTTTGAAAGCAAAAATTATCTACTATAATATAAGATACAAAACGATATACTATAAGATAATATAAACTGAAAAAATGGCAAATTTGAAAAATTGTTCGTTCGAGGCAGTTTGTTCGTATTTTATACGCTTATCCACATTTACACTTCTTTTTGGTCGACTTTTGTTGTGGTCGACCCAGGCGGATCCCTTCGGATTGTTCTTGCGAAGCGGACTCTAATTTCAATTTTAAAGCAATTTCGGTGAGATCAGTGAAGATCTGAAACGAACAACAAGTCTCATGCCTTGCATTCTATCATTTTTTAACAACTTTTAGATAATTTAATACCTAAAATTCAAAAAACAAACAAAAACGTTTACCATACCTTATCAACATTAACTCCACTTCGTGCTGACGTCTCGTAGAACGGTATTTTCATAGTTTCAGCAAAGGCTCTACTATCTTCTTCATTTACAATACGTTGGGTAGGTTCATCTACCTTGTTTCCTACTGAAAATGTGACTTTTAATAAGCTACTTTAATCTAACTTCATATAAAGCTAGAGAAAAATAAAGAAATAAGCATTTAAAAGAATATAAAAGTCTTGCCTAATATTCTAGGAACATTGCTGCAGTTCTTCTCAATCTCATTCAACCACCTCTTCACATTGCCAAAGCTCTCGCCGTTTGTAACATCATAAACTACAATCACACCATGTGTCCCGCGATAATACCTCAAACAAAATCGTTTATAAGCCTGTCACTATGTTTATAAGACCAATCCTTAAAGAACAGCAAGATCAAACCCAAAAGAGACTTCTTACGTTGAAGTTATTGTCCTGAACCTTTCCTGACCAGCTGTATCCCATATTTGAAGTTTCACCTTCTTATCCATGACGGTTATCGTTCGTATCTTGAAATCCACGCCAATCGTCGTGATATAGCTGTCTAAACATTGAAAATAAAAAATGAATAGTTTGAACTTACTCGAAAACACATTATCAGCGAATCGCATCAACAAACTCGACTTGCCCACACCTGAAAAGATATTATTCATCAGTTGGCGTTTGAAATATCAAATTTCATTAAAATAAAATAAAATTTTATTATAAATCTTGATGTCAACAGCAAGAGCAAGCAAAACTCTCTGTATAACCATATATATCAAGTAAATGTCTCTAAAAACAAAAGAACATCAATCAAAACCTTACCGCTATCTCCAATGATCAACAACTTGAACAGATAGTCGTAATCCCGCGGCGAAGCCGAACTTCCAGCTCCAGATGGTGGAGCCGCAATCATTGGGAATCAGAATACGTAAATCTTTCTTCTGATAGCTTTTATTATTAATATTCGAGTTTCTCAGTGTCCAATTTCCACCCGAACGTGTATAAAAACAAAAAATCGCGAATAATGATAAAGAAGTCAAGTGTTCCCCTTCAATATCGGTCAAGTCTTCCCTAGCGCATTTTTAAGGGTTTAAAGAGGCGCGTACACTATATCGACCGGTTTAAGCGCTGGTTTAGTCTATCTCGCCCCGTGTCGGTTCGGTTTGACCCAGCGAATTTGAGTTGACCCACATATGCGAGAGGACACAGGCCAAAATGCGCGCGGTTAATGCAAATCTCGATGCCATTGCGTAAATGCGAAGAATACGCACTCGTCGTGGCAGCTTATTATACCCAGTGAGTTCGTCTGCCGCTCCATCGCTTTAAACGTTTTTTTTATTTATTCGTCGACGGGTTTTAAATTAGAAGTAAGTTTTTGTAGTTTGAATTAAGTTTGTCGTACCTACACAGTACTCTCTCTCTGTAAGCAACCAGAAAGAACCGATATTTTATGTTTACTTTAAGAGGGGTTATCTTTACAGAGTGATTTTTAATGCAAATTGATTTAGCGGGGCCAAATGTCTTGTTTACTATAAAGATATTGGTTTATTCTGATGGTTGACTATATGAGAGACCGCCGCTGTATTTTTTTGCATTTCCCGTCCTTTCCGCCAGAATTAAAACGAATTTTTAATTTAATAATCTCAAAAATTATATTAATTTTAGAATGGCCAACCGAAACGCCCGACCCGATGACGAATTGACCAACGCGGAAACCGCGTCCCAGTTTTCGGAAGACTTTGAAGACGATGATGAAGATCTTATTCCAGTTATCTACTACGGATATAATCTACAATATGCTAGCCGGAGACGAGCACCTATGCAATATATGAATATAAACAATTCAGCATATGTAAACCGACCAGTTCATCTCACATTAGTAGGTAACAACAATAATAGGAACGGTGGAGTTGAACGTCATCCAGCTGGTCGCCAAAATAATGTAAGAGCCCACAATTTCGAATTTCAAGCCTTCGGTGAAAGAAGTAATGACTCAGAGGAAATAGAAGACGAACTAGAAAATCTTGAAATTCAAGAAAGGCAGCGTGTAAACCAAATTCTTCAACGTCAAGGCAACTTGAATGAACAACGGCTACAACCAAATGTAGTAGAACGTGCTTGGAACGGCCAATTCTTGAATCATCGTCAGAACGGCTTTCAACAACAAAATCACAGGAACAATATCGATCGGAATGGCAATGATATCGACCACATAGAAAATCAAAGAAGAGCTGTGGAAGCAGTTGAAATAGCTATTATTCGAATGAGACAACAAAACCAACAAAGAGTCGATCAACAGTTTCAACAAAGACAGGTGGAACAAAACCGTGAGCAGGTACAGCAAAGGCGTCGACAAGGACGACGAATTCAACCGCTTCAAATTCTGCCAGAACCGATGCAATTTCCCGCCGAAACTCAACCACCTCTTCAACAAATTCTCCTTCCGGGTCAACGGCCGGACCTAGTTCAGCCAAATATTATACCGGTTCATCTTCAACGAGTACCGTACTTCCATCAAAATCCTCAACACCTTCAAAACTTGTATCCTAATCTACATAACCCACAAAACCAGCAACCTGCTCGACAGGATCAACAAATTCAGCAGAACAATCTAAGGCAAGGGCAGAATCCACAAATGCAAGGGCCGAATCCTCAAAGGCCAGGTCAAAATCATCAAAGACAAGGACAGAATCCTCAAGGCATGGCTAGGAATTTTCCAGCACGAAATCAGCCAGAACCCCGGCTTCAAGAAAACAGAAATCAACCAGGATTCCAACGTCATAATCAAAATCTAGGTCAACATCAACGTCAAGCTCAACAACATCGTCAAGCACAGCCTCAACGACAAGCTCAACCTCAACGACAAGCTCAACGTCAAGGTCCACAACCACGTCAAGCCCAACAACAAGCTGGTCAAATGCGACAGAATTGGCAGGCGAACAACCAGCATCGACAACCAGGGCCAGATTTCCTTCAGCAGATGCTTTATCAGCCTTTTGGAGCTCACGGTAACCTTGGTTATTTGCATGAGATGGGGCCTCCATTGAATTTGGCTGGACCATTCGCATAACAGGCTTTATGGTCGTTATAGGACGTATGGCAGGCTTACTGGTAATTACACTAGATATAGTCATCTCAACTAGAAGTCAACAACAAATTGCTTAGTCATCACATCTACAGTACACACGGATATAGTGTTAGCCATTATCTTCTTGTCATAGTGGTCGTAAGTTGCTAAGTTATTATTGTTACTCTTTAGTCCTTTTTTGCTCATATCCACGTTTATATTGTGCTATATTGAAATTTTGCAGTATTCTCGACAATATGACAATAACTACAATATTGTTGCTACATATTACATTAGTTGTTTAGCCCTTCCAATATTTAAATTTTGTTCATACAAACCGGTCATTCCTGTTCAATTTTGCCATTCTTATCAAAACATGTATTGTTGTATAACCACATATGTATGTCATTGTTAAAAAAAGTTGTTTGGTAGAAGTATACGTTAATAAATAGTTTAAAAAATTAATTTTTAGAAATTCCTTTGCACCAAAAAAAAATTTTTTTTTAAAGTTATTTTTCACAAAATTTCTCCCTTATTTAATGCCATTTTTTATTAAAAGATAAGCAAAACATTATTATGCTACAATCACAGATTATGCCATTGCCATGAATACAAGTTTTATACGACACTTTTTATGCGTAGACCCTTTGAAATAAATACAATATGTTAATAAATAAAATCAAGCTTCCAATAATAAAAAATATGAACTAAAACCTCTTTAGTATAACCCTGAATAGTGTGGCAACCAGGGCCGGGCGGGGACTTTTGGTCTGGGGGCAGGGGTCTGTGCCGATTTTTTTTCGAAAATTTTTTTTCCAAAAAATCCACAGGGGGACCACGTTCAAATTTTTTTTGAAAATTTTTTTTCTGGGGGGGGGGTACCTCGTCCCCCCCTCGTGCCCGGCCCTGGTGGCAACCTCCTTATAATGACAGCTTCTTGACCGCCCTTTGTAATATAACTCGTATCAAGAGGTACCTGGGTGTGCTACCCTGTTTAGAAGACAGGTTCAGACCAGTCCTTGGAGTGTCATACTGAAGAGGTTAGACTCAATACTAAGCTGATTTTATAAAAGCTACCTAATGCCCAATGAGTAGTATTGCTACATACCTTGCTATAATGCTATACCTTTTTAGAATGCTATATCTTGTTATAATGACTGTTATCTTTTAAAATGCTGTTTTTTTATAATTACTGTCACATCTACACGGTTAAGCCCGGCAATTTTAAACTTAAAAAAAATTTTTTTAGCTTCCCCCCCCCCCAAATCAGTAGCGGCTTTCCTGTCTACTCTAAGCCTGTTAAGCTTACTCTCTGCTCCCTCCGTTTCTCTCTTTACCTGCTCCACATACCTACCCCCCCCCCCCTCTCTTATCTACTCTATACCCCTGTCCTTATCTAAACTTTAAGAACGACATAGCCAGTTGCCATATAAACGATCTGGAACGGTTTAAACTCCACATTCTTTCGATTCTGCTCCAATATCGGTATGATTCTGTCACAATTAGTGGGTTTTTCCAAGTCTTTCTTGTATATCTTGTCGAACATCCCAATATACGTGCACTCTGGTCGTTGATGTCCTTTGCATAGGAATGGTTCTAGTACAAAGTAGTTGATCCCAAGCTTTTTAAAGGTTTTGTAAACGGTTTCTGGCGTGTTTCGACCATAGAATTGGTATACTTGAAAGGTGCGTTCGCTGAAAGCATGTTAACATTGTTTTAGCTGAAATTCTCATGGCTTGTTGGTCACACCAAAAGCTTTATATTGCCATTCTATTTAATACTATATCATTGGGAAATTCTTTGTCTATCACATGATACTAAGATCGACATTTACAGTAAGCTACAGACTTCAAAATCCATCAAAAACCTACCGTAGCCCAGCATCTTCATAGTGGGGATGATTGAAGACCTTCCGACCGGTCGATAAATGAATATTGGCCATTGTTGGCATCGATCCAGCAAATACATCATCTAAAAATATTATTCACAAAAAAACACATTATTTTATATACATCTTCATTATCAAAACATTAAAAATATTGTACTTGCCATCAAATTTTCAAAAAAACCCCATTTTTTCATTTACATAGTTAAAAAATAGGTACCTTTATGAGTGTTGGTCTCAATCCAATCGAACAGATACTCTTGAGGCTCATTTGAATATTCTCCCTTGATTCCGATTTGTTTTGCGATATTATCCTTGCCTTTGTATGTCATCAAAGCCATGAGTAATATAATAAGCACTGGTTTGTACTTTAATTTGCGTCCGAATGTAGTTGAAATCAACTGAAATGACATTTTATTATCTGCTTTGTCATTTTAGGTATAACGGTCAAAAAGTTTTTAGAAAACATGCACCGTGCAAAATTTGAGAGTTCAAATTTTGAATTTTAAATTTTGAAATCCAAAGTAAAATCAGCTCTACAAACTTACTTTACTGTTAAAAATCACCGCAGCAAAGACGCAGAACTGTGGAACAGCGAACAACTTCAACCTCATGATCAATAAGGCCATTATGGTGAAGATCACCATCTGTCCAGCATTGAATACTACCTAAACATGCAACAAGTTAACTTAATTTTATCTAAAAATTGATAAAATCCAAGATTTTTCATTAAAATCCCCCAAAATCGAGTGTTTTTAAACGTGGAAGTTAATTGGAAGATTTGTAATGTATTTTGCACTGAAAATCTTCCATCAAACTTCCACTTTTAAAATGTCTTAAAATGGCCTAAAAATGCATTTTTGACAGTTTTTAAAAGTGGAAGTTGAATGGAAGATTTGTAATGTATTTTGCACTGTAAACCTTCCACCAATCTTTGACTTTCCAAAACTTCTCCAAAACCTTTAATCTGGAATAAGTTTGTTTATAAACCCAAACTTACATGTCCAAACTCCTTACTGTCTTCATACTGTAACAAAAGAATGTTTTTAAACACAAACACTACAGTAATCAACAATGCCAGTAAAGCAGCTATAGTAAGATAAGTTTCGCTTAGCTCTATGATTGTAGCCAATGGCAAGAAGTCAAATTCAGCAGCGCAGGTGTATAACATTGTGTGGAATGTGGCAAAGTTTGTAAATTTCGATTTTAAAATGTCGAAGATGTGGTCGTCATCACGAATGCCTAGTGACTTGCCCAGTAAGAACTTTAGGCCTACTGTCGTTGTGAGGTAGAATACTGTGTATAATAGTAGTTTTGGTGATCCGGAGAAGGATATTTTTGTGTCGAGCATTGTTATTATCTAAAAATTTCAAAGTTATATTGCAAAAGTTAAAATGGCAAGAACTTTCTTTACAAAATAAAAAATCACAAGAACTTTCTTTACAAAACATAAAATTGCAAAAACTTTCTTTACAAAACAAGAAATGGCAAGAACTTTCTTTACAAAGCGAAAACTTATAAAATCTCTTCCCCCATCGTATAACTTGTCACCCGCAGCTCGCAAATCCTCCAAAAACTCCTCAAGGTCCCTAATTTGTTAAAACTTACTTTAAAGCTGACCAATCCAGTGAAAAACAATGAATTCAGGATCAAAGAGTTTCCGAATAACAACACAAATCCCATTAACAAGCTGATCATGTAGGTATTCCACAGCTTTTTGACCAGGTCTTGTTGAATTAGGCCTAGTGAGTAGGTGACTAATAGGCATGAGAGCTGGGCGAATAGGGCAAAGCCGGAAAACTGAAAAATATAACAATAACTTTCTTTACAAGGCAAAAAATGGCAAAAACTTTGTTTAAAAAACAAAAAATGGCAAGAACTTTGTTTACAAATCAAAAAATGGCATTAAATTTCTTTCCAAATCAAAAAAGGGCAAAAAGTTTTTTTACAAACCTAAAAAATTATAAAAGCCTAAAAATTTATACTTAAGCCTAAATCATGCTCATTTAAGCCTAAATTGGGTAACATTAAAAAGTTCATTTACCCACCTGCCAGAACAAAATAAAGTGCAAGGTAGACCATCCAAACAAGAACAATCCAAACTTTCCAGCGTTTTTGCTCCTAAAACATCAAATTTTATGTACAACAACACACACTCACATCAAAATTAGAAAAAACTATATTGGAAGTTACCTTAAAAACATGGTTAACATTGCCATTTGAAAGAATAACATTGGAAACCCGAAAGATTCCCTTAGCGGTGGCGTCCATTGTACTCTAGTAGCATTGCCATGATTGTAAAGATACGCCGCCGCTGATATCAACCCTCCTGATATGGTGTTACTGCAAAACAAGTCAATTTTATTGAGTTATATATGCAAAATATTTCAATTATATTAAGTTTTATATTATTTTATAACTAAAACATCAAGTAAAAGCCCGTTTTTGCCAAAACTCACCTCAACAAAGTACCAAGAACAAAAACAGAACCCAACACAGTACCAGCTAACCCAAAGACAGCATAATTGTAGAAGAAATGTAGATTACCAACACCTTCACAGCTATTTACTGGCGGCAGTTTGCCACGGTTGATTTGATAACAAATCTCATCTTCATACCCAAAACTTTTGGTAAATTGCTTAAAAATACTAAAAGCTGCTCCAAGATACACCTCTGGATATAGGTTGAACCTCTGAAGAGCATTAATCGTATGTCCAGCTTCTACTCTATCGTCATACATAATATTCTGAACTCCGGATATAAACGACGGAGAATTGACTATTTTCTTGTAGTAGGAAAAGTACAACCCCTGAAACTTATTGAAGTTACCTCCCTTGTACTGCTATTGGCCCGTTGAATTCATTTTACATAAATTTATACTCTATTTTAGCTCAAGATTTAAAATATAAATCATGATCCTTCATTACTGATGAAAGTCCTTACAAAACTTCAAATATCTCAATTATTTTTAAACCAAATTTTCTAAAATGTCAATATTTCATTCCATGGTATATTACGCTTCTTTTAAGCCCTCTTCCATCCCTTCTAGTGCCTTTTGTTTCCTAAAAATCAAGCAAACAAGTAAACCCATACCATTTCCGTTCGATATGACATTTCTCGTTCCAAATCAGACAAATGTGAGAAGAATCGGTCATTTTCAAACAATGTATACAAGTAAATCGAGTGTCCAATTGATATTATACTTGCTGAAAAAATTATAATGTTCTTTTGCTTTATTTATAGCCATTTTTCTTCAAAAAATGCCTTTTCCTTACCTAAAATCAATACAAAAACAATGTAAATAACATCCAAGTAATTTCTAGAGCAATTTTCGGCAGTTTTCGCCTTCTTCTTCGCCATTTTACAACGATTTTGATCCAATTCGATCAAAATTTTCTCTACAAAAAATTATTATCCAAAATATCACAATGCCAAACGATTCGTCTTCGTGTCGGGATTCACAGCGATCAAAGCATATGGCGCGAAACAATAAAAAATGGAAGAAAGACGGAGATGGATGGCGAACGAAGAGTCTCTGAGCGAACATAAAGACGAAAGCGTATCCTTTCGACATGTCCCAGAGCTTTTGAACTAACACACATTATCGTTGTTTTGCGAAATTCGCAAAATTTTGTTCAAAATCTCAACTACCGTATACATTTTTCAAATTTTCAAACCGTTTCCTTCAATTCTACCGTAATCTTTAGTTCTTCTGTCGTGCAAAATTAGATGAGTAACATGCTGAAGCAGTTGTTTGACTCATGTTATGCCAATCTGCCTGTGGTTAGGTTGGACGAGAAGAAGAAGGATGTCAAGAATGGTGTTTTGACATTCAGTGAGGTGGTGTACATGAGCAAGTTCTTGATGTTTGCGTTAGTCAGAGGGTCAGATAAGACGTCGCTGGAGCTTTTGAAGAAGGTTAAGGAGTTTCAAGTCAAGCGGAATCAGAATAATCAACGAAACACGTAATATTTAGGGGTTTTTTGGCTATAATAACATGTTTTTTGACGTAAAAGGCTTCTTCTGACCATGTTTTGTGTTTTATACTTTCATTTGAAGTTAATTAGTTTCACAAAATCTTCTTTTAGACCTCAGCCAAAGTTGAAACGACTGTTCGGCCTAAAAAGCGCAAAGAAGAAGAATATTGGTGAGTTTTACGATGTGTCGATAATAATATTGGACATGGACTTCTACAACAATGAAAACGAAGTGAATTCAATGTTGAGTGAAGTAGAAGGACCAGCTATGTTTAGCTTTGCGCCGACTATGTCGTATATTAATAAGGTGAGTCATTTGGATTCGATTTCTTATCTTACTTTAGGGGAGGTTACTACGTTCACTAAAAGCATGTGGCGTGCCATCGTTGATCTTGGTAGATGGGTCTACTTTGTCTGTATTGTCAGTACATTGTAAGGAGATGCTTTTGGAGAAGAATGACGTCGAAAACTTTCCTTGGTAAGAAGTTATGGCATGTGTTTTAGGTATATTACGTTAGAGCTGGTGGTTTAAAGAAAATTGGAAGATTACATTGGTTTTTATATTTGAAATACATTTATTTAGTATGATCAGATACTGTGATAGCTTCTAAATCTAATTTCAGGTCAGACCCGTCGACGTCAAATGTATTTACCGGTAATTTTGTAAAAGCATCCAGGTCGAGTGATGGAAAAGTTGAAACAACGGTGGTAAATGGATTGAAAAGGGGTATAAAAGGACTATATTTTGGAGCTAAATGGGTATGTTATTAAAGTTTTTAAATTTAAATTAGCCTGTTACTGATTTTTTATATTTTGGAAGCCAGAATATTGTTTTAGATGGTCTTTTGTTACCTAAAAAATTTTATTGTAAAACAACTAAAGTTTCAAGTTTAATATAATAAATGTGTATTTCAAATTTAAGTTCAATCTTAATTTTTTAATTTCAGTGCCCGCCATGCCGAACTTTAACATCTCAGCTTGTCGACATCTATAACAAGGTCAAGACAAAAGACTCGGACTTTGAAATAATTTTTTGTTCTTTTGATCGAACAAAAGAAGCATTTGAAGAATATCTGGCCGAAATGCCTTGGATTGGCCTACCTTTTGATTCTGAATTGATCAATACTGCTCGACATGCTTTTGATGTTCAAGGTGAGTATAACGTATTACTCATGTGTAATATTTTCTCTAAAAGGTCCAACGTATTTTACAAAAACCTTGTTTTAGGTATACCCTCGTTCATTATAATTGACGAAGACAACAATGTGATAACAAGGCATGGCAAAAATGTCATTTTGGCCGATCCACAATGTCTTGATTTTCCGTGGAAAGCGAAGGAGCTATATGAACTCAATGAGTTCACTGTGCAAAGGATACCTGATCTACCGACTCTTATCATGTTTACAGGTATGCCTTAGGGTGTTTTAAAACTTTTGCGAATTTATGGAGATAAAAGCTTTTGTTTTGATTTTAATATGATGATTTATATTACAGTAGGTGTCAAAAAGACAAACTTTTTTTAAAATTTTTGAAACTTTTACTTTCTGGCTATAATATGATTATTAAGGCGTACTAGGGTCTTGTGAAGGTTTACTGAAAGTTTGGTGATAAAAGCTTTTGATTTGATCGAGATATGATGTTTAATATTACACTAGGTACTGTCAACGCTTTATCTTTGCAGAAGGAACCCCAGAAGACTCGATATTTGCGAAAGACGTACTGAAAACTTGTGCTGACATACTTTATAGTCAGTTAAAGTCTTCGAAATCAGCCGAATCAAATTTGTCGAATCCTGAATCTTCACCGTCTATCACGAATTCTTTGTCTGAAACGAGGTATGTTTAACGTTACTTTTTTAGTGAAACTAGGGGTTTTGGCTATCTATAGGTAATATTTTGTGATACTGAGGCATTTTTGGTTAATACTTTTCTAATTTGTGGATTTTTAGGTAACATTTTATTATTTTCTTGTATTTTTAGGTAACATTATGTGATTTTTTTAATTTTTAAGTAACATTTTACGATTTTTTTGCTTTTTTAGGTAACATTTTGTGATTTTTTACGATTTCAAGGTAATATCAGATATTTTTTGACCATATTTTAGCTAATATCTCATATTGTTTTAGTTCGATTACATCGGAAATGCATGTACCGCCTTATGCAGACCTGATTCAGGTGATGTACACTGGAGAACATCCTATTTGTGACTATGTAAGTTTGATTTTTCGTTAGATCATCTTACAATAAGCACTGTTTTTTCAACCGGTCAAAGTTTTTCCAAAAAAAAATTTTTTTTATAAAAATTATCGACCGGTCGAAAAATTTTGTAAAGTATATTTTTGTCGGTAGAACATTTTTCAGAAGAAACTTATCGACCGGTCGAAAGTTTTCCAAAAAAAAATTTTCTTAAAAGATTATCGACCGGTCGATAAATTTTAAAACATTTGCACTTTATTAATTTAAATTTTAAGCCTAATACCTAAAGTAATATCGTCATTTTTTAAAGTTTTCAACTTTACCCCTTCAGATCCTCGAAAGCCTCGGCCTAGGTCAAATGGAGCTCCCCTTATTGGTCATATGTGACACCCTAACCGGCTTCATGGCCGTTTGTGAGAAACCTGACGTCAGTGATACGACAGCGGTGGAATTTGTGAACGAGTACCGTGCAGGCAAGGCCCGTGTCGTCCCCCTCCCGAAGGCTGGTCCCGGGATCAGAAGTGTCGCTGGTATACCATTAGTACCGCCCGGACAATCATAATTTATGTATTTATATTGAAGTAAATATTAGTATAATGTGGGGGTTTAGGTTGTTTTTGAGTTTTTTGGGAAAGGGGGGGGGGGTTAGCTAATATCTTTTGAATTTTAAGGGAGTTTTAGGTAATATTTTTTGAATTTCAAGCTGATTTTCGGTAATTTTTTAAAAATTGGGCATGATTTTCTAATAATTTTAAATTTTTAGTGCATTTTTGACTATTTTTGGGTTTTAAAAAATTTTTAAAAAATCGACCGGTCGATAATAAAAAAATTTTTTTATATAAAAATACGTATCTGGTTTAAAACATCACCCTTCCACATCCTATACGAAAAAAATTTTGGCTTTCTACCTCCCCCTCCCTCTCTCTTTTTCAGAAAAAATGAGTAGCGACTTCTCTGGCCAAAACCTTTTCATTTTGCACCAAAATCCTTTAATTTAGTACCAAACCCTTTCACTTAGTACCATTTGCTTAAACTATATATAATTCATATAACAATACCCAGGGATCCGCGCGGTCCGACAAAAACCAATTTATTGTGAAAGTAAAAAGACGGCTGACTGAAAGCCAACAACGGATTCGGATTAGAGTGAATTCGGATGGATTTGCTTTGGTTTTTTCGCGTTCAGGGGGCTGAAATCAATGATAAAGTATAGGTTAAAGTTGAGTGAGAGTCCTACCTATTTGGTTAAAGCTAAGTGAGAGTTTTAGCTTATTGGGTAATGCTTTGGCAATTGAAAGAATTAAAAATGGGGGTAGATATGAAGAAGAAATGGCAAGAAAGGCTTGATTTTGGGAAAAAATGACTAATTTTACGGTAAATCATTGGTTTTTGCCCAGAAATCATCGTTTTTAAGGCGGTTTTTTACCTTTTCTTGGGCGTTTTTACGATTTACAAGATGCGTTTTTAAATTTTATATTATTATCATCAAAAGGGTAATGTCAAAACTGGCATTGTTACACTTTAAAGTCTAAAAATTTATCTAAAGTCATCGTTTTTTGGTCAAAATTTGTCATTTTTTAGCCAAAATTCTCAAATTTCTATTGATTTTTGAATATTTTTGGCTTTTTTAAAGAAAGTTTTTTGTAGATTTTTTCATTTTTAAAAAACAGTTTTCAGACCAAAAATCTTCATTTTCAAAGCAAGTTTTTAATGTTTTAAACTGTGTAAAGGAAGTTCTTGTCATTTTTCGTTTTGTAAAGAAAATTCGTGCCATTTTTTGTTTTGTAAAGAAAGTTTTTGCAACTTCAGACATTTTTTTTCAAAAAGTAAAAGTCCGTCTAATGTTTACTTTAGTAGTTTCTGAGCTATAAACCCATGTAATTACTTTCCAATCAAAGAAGGAAAGTCTGAAAAAAGAGTAATCGCTCTGATTTGCGGGATTAAAAACTTTCGTTTGTTTGGGGAAACGTAGTAGCGTATTGTTTAGTCGATAAAATGTCACGTTTTTGTTAGGTTTTCAACGTTATCATTGAAAAAAATGATATTATTTTTGATTTTTTAGATTCATAAAGGAGGGGCTAGTTGTAATCTTTAAAAATTTATGGTTAGTCTTTATTGAAAATTTGGTTTTATAGAAAAAACGCATGACAAATAAATATGACTCTGTTCAAAAATGGAGCACTTAAAGCTACTGCATTTTGAAAAAAGTTTTAAATTAAAAAAATCGAAAAAATTTGTGGCTTTTCGTCAAAAATTGACAAAATCTGCCATTTCGACTTAAAACCTATTGCTTTTCGAGGTTTATCAAAAAAAGTTTATTTTTATGATCAAAACGCGAGAGCTTTCTTTACAAGACAAAAAAAAGGCAAGAACTTTCTTTACAAAACAAAAAATGGTAAGAACTTTCTTTACAAAACAAAAATGGCAAGAACTTTCCTTACAAAATTTAAAATGGCAAGAACTTTATTTACAGAGCATTTAGTTCAAAAAAAATTAAAAAAATAAAATTTTCACGGTAAAATATCTGTCTGACCGTACCAAGTACAGGTATTTACCAGACTTTCCGTTCTTTATTTCTTTTTTTACCACCAATAAGTCTACAATTAGGTATTGTGCTGTAAAAGTGTAATCGAATCGACACTTTTGTTGAAGGTCGAAGTCATTTTTCTTCAGGTTTTTTTGAGGTCGTTGTGCGCTTTTTCAAAAGAGTTTCAATCGACGTGAGGTCGAAATTTGTTTGCGATTTTGGGGAAAAATGGAGTTTCGAACGGGGCTTATTTTATGTTGAGGTTGGGCTTATAGACGTTGGTATGAAGGAACGAGGAGGGAGGGGAAAGTTTGTTTACTTTACCTTTAGGGTAATGTAATTGGGGTAAATCTTTAAAAGTGAAATGCAATAGGGAAATTTCTAATGATAAAGAAGGTGGAATTTCAATTTTTTCGGTTTAAGCTGAGGGCTCAGGAGGCAGGGGGGGGGGAGGAGTAATTAATATTCATTTGCTGTAGCCTATTAGGTAGTGTAAAAAGTTCTGCGCTTTTTAAAAACTTCAAAAATTTACAAGAATTTTCTTTTTTGACAGATTTGAATATTTTTTTGTTGATTAGTAGTCTGTGCCATAGACTTCTATTCACCATATACTTCACATAGAATTATCAATATAATAATTTTTAAAAAATTTTTAAAGTTTTTAAAAGGCGCAGAACTTTTTACACTACCTAATAGGCTTCCGCTAATAGCTCTAGCTTCAGCTCTATTACTGTATTACATTCGGCTTGTTAAGCCTTGCGCTAGTCTTGGCTTAGAATCGGCTTACACTTGGCTAGCGCTGCCTTAGCTTTGCCCTAGCCCCGTTTTAGCCCTCTTGCTCTGACCTTGCCCTGGTCTTACTATAGCCTTGCCCTAGCTTTGCTTTAGCCTTGCTTTAGCCCTGTTTTGCTTTAGCTCTGGGCTTGACCTAGCCTTTCCCTAGCTTTATTCCTAGCCCTAGCCTAGCCCTAACCTTGTTTAGTTTAGCTTAAGCCTTAGCTGTAGCCTATAGTTGCAGCTCTAGCCTTACCCTTAGTTCTAGACCAAGCTCTAGCTCGAGACGCTAGCTCTAGCCTTAGTCTTTTACTCTAGCTTTAGCTGTAGCTCTATCACCTAGACGTAGTCTAAGTCTTAACTCCAAGATTTTCTTACTCTGCCTTACTATTGTTCTGACTACCGCTACCTTAGCCCCAAATTAAGTCTACGCTCCCCCTCTTCTTTAAAAAACTTATAGTGTCGCGTTTTTACCCCCTCCTCCAGAAAACTAGTCTTGTTTATTTAGTAACCCCCTCTAAAAATTTAAAACCAATTTAACAATTTTACTATTAAATGACTTTACAGCGACGAGCTTGTTCCGAGTTAAAAAAACCAAATTGAAATTAAAGCAAATTTCGACGGACTTTCGCTTTTCTCCGCGCCAGCGTTGACCCCGATCTGAGAAAATTATTGAAACAGTGAAAGGAGACCCGTCACACTTCCTAATTGTTATCGACCACTTTTTTTAATAACGAGTAGTTGACTTTTACTTCTTTTTTTACTTTTTACTTGTTTATGGCTTTTAGGGTAGAGGAGGGAAGGGGGGGGGGAGAGAAAGAAGGTATATAGTGTATAGTAGAGTAGGGTAGGACAAAGTAGGGTGAGAAAGAGTAGGGTAGAGTAAGATACTGTTGGTTAGGTTAGAGTAGGGTAGTACTAGACATGAGGAACGGGCCGGTCTTTATTTTCAGACCCGCCCGATGTAAATTTTTCTAAAGACTGGCACGGCCCAAATTTTTTTTAAGTCCAAATGGGCAGGGCTTTGATTTTCAGGCCCGGCCCGGATAAAGGCCTAAATTTAGGGTAGGATAGGGTAAGGTAGGGTATGGTAGGGTAGGGTAACGTGAGCTAGAGCTATATGTTGATATTATATTGTTTTAGAACTGGAACGAATAGGTTTGTCAACAAAGCTAAAGTCGTGAAACCCTGCTATAAGGTAATATACCCTTTTTTTTCTTTTTATATTATACTAGCTTGGTCTTGATTATACTATTAGTGGGAGGAGGATAACGATGCCAAAATGTATTATTGACCGGTCGAAAAAATTTCAAAACAATTATCGACCGGTTGATAAATTTAAAAACATTTTAAGTTTATTAGAAATACATTTTAGCGAATTACTTATAGTTGTTCGAATAATTCTGAGCCCTTTAACTCTGAAAATTTACTTTGAGGAGTGGCACAAAATTATTTGAACTACCTAATATTTAGATTTTTTAAAAATATTTAAAATTATAAATTTTAGGCCGTTTTTTATTTGTTTTTTCATTGTTTTTTCTTATTAATGATGTACGTGGCGTATTTTACTCAACATACCGTCCTCACTAAAATTTATTTTAATAATTTCAGTCACCTTTCCTCAATGATATTAAGAACCCTAACAACATGTATATTGTTGTTGTCAGGAGCCTATGGTGACCATTTCTTGGGTGATGAGCTTCAATCAGATGTTACAGTAAGCCGAGTGAAGAGGGATTTGCCGGAATGGCAAGTCAAATTGAGAGAAAAAGCGGAAAGTTTTGGTCAAAGTGATAAGCAACAGGAAACAGTACAGTACTACTTGGGCAAACTGAATGATATTGCAGAGAGCCGGCATCAGGATAAGAGTGTGGTAAGATTACTGTACATTAAAATTTTTTTTTATTTTTTGTTTTTTTTTAAATGGTAGCCCAGAGCCCTAGCTCTAGCTTTAACCCAGGGCCCTAGCCCAGAGCCCTAGTCCAGAGCCATAACCCAGAGCCATAACCCAGAGCCCTAGTCCAGAGCCCTAGCCCAGAGCCCTAGCCCAGAGCATTCGCCCAGAGCCCTAGCCTGATCGCTAGCAGTAGCCCTTGACTGAGCTTAAGCTTTAGCCTTACAATTGTTAGCTCTAACATAGTGTGTAGAATAGCTTAAATCTAGCCTCAACCTAGATTTTTCTTTGAATTTTTAGTCATGCTACTGCCTTCTCTTAGCCCTACGTTACCCAACTCATTACGCAAGCAATTTTACAAAGGCTTTAACAGTAAAAAATACCAAATTTTATGACGGCTTTAATCTAAGCCTTCAACCTATGTTTAAGCCTAAGCCTTACGATAAACTTAAGCCTAAGCCCAAGCTTTAGCCTAAACAACTGAAATTCAAACGAATTACAAGGTTAAACCTTAGCCGTACCCGAAGCCTCAACCTTAACCTAAATCAAAGTCATAGTTTAAGCTTAATCTTAAAACTAAGGTTTATCCTAAGCCTTAATTTAAGCCTAAGCCTACATAACTGTATAAAACTTATTTTAGAATGAAGTCCGTACCCAATTGGACCTATGGAACAACAGGCAACATGATGATGTTGGCTCGAAAAAGTTGAAACCAGAGGAAAGTCGACATCATTTTCAAGGTAATTTTGATTTGAATTTGTTTTTGTAAACAAAGTTTTTGCATTTTTTTTTGTTTTTAATCAGAAAACCCTTGCTTTCGTATTTTACACAATTTTTTTTAATTTTGAAATTCCAGGAGACATTGTATTGACGCCAGATCAAGCCGAAGAGCTGTACGAAAGAGCAAAGGAGCATGGAAACCGAAGGGTAAAACGGAAGTTTATTGGGACAAAAGTGAGAAGGTGGGACCCAACCAAGCCTATCGTCTACAGTTTTGATGGAAGTCATAGTAAGTTTATGATTCTACAGGGTAAAGTAGGGCAGGTTATGGTAGGGCACGGTAGTGTAGGGTAGGGTAGGGTAGGGAAGGGAAGGGTAGGGTAGGGTAGGGTAGGGTAGGGTAGGGTAGGGTAGGGAAGGGAAGGGTAGGGTAGGGTAGGGTAGGGAAGGGAAGGGTAGGGTAGGGTAGGGTAGGGTAGGGTAGGGTAGGGTAGGGTAGGGTAGGGTAGGGTAGGGTAGGGTAGGGTAGGGTAGGGTAGGGTAGGGTAGGGTAGGGTAGGGTAGGGTAGGGTAGGGTAGGGTAGGGTAGGGTAGTATAGGGTAGGGTAGGGTAGGCTAGGGTTGGGTAGGGTATGTTAAGGTTGGGTAGGGTAGGGTAGGATAGGGTTAGGTAATGTAAGGTAGGGCAGGGTAAGGTAGGGCAGGGAATGGTAAAGTAAGGTAGGGTAGGGTAAAGTAAGGTAAGGTATGTTACGGTAGGGTAACATAAGGTAAGGCAATTTAAAAAAATTGTTAGTCAGGGCATGGTTGACCGGGGGGGGTGAGGTAAAAAATTTTTTTTATGTTTGCTTAATTTTAGACTATTGTTTACACAAAAATAAAAAATTAAAAAATATTTTAAATTTTTTTTTGCTTTAGGCTTATTTTAAAATTTTTAGGCCTAAAAGCCTTTTTTTTACAAAAATTTTGTAATTTCAGCCAAAAAAGAGCAAAGAGTAATAGAACTGGCTTTGGAACACTGGCATAACATCACTTGTTTAAACTTTGAACGACACGAAGGAGAGCCAAAAGGAAGTCAATTGGTGTTCACTGACGTCGATGGATGTGCCTCTAATGTTGGTCGACATCCATTAGGGGAACCACAGTTTGTGTCGTTGGGGCCTGAATGTATTCGGGTAAGTATTTATACCATTTTTAAATTTAAGAATGAAGTTTAAAAAGAAAATGGCTAGAACTTTCTTTGCAAAACCAAAAATAGCAAGAACTTTCTTTACAAAAAAAAACGGCAAGAACTTTCTTTACAAAACTAAAAACGGCAAGAACTTTCTTTGCAAAACAAAAAATGGCAAAAACTTTCTTTACAAACCAAAAAATAACAATAACTTTCTTTCCAGCTCGGAGTAATAGCTCACGAAGTCGCTCATGCCTTGGGCTTTTGGCACGAGCAATCACGCCCAGACCGTGACTTCTTCGTTAACGTGCGATGGGAGAACATTGACAAAGACAGTAAAGGTCAATTCCTGAAAGAACAACCGGTCGATGTTGATACGGGTGGAGTACCGTATGATTACGGTAGCATTATGCACTACCGTAGTAAGGCGTTCGCACGTTTTGATGATTTATTCACGTTGAGCACGTTTGTGAGTGATTATCAACGTACGATTGGGCAGAGAGATCAATTGTCATTCAATGACATCAGGTTGATGAACACGATATACTGTAAGAATACGTGTAGTAAGAAGTTACCGTGTCAACGAGGTGGATATACTGATCCTAGGCATTGTGACAAGTGTAGATGTCCGGATGGATTTACTGGAACGGTAAGTGTTTAAAGAAAAAACTGGGTTTGACATGGGGTTTACGATTATGGTAATACTACGGTATAAGTGAGAAGGGTAAGTTGGGCAAGCGCGCGGGATTAAGGTAGTGCTACAGTAAGTGTAGGAGGGGAAGGTAGGGCAAGGGTTTGGGATTACGGTAACTGTTAGGGCAAAGTAGTGTAGGATCTATCAGGAAAAAGGTAGGGTAAAATTACCGTAGGGCATGGGGAATTACAGTAAAAAAATTAAGTTTACGGGATAAGCCAAGCCGTAGGGTAGGGTAGGGTAGGGTAGGGTAGGGTAGGATACGGTAGGCTAAGGTAGGGTAAGGTACGGTAGGATACGGTAGGGTGCGGTAGGGTACGGTAGGCTGCGGTAGGGTGTGGTAGGGTAGGGAGTAGGGTAGGGTAGAGCTTTTTAAACCTTAAAATTTTAGTTATGTGATGAAGTAATGCCTGGTTACGGAGCTGAATGTGGCGGTAACATCAGGGTAAAAGAGAATTGGCTACAGTTCAGTTCCCCAAGCTATCCAGCAGAATTCAAAGAAGGACAAGAGTGTTCATGGATGTTTACAGCACCTAAAGGACAACATGTATTGTTACAATTTAATGGAGAATTCGAAATGTACTGTAAGATACGGCATTCACTTTGTATGGACTATGTTGAAGTCAAAAATACCACGGACTTTGCTAACACTGGCATGAGGTAAGGTCCACCCTACCTTACTTTACCGTACTGTACCGTACCGTACCGTACAGTACCGTATTGTAGCGTTCCGTATCGTACCGTACTTTACCCTACCCTACCCTACCCTACCTTACTTTACCCTACCCTACCTTGCCTTACTTGTAATTTTTCCTTATTCTACAGTAATATTATTCTATCCTACTATCATAAATGAATTTTAGATACTGTTGCAATGGCACACCCAAGTCTCCAGTAGTATCGGCGACCGAAGACTTGGTCGTGCTGTTCCGCTCCTTCTACCGTTCCGGCAAAGGCTTCCAAGCCCGCGTCAAAGCCGTCCCACACACGGGTTCGTGGAGCACCTGGTCGTCCTGGTCCGAATGCACGGCGTCGTGTGGTGCATGTGGTGCGCGTCGCCGCACCCGCGAATGCACACCCGCCAACGCTTTTTGTTTGTCAGTGTTTTTAGTTTTTTGGGTTGTTGTAGATTGGTGTTTGGGGGGGGGGATTGGGTGGGAAAAGTGAAGATGATAGTATGGGTATAAGGGGTAATTCGGTGTTGTGGGGCTAAAACAGAGACAAGGGCTGGATTTGTAGTGTATGGTAGGGCAAAGTAGAGTTTCAGGTAGAAATAGGTAGAGGTCAGGGACGTCGCTACGGTTTTTCTCTGGGGGGGGGGGGAGTTTAAGCTACCTGTGGACCGATTTTTCAAAAAATTTTTTTTTTCGTTTTTCGCGTACAGGTACCACCTGTGGAATTTTTTTTCGGATCGGCTCTGGGGGGTACCCCCCCCAAACGACGTCCCTGGTAGAGGTACAAGGGTAGGATAAGAATAACACAGAGCTGGGGTAGAATCTGTAAATCTTGTTTTTTGTTGTTCAAATAGTTATGTGCCCCTGACTATAAAAAATGTAGTTTGGAGAAAGAGCACAGAATTATTTGAACAAACTGGTAGTATAAGATAGGGCACTGGTAGGACTAGGCGGGCTTGAGGTTAAAAGGGGCTAGCGTATGGCTAGGCTGGAGTAAGGTTAGGTCTTGGTAGAGTAAGGTTAGGCTGGGGTAAAGTTAGGTTTGGGTAGGGTATAGCAACGTTAGAATAGAATAGGATAAGCAAAGGGTAAACTTTTAGTAGGACTGAACTAAGACTATGGTAAGGTACGCAATAGCTACTTTTAACAATAATTTTGTGAAATTTTAAAATTTTTTTGTCGTTTTTGTGTGTGCTATCACAGTATATTGTCCTGTTTGTACTGTAATGTATGCACAGATAATTTACTATTAGCCTTATTTTATCAAAAATGCATTTTTTTGATAAAACGGCTTAAAATTTGATTATTTTAGCTAATGCTATGTTGTTCAAATAATTTTGAGCTTTTTTTTCAATGCAAAGTTTTACGGTTAAGTGGCTCAGAATTTTTCGAACAACAATACATGTCATTTTTTGTTAAACTTTTTTTTGAACTTTTAAATTCTGCTTTTTGTCATAGATTTACAGAGTAATAAAGCTTCTCTTATAAGGTAAACGTTGCCCAATTTCAGGGGTGAAGATGTCGAAACGGAGGTTTGCAACACCTCGCCTTGTAAGGGACTCTGTAGTCGAAAGCGGGTCGAAGAGGCGCCCTGCACCGGTTTCCTCTCTCTTCTCAAGGGAATAAAGTGCAAAACGTGAGTGGAAAAATGGCATTTTTGTGAAAGTTTTTTATTTTTGAAATAAAAAAAAAACTTTAAATTTCTTTTTTTTTGAAGTTTTGATTTTTTAAAAATTTTTGTGATTTTTTTGGAATTTTTTTTGAATTTTTTTTAAAAATTTTTAAATTTTTTTAAAATTTTTTGAAATTTTTGAAATTTTTTGCGTTTTTTGGATTTTTTGGAATTGCTGAGGTTTTTTGAATTTAAAAAAAAAATTTTTTTAGTATTTTTGAAACCTTTTTTTTGAATTTTTTTTTGAATTTTTTGAAATTTCCGAAATTTTTTGCATTTTTTTGGAATTTGTGAAATCATTTGAATTTTTTTTTGAATTTGTGCAATTTTTCAAAAACTTTTTTAATATTTCGAAATTTTTGAAGTTTTTTTTAAATTTTTAAAAATACTGAATTTTTTGAATTTTTTATATTTTTTCGTTTTTAAAAATATTTTTTTTGAAATTTCAGTGAAAAGACGAGAATGGAAGAGTGTAACGAGATATGCTGCTCTGGCTTTCAATTAATCGACGGGGAGTGCAAAAACTAAACGATTATATTATTATTTTTTTCATTGAGTTTATTGTTTCTTTCAATCAGACCAAATACGGGTATTTAATAAACTTAAATTTTTAAGCTTAATGTTTAGAAATTGTTTTTTGGAGGGTAGGATAGGAAACGGTAGGCTAGAGTAAGCTAAGGTAGACTACAGTAGGCTAGAGTAGGTTAAATTAAGCTAGAGAAGGATATAGGGTAAGCCAGGGTAGGTTAGAGAGAATTAGGGTAGGTCTCACATATAAATAGTAAACTACAGTAAAGTTAATTTATGAATACGGCAGGGCAGACAAGGTCAATTTAAAGCACAGGCGATGCTACGAAAGTCTAGTAAAGAAGATATAGTATAATGTGCCTAGGAATAGATGCTAACTGATAACTATGGTATTTTTATAACCAACCATGCAAGCTTGAGGTTGAGGTAAGATACGATAGAGTTAGAATAAAGCAAATATAATAGCAAAAGGTTGGTTTGTTTTTTTTTCCCAAGGCATGAGTTTTTTTTAAGTTTTTTAGGGCTATAACAGTTTGTGGGTTTGGTAAAATACGGTAGGTTTATTTTAATGGTAGGGTAGGGTAGGATAACGTAGAATAGAGTACAGTAGGGTAGGGTAGGGTAGGGTAGGGTAGGGTAGTGTAGTGTAGGGTAGGGTAGGGTAGGGTAGGGTAGGGTAGGGTAGGGTAGGGTAGGGTAGGGTAGGGTAGGGTAGGGTAGGGTAGGGTAGGGTAGGGTAGGGTAGGGTAGGGTAGGGTAGGGTAGGGTAGGGTAGGGTAGGGTAGGGTAGGGTAGGGATGTGAGCACTATTATATTTAGTACTACTTGCACTTTCTCCGAACTGAAAAACCTCATTGCACTTTCCTGTGAATGAGTCAGTATGTCGAAAACACAAAGTCGTAAACCGCCGAGTATAAACCGACAAGTATCATAGTACTCGAATTTACTCACATCAGTGAATTCCAACTTTTTTTTGTTTCGGCGCACATTTCGTCCTGCATACGCAATGATGTTGGAGTAAGTTTTTGGGCCGCATCTGGAGTGCACTTTCGTCTGAATCTTTTCATTGTTACTGTCTTTTGGAGAGGCTAATTTGGTCGTTGCTTAGTTATTGAAAGGCTACGACCAAGGGTAGGGTCTACGTGTGTTGTTGGGGTTGTTTGGTTCAATGAGGCCAATTTGCTAATTTTTTGCTTATTTTTGTAGTAATCAAAGAATTCGGGAAGCAAAAGTTGAGTAAGAGAGGGAAAGGGTAAGTAATAAAAAGAAGGGGGGGGAGAATGGGGTACTACAAGAAGAAACGCGAGAGGGGCAAGAAGAAAGAGATGTAAAGACAGAAATAGAAAAAATTAAGCGGCGATAGGGGGGGGGGAGAGTAGGAAATAATACAAAAACGCAAGTATTTTCTTTACAAAACAAAAAATAGCAAAAACTTTATTCAAAAATCAAAAAATGACAAGAACTTTCTTTACCGAGTCTGAAATCGCAAGAACTTTCTTCACAAAACAAAATTTTTTTTATTATTATCCCCTTCTCAAAATTTATTTTCGCCTCTCCCCCTTTTTCTTTCTTTTTTTTTACCCTACCCTTATTACCTCATCCTCGTTACCCTGCCCTTTTTATGTCACCCTTATCAACCAATCCCCATTACCCCACCTCCATTATGTCATCTCCCATAATTGCGTTCCCATTACTTCACTCCCTTGATCTCACCCCTACCACCCAGCCCTCCTTTGTCCTTTTAACTTCACCACTCCCACTAAACAGTCAGCCATATTGTTTTAATTAAACTTACAAATGCACTTTTCTGGCTTAACTTTTCAACTATTTTTAACTGTCGAACATCTCACTTACCCCACCCCACCCCCTCCCCCCCTCCGCACACACAATTGTTGACGTTAATTGGTTAAAAAACGAAAGCCGTTTTTTAATGAAACTCGCCTGCGGGGAACACTAAAAGAAGGCTGAATGTCCATGCCCAAGCCTAGTTGAGAGTAAAACTGCGCAGTTAAACGTTTAACTTATTTCGAATGTGTGAAGGATGGATAGGTTGTAGAGCTTTTGATAAACGTGATGGGGTGTTACAAGGTTCAAAAAAAAGAAAAGGGGGGGGTGGGGTAGAAATGTCGCTTTGTCATAAAAATGGCTTCCTTAGATTGGAATAGGTTGGTCTAGGTCAGAGTTGTAGATGGAACAATGGCTTAGGCTTAGGTTTAGGTTTAGGTTTAGGCTTAGGCTTAGGCTTAGGCTTAGGCTTAGGCTTAGCCTTAGTCTTAAGCTTAGCAAGCTTAGGCTTGGATTTAGGCTAAGGCTTAGGCATAGCCTAAGTTCACAATATTTAATCTTTTTGAAGCTTTTAAACCTAAGGTAACTAAACCTATGATTGCTAAGCCTACTAAGCCTAAGCCTACTAAGCCTAAGCCTACTAAGCCTAAGCTTACTAAGCCTAAGCCTACTAATCCTAAGCCTACTAAGTCTAGGCCTACTAATCCTAAGCCTACTAAGCCTAGACCTACTAAGCCTAAGATTACTAAACCTAGCCAATTTATAAGTTTAACAATAAGTCTACTGTTACTAAGTCTACTAAGTTTAAATCTACTATCTCTAAGTATCTTGCGTAGCTTGCGTATGACAACAATTTAAAATTTATTTATTCTTGTTAAATATTAACCTTGTTATGTCAAATTGAACATGTCATTTCCCCGTCGAATTACTCATTTGTTGGTTTGGGTAATAATAAGTACGGCCGGTTTTGTGAAAAGACATGAAGAAAGGAAGAGTTAAAGAGATGAGCACGAAAATAATACTTGTTTACAAATTGTGGTTATTGTTGTTTGAGGAAGGTTATGGACGGGTTTGGGTATATAAACGTGTTGTTTTTAGCCCCGGCAAACCTCTGTTTTCTTGTTTTTGTGCTTGTTATAGTACCTAGAGGGGTTGAGAGATGTGTGGCTGGTAAAATGTTTTTAGAAAAAATATTGTGGGATTAAGGTAAGAAAGGCAGGGTAAAAAGTATGGCAAGGTTAGGTTTATTTAAACCTAGGGTTATTATTAAGGCTTTAAACTCGGATTAAGCTTAAGCTTAGGCTTAGGCTTAGGCTTAGGCTTAGGCTTAGGCTTAGGCTTAGGCTTAGGCGTAGGCTTAAGCTTAGGCTTAGGCTTTGGCTTAAGTTTTGCCTTAGGGAAGCTTGGAATTGAGCTTAAGGCGATGACTTAGATTTAAGTTCAAAATTAGGCTTATGATTTATGCGTAGACTAAGAATAACGGTTAAACTTAGTTTTTGTCTCAGCCACATCTTTATAATTTTTAATATTGTAAATGTAGAACGTATTTTTTAAATTTGAATATTTTAAACTTAAAGTTTTTAATTTGTGAGTTTTGAAAACAACTTCCGTATGCCCAGTAAGCTCCACATGGCAGCATTATGTGTACTTGAGCAAATTTTATGTGTCTTCTTTAACACATTTCTTCCTTTAATTTTTGGCCCAAAAGTACTCGACAACCATTAACATTCACTTATGTCAACTATCTTTGTTCAATTAAAAAAGGGAAAATGCGTACAGCCTTTTGTGTTGAAGAGGCTTAGCTAGTTTTTGCACTTTTTAGGGTGTGAAGGGGGGGGGGAGGGTATTTAGGAAGAAGGGTAGTTATTAGAAAGGAAGGAAAAGGGTTTTTAGTGAGGGTGGGGGAGGGTAGTTAGTGAAAAAGAAGAGGAGGTAGTTAAAGATGAAGAAAGAAGGGGCAGTTGCAGTGGAATGGGTAAGGTAGTTGGAGAGTAAGGTGGAGAGTAGTTATAGAAAAAAGAGTTGAGGGTAGTTAGAGAAGAAGGGGTAGTTGGAAATTAAGGGGGGAGGGGAGTAGTCATAGTGAAAGAAGGAAGGGGTAGTTATGGTAAAAGAAGGAGGGAGTAGTTAGAGAGAAGGTGTAGGGGTAGTAACAGTGCAAGGGGTGAGGGGGGGGGGTGGGTAGTTAGAAGAAAAAAGAGGGGGGGGGGAGGTTTCATTTTTTTAAGGGCGGTTTAAGTAGAGGTGGGACAAAATTCAAAAAATTAAAAAAAAAATTTTTATGTTTTTAAACCAACCCCCCCCCTCTTTTTTTTCCCGTTTTTTTTTGTAGCCATGTGTCGGGCGCAAATTGCCTTGCTGTCACTCCCCCCTCCCCTCCTCCCCCCTTAAAAAATTTTTTGAAAAAAGTTGAGCGTGTTTTTCCCTGTGAATTTTTTCGACCTTTGCTTTAAGGCCAAATGTGCTTGTTTTTCCCGACTTTTCAATTTTTTTTTAAATTTTAAAATTAAAAAAAAATATATTTTTTGCCATTTTTGCAACATTAAAAGCATCAAAATGCAAAAAATGAAAAAAACAAGTGCAAAAACGAAAAAGACACGAAAAATGACATAAAAAGGTGACACATATCACATAAAAGTTGATTCTTAACAGACAAACGGCTTGTAATTAGCGAAACCGACGGGCGCTGTTTGATTCGATAATTTTTTGGCCGTGGAATTTGTGCCCCAGGGAATTGAAATAATTTCCAAAAAACATGGCTACTAAACGCTTTTTGAGCTAAAAATATATCATCATCAGGGTTTCGTATAGATGAGGGTTGCGATGCTGTGGTATGAGAAAGAGTGTCAAGGGTAGGGTAGAGTAAAGTAGGGTAGGGCAGAGTAGGGTGGGTTAAAAAAAGTAGAGTAGAGTAGAGTAGGGTAAGATAGGGTAAAATATACTGAACTGAAATCTAAACTAAGCTAGACTATGTTAGGTTAAGATAGGCTAATCTAGGCTAACCTAGACAAAGCTAGCCAAAGCTAGACTATGCAAGGCTGAGCTGTGCCGATTTATGTCAATATATGCCGAGTTGGGCTAAAATAGACTAAGTCAGGCTAATCTAAGCTAGGTTAGGCTAGGATAAGGTAGAATAAACTTGGTTAAGATAGGCTAGTCTAAGCTAGGCTAAGCTAAACTAAGCAGAGTAAGCTAAGCTAAGCTAACTATGCTAAGCTAGGCTAAACTACAATAAGCTAAACGGAGATAGACTAAACTAATCTAAGCGACTCGCGACCGTCTTATAAAGCCTTTTTTGGCTTGATCATGTTTAGGGTAGGCTTGAAAAGCGGCATACTAGGCTCCACCGGGTCTTTGTCCAGCATGGTCTCGGGAAAGACGAGGCTGAGTCAACGTTTGAGCGTGAGGGCATGGATATAAACGAAACTGCAGAGCGAAAACTGTTGAGCTAGGCTTTTTTACAGGTTTTGTTTAAGGTTTTTTCTGTATTTTTTTTTGCTTTTTTTGCTGTATTTGGCTTTACAGTAATTACTTTTGGCTGTTTTTTTTATTTTACTGTATTTTTTCTTCATTTTTTAACTTTTTTTTGTAATTTTTACGTACCACGCTCCCCACTCCCTTTCAGTTTTAAACTTACGGTACAGTAATTTTTTTTATACTGTGATCTGTCTATATAGTGAACAATCTGTGTAAGCAACTCTTCTTATAGTAAACAAGACATTTGGTCCCGCAAAGTCAATTTAATGCAAAGTCAGTTTGCACTAATAAGTCTCTCTGTAAAGACAACACCCCTTATAGTAAACACAAAATGTCGGTTCCTTCGGGTTGTTCATATAGAAAGTGTACTGTATTTATTCAAACTCCCTTACCCTTTACTCATCAAAACTTCATCTATAATACCATTCAAATGTGTTGATTGCGGAAATTAAAATCTTGGTTTTGGTGTGAATTTTCGTTTTGAAAAGTTTGGGCGAGAACTGAAAGTGGGCGTGGCTTTGTGGCTGAATGCGGTTTGGGGCCGGGGGAAGATTGTGGCCGCGTCTGTTGTCCCGTCTCCAATCTCATTTTGGTTTATAAGTGTTGTTGCGTAAAGAATGGCATCTTTTGATATTAAGATTTATGGGGGTTTTGATTGGGCTTGATCATGATGTATGTTATATTTGTTATGGGAGGGGGGGGAGAGAAAGGGGAAAACGGAGGGTTAGGAAGTGTTGAGCGAAAGTAGGGTAGCTAGAGTAAGCTAGAGGATGAGAAAACAGTGTACGGCAGTTAGGGTAGACTTTGTTTTATCTTGGTACCAACTTTTTTTTCATTACTAAGGGTACCATTTCCTACAACTTAAAAATTTTATCAGTTTTTTTTAAAAATGTACTAGTTACGGTAAAAATAGTACCTCTAGTACTAACATTTTGAAAAATGCTTATTTTTTATACTGGTAGCCTATAAGGTACGGTAGGGTAGGAGAGGGTAGGGTACGGTAGGGTAGAGTAAGATAGGGTATGGTAGGGTAATGTAGGGTAGGATTTGTCGAATTTCGTACCATTAGTATCAAAATTTTTTTTGAATTACGCGTTTATTTTTTTTTAAATTTTAATTTGTAAGGTTATAGTACCATTGCACCACCTGCTCCATTAATACCAACAACAGTAGTACCGCGTTATGCGGCGGGCCCCAAAAGTAGTGGGCCGAGTTTGTGCAGATTAATGAATGCACCAATATCATCTGCTGCTTCTTGTTTGTTCAGTTGGTCTACAGGTTTTAGGATATACCTCGGCGGCGCAGCACTACGTCCGCGAACACACGTGGGTTTTTGAAATTTTAAAATTTAAAAAAACTGTAAAAACTTTTACAAGCTGGCTTGAACGAAAGGTAGGGTAGGGCAAGGTAAGAAATACTTTTACGAAATAAAAAAGCTTGGATAGGGTAGGCTTAATAGGAGTTTAAATGCTGTCCCGATCTTTTTACAAGGCTAAAGTAGAGCGAAGATATAATTAGAGTAACAGAAGGGTAAGGTAAGGTACAACAATGGTAGAGCAAAAGACAGGTTGGGCAGGACTATAGTGAAGTATTAGTTTTGACATAAAGAACCCGCCATTTTTTACAGGAAATTACATTCAAAGTATGGCGGGTTCTTTATGTCGGCACCTAATAAAAGTAAGGCGTAGATAAGCTAGAGCTCTAAATGTATCAAGTAGTATTAGGCAAGGGTTAAGCTAAAGCCATAACCAAACTTAAAAGCATGACCTTGAGCTAGGCTTTGGAATAGTGTTAGGGCTAAGCCTGACCTTTTGCGAAAGTAATGTTTTTTATTTCAGATTCAAAAATAGATATTGTTACAGTTGCATGTCACGGGATTTCGAGAAACACTGGTCGTATTTGGATCAGGTAAGCATGGATTTCAATTTTAATGCCTGCTGGCTTGGCCCGTTTTGATTTTTTTTGGCCCGACCTATTTTATAAACAAAGATATGACAATAGTATGTTGACAATAATAATATTAGTGTCATTATTTGATGTATTGTAGGCATGTAGATTTGTGCTATATAAAGCACAATTTTATTTACGGCTCATAAATTATGTTTTGTAAAGAAATTTCTTGCCATTTCTTATTTTGTAAAGAAAGTTTACGCCACGATTTGTTTATATTTTGATGTTGTTTAAGAATCGAAAAGCCGAAACACCCCTCAGGCTGACATAAATTGTAATTCGATCCGTTGAGATGGAGCAGAAAAAAACTTTTGTCATATTATTTGGCTTCGAAGCATTAAATGGGGCCTTTCCGTCGTAAAATTTGTTATAAAATTTGTTGTGCCATCATAAAAAGTTGAAATGAAAGTAACACAATGCCAGGCCAAGCGAGAGGAATTTAATCAGCCGGCTGACGCTAATTCTCCGGTCTGGCTAATATGGGGAGGGGGGGGAGGGGTTATGATAAAAATGGGGTATAATATGAAAAATGGCAAGAACATTCTTTACAAAACAAAAAATGGCAATAACTTCCTTTACAAAAAAAATAGCAAGAACTTTCTTTACAAAACAAGACATTGCAAGAACTTTCTTTACAGCGAAAAATGTAAAAATTTCAAAATAAAAAAAAATTTAATATCTTCTCCTACCAAAATATAAAAAAGTGTTAAAAAACATTAAACATGACCCATTTACCATGAATCAAACCCATTCTTCAGATTTACTATCGGCCAATTAATTTTACGGATGAGTGCCATTCGATGGCTCCGGAGAAATTTATTGGCCGTCAGCCTTGTAGTCATTCATTATGTGTTACCGTAGTGGAGCCGAGAGTATTGGCAGGTACGTTTTTTCATGATAGTACTATGTAGCACTATTGATGTTTGAAAGAGCACTCGTACTCAATAGCTCTGGAGTTAATCTTTTGTACTTGTACTTAATAGCACTAGTGTTCATCTTTCACACTCGTACTCAATAGCACTGGTACTGTTTTATAAGTTCTACTAGCGCTTTCTATATGCTATCTATTACTGTATAGTACTAGAATAACACTATGATACTTGATAGTACTAATGGTACTATATAGTAGAAATAGTACATAGTGGCACTATAGTACTGTTGGATACTACTAAAAGTATTGTGTAGTTTATGCTTTAGATAACTACTAGTACTATATAGTATCAGTACTAGTAAGTATGCATATTTGATAGCACTTATAGTACTTGAAAGCACTCTTAATACTGTATAGTACTATTAGTCTTTTATATCACTACTAGTACTCTATGTGTAGTACCAGTACTGGTACTTGATAACACTACTAGTAATACATAAAAATGAATTTTTGAGTTTAAAACCGAGTGTTTGAGACGAAGAACCACCGTTTTATGCTTGAACAACTCAAGAACAATACCATTTTCATCGCTTTTTAGACCATTGAAACAATTTTTAGGCCGCTACGTGGGAAACAACGTCATCCGCGGATGCTTTTCGACCGTGTTCAAGTACGGCGAAGTGCCTGTTAACACTGTGGCAGGTATGACATTGCTAAATATAACCCTACCCTACCCTACCCTACCCTGACTTGGTTTGGCTTGGCTTGGCTTGGCTTAGCTTGCTGTGCCGCGCCCTGCCTTGCCCTGCTCTGCTTTTCCCTGCCTTTGTCCAGCGCAACCCAGCCCAGCCCAGCCCAGCCTAGCCCAGCCCAGCCCAGCCCAGCCCAGCCCAGCCCAGCCCAGCCCAGCCCAGCCCAGCCCGACCCAGCCCAGCCCAGCCCAGCCCAGCCCAGCCCAGCCCAGCAAAACCCAGCCTAGCCCAGCCTAGTCCAGCTCAACGCAGTCCAGCTTAGCCTAGCTCAGTCAAGCCCAGCCAACCTATCCTGCCCAACCCTATTATTCCTTATCTACCGTAACCCAACTCACTGTCAATATTTTTAGAAACAAGTTGTTCAGCCTTCGGAATGAGTCGATTGTTACCTAAACACCTAGCTTCTCGATCGAGTAATCGTACTGTCGAGTTGTGTACATGTCTTGGTAACCTGTGTAATGACTATCCCTGGGCACCGCCAAACTCTTCCACTACCTCATGGTCATACAGTATGATTCTGGTTGGGATGTTACTGTACTTTTTATAAAATATTTTTTAAAATTTTATTTCTTTGATTAGTCTTAATGGTACCATTTTCGGCTAACTTACAAGTATTACTAATGGTACTATTTAGGCGGTTTGTCTAGTAGTCTTTTGCAAATGACCGTAGTTGTACCATTAAGACTACTAAATCAAAAGTACTAGTAGTACCATCGGTACCAATTTACCGTCTTTTTTCGTATGTACGGGTCCTTGATTGATCCATTTTTTGATCTCTTTTCATTAAACTGTACCAAAAGTTCTCGGATTTTTTGCACCGTGCAAAGATTAAAAAACTGCACCGTGCAAGCTTATAATTACTGCACTGTGCAAGGTTATAATGACTGCACCGTGCAAGGTTATGTGTACTGCACCGTATGGCACTGTGCACAAATAAAATTATTTTACAGTACTTCTAAGAACGTTTTGTCCGTTTTATTTTTTCCACAAACTTTTTGATCAGTTCAGCTCTTTTACAAACGTATTAATCAATTTAAACTTAAAAGTTGATACCAAAAAGCCTTTCAACCTGTAATCCCACGTCTATTTGCCAATCTTTATTCGATATTATGTTATTTTTGCAATAAACAAATTTATTGACAGTAAAATCAAGAAAAATACCGAGAGGAAGAGAAAAAAAACCGTAAAATTTTGAAAAAATTTGAATTTTAGACAAATTGAAAGTTAAAAAACAATATGACAATGAAAAAGATAAGCTCTCGGACGATATGCAAATGAGAAAAAATTAAAAAATTTTAAAATTCAAAAAAATTTTAAATTTAAAAAAAAATTTAATAATTTTAAAAAATCGGAGAAATGAAATTTAAGGACGGAGATCAAACAAAAAAAGTAAAGTAAATGATAAAGCTAATATCACCAATATTATCAACAGTAAGAAGTAAGACAAAATAAGGTAAAAATCGTTGAGAAATATGTGAAAATAAGAGTAAAAAAAGCCAAAATAAGCCAAAAGATGACCAAAAAAGACCAAAATTATGTGTAAAAAAGCTGAGAAATAACCAAAAAAGACCAAAAAGGCAAAAAAATTTAAAAAAATAAAAAGAAAGTTTAAGAAAAGGCCAAAATAGATCTAAAAAAACAAAAAAAAAGAGAAATAATATGTAATATAAGATTAAAGGAGACCAAAAATAGGTCATAAAAAACAAAAAATTTTTAAAAAAAATTTAAAAAGGCCAAAAAAAAGTAAAAAAAAGAGCAAAAAAGGCCAAAACTACATAAAAAGATGATAAAAAACATGAAAAACAATTAAAAATTGATGTGAAACAAAGACAATATAATATGTAAAACAATGTTAAATAGCAGTCAAAGATAAGTAAAAACACATTTTTAGACAAAAACATAAAGTGTAATGACTTATATTGAATTATTTAATATTATTAATAAGGCATGAAAAAAGTCTTGTCGCCAATTTACATGTATTTTAATAAAGAAAAACGACAAGACTTTTTGAATCCTTATTAAAATTAAAAACCAAACCGTATCTAACCCTTCTAAATCTCATTATATAATAAATACCATTAGAAAAGTGTCATTATAAAGAAAAACTACGCCGGCGGTAAGGCGTAGGTTTGGATTGAAGAAGGCGGTGAGAAATGGGTTGGGCGGGGTAATCCACTCCAAAAAAGTGTTTTTTTTTCAAAAAAAATTGAAAGTTGAATATGATCACTTCTCTAAATGAAGAAAAAAAATTTTTTTTACCCTGCCACCCCCCAAAAAAAATTTACCCCGCCCAAAAAAATTTTTTGAAAAAGTCGAAACCTGAATGTGATCACCATCTAAATTATTTTTAAAAATATAATTTTTTAACCCACCCCCCCCTTCCCTTCCCCTGTCAAAAAATTTACCACGCCCAAAAAATTTTTTTTTAAAAAAACCGTTTGCCCTTAATGATAATTTCCTATATAACCCTATAAAGTACCAAAATCATCACGATGCCTTTTCTCCATCAGCCGCCGCTTCATGATCCTCCTCCTCATTCACCACGCTGACCTTCTCCTTAGCCCTGATGTTCTCCAGCTCCTTGATCAGCTCATGTTGCGCCTTCAAGCTTTGGATCGTGCGCTGATACTCGGTGAGGTTCTCTTCCGAGTGTTCGGTTAGTACTGATAGCTTTCCGCTTTGTTGATCTGGATCTTTGAGTTGATAATCACCTTCATTCTTGAGTTGGCTTCGTGCTCGGCGGTGGAAAATGTGGACTAGTACACCAATAAGGCCGGATAGGATGAACATGAGGCCGGCTGCTACGAAGGTGGCATCGTAGGATTGAGTTACATCGTATACTACTCCTGAAAATGAAGTTTCTTACCTAAAAAAGGGTCTAATACAAGGTTTGTTACCTAAAATCTCCGTTTAAAACTCAACTTTTAACTCAAAACTTACTACCATTTTAAAACCACACCCTTAATTCAACTTACCAGCCAAGGGTGTGCCCATTAGTGAGGCCAATCCACGAGAAACGACCAGTAAACCAAAAGAATTGGTCAATCGTTCCACTCCCAACAAATCACTCAATACGATCGATGTTAATGATACATAGGCAGCTGGAAATGGATTACATTAATTGTAAAACATCTAAAAAAACATTCAAAACTCCGTATTTTACAATTTAAGTTTAAAAATTGGTTAAAAATAGACAAAGGTCGACCAGAAGTAGAGTTTTATATTGGTTTTAGCAGCAAACATTGCGTTTTTAGGTAAACGTTTTGAAAATATAGCCAAAATATACAATTTCTAGCAAAAAAAATTATTTGAATTTTTTTAAATTTTAAATGCCTTTTTATTTCGTATTTTGTAAATGCAGCTTTTGTTTTTATCAAAAAACGTCTAAAAAAGCAACTGCATCCCGAGAGATTCGAACCCGCGCGGTTTGGTGCACAATGCGCGGCTTTTCGCCATTACACCAAACAAACACAGGAATGACTTTTTGCAAAATTTTTGAAAATTTGCATATTTTGACCAATTTAGACATCAACTAATGTTTTAAAATTCAAAAAATATTTTTAAAAACGTAAAATTCTCCCTTACCAATGATAAATCCAAAAAGAGCAGCATAAACCATCAATAACGAGTACAATCCACAAAAGTAGCACATCATAGTCAATAAACCACAGAAGATCAACGACAAGTTTGATATTGTCAGCGCACTAAGCCACCTCCTGTCTGCCATCCAGCCGAAGAATACCCTGCCAAAGGTGTTAGTCACTCCAATCACTGATAACAAGGCAGTACCTTCAGCTATCGTAGCCGATCGTGTTACTGCCAGATCAATAATAAAAACCAATGGTACGTAGAAGCCAAGCATGCCAATGACGTTCGACACACACATCAACATCATCACTGGCTCCATCAGCAAGTTGACATCGATCATCTCGTTGAAGGAGTTGCGGATGGCATACGGTATCCATTTGAACTTACTGTCATCGTGAAAGTCAAACATGGCGTCGTTCTCAATGTTCTCTAGCCCTCCCATTCGGGAGTAGCGTGAGCCGCCCAGTCGACTTGAGATTTCGGCTATGTCAACTCGGGAGGTGGATTTTGAAGCGGTTTGGGCGACTACGGCCGCTGGGATCGAGATCTGGGACTCACGGTAGTTTTTAAAGTCGTGCCCTAAAAGAAAAAGTTTGTAAAATACGCATTTTTTACATCAGGTTTTGTTAATAGGTAAAAAAACTTAAAAATATTATTAAAATGGCTAATATTTTCTCTAATTTAAGCCAAAAATATCTAAAAAGAGCCATTTTTAATCCAAAATATCACTTATTACTAAAAGCAACATAACTTTATAACAAAAGATGCCATTTTAAATCATATCTCTCGTAAAATTTTATAAAAAATCAACTTTTTTCCGCAAAAAACGCCAAAACGAACCATTGCATCCAGCGGGATTCGAACCCCCATGCTTTGGCGCACAATGCCCTTTGCGCTGCCAGTATACTACACAAACACAGATTTCGTAATAATAAAAATTTAAAAAAATAGAATTTTAGCGTGGCAGTAAGCTTTTTATAGATTTGAAAAACATTTTTTAACTTAAAATTAAAAAAAAATTAGTTTTAGTTCAACTTTTTTCAAAAAAAAAATTTTTTTTAAATTAAAAAACAAAAGTAAATTTTAAAAAATTTAAGAAGCAATAGTAAAATAATTTTTTTAATTTTGAAAGGAACTTTTAAATTAGTTTTTTGAAAATTATAAAATTTTTTTTCTAAAAAAAAATTTTTCAAAAGCTTTAAAATTTTAAAATTTTTGAAAATTGAAAAAAAATTAAATTTAAAAATATAAAAAAATCGTTTCCTCACCTTCAGCTTCAAACTCCGGTAAATTCTTGATAGATCCTTGCAGAAAGATATCTTTTCGACTGAACGGCCGATTGAACTCCTTCGGATCCACCCCACTCAACGCAATGCTAGCCATTGACTCTCCTGCCAAAATGACTTGACTCTGACTCAATTTACTCAAACTTTGAGCATAACTTCGTACCGAGATTCGACTCAACTGGTTCACGAGGTTCGGTCGACTTTGCCTAAAGTCCGAGTTCAGGTCTGAAGCCATCGAGGTGAGAGTATGCTTGCGAGTACGGATCTGAGCCGGTGCTACGCTAAAGCGGTCGTTGACTGGGTTTGTAGTGTGCTGTGATCCAGCACGACTCTTGTTGAGAACGCGGTTTTCGGTTATTGGAGATAGGGCTGGTCGTTTGGGGGTGGAGGGGCTTTGAACGCCGTCGTCTTCGGTCGATTGTCGATGGTGGGAGTCGTCGTTTAGTAGGGGTTGACCATCTTCACGGATCTCGCTAAAGCATTGAGAGTTGGGTCGGGTTGGAGGCTTTTCTGGGTGTGAAGTTACTGAGGTGTGACGCTGAAAAAAGGTGGTTTTTACAAATTTTAAAAATCCACCCCGCCTCAATTTAAAATTTTATACCCTGCCCGCCTTACAATAAAAAATTATATGTTCTATCAACTTACCGAAGCCAGCCGCTGTTCCCCCTTCTTATCAGCCTTCTTAAACAGCTTTAACAGCCGTTCTTTGATACTTGGCTTTGGTTCGTCCCCAGGCATAGGAAGCGGGTCAAACAGTGATCCCATACCTGCTGCCATTACAATCAACCCTGCGCACACGTACAACGCGACACGCCAACCATAATCTGAAAAATGACTTCTGAATCCATAACGCATCTTTTGGTACTAAAACCAACTATTTTGGTGCACCTGAGACTTTGGTACGAGCTTTTGAAAAGTTGGTACTTTTGGCTTAAAATTTTTTAAAAATTGATGACTAAAACAAGGTTTTTTGTAAAATACGAAATCAATAAAACGTTTTTTTATACAAAAAGTAAAAAATATACTACAGTAATCTAATGCAAGTAATATAAAACTTACTTTCGATGCAAAATTTGCATACAAGTGGACAAACAAAGGTACCAAACCCGGAGCCCGCCACCGCTATTCCAGTGGCCAGAGCCCGCTTGGACTCAAAGTACTGGCTAACAACAACAATGCCAGGTAAGTAAATTAGTCCAAAGCCTACGCCTAAAAACGGAAAATTTAATTTAAACAAAATTTTTTAATTTTTCACCCTGCCCACTTCAAAATTATGTTTTTAGCCCTACTCTACCCCATTTTTTGAGATTTTTGAGCTAAAAACGGGTAAAAATGACTTTTTTGATTGACATAACGGGCAAAAAATGTATTATTGGTTAGCCAAAAAAACAAATTTTATTAAATTTGTTACCTAAAAATTTTAAAAAAAGAGCTATGGCTTACCTCCACAGAATCCGTAGAACAATAAATGAACAAAGATATTGGGCGAAGCAGTCGATGTTATGAATGCCAACGCTGCTATTATGGCTCCGCAGATGACGACCCGTCTTGCATCGTACCGATTCAGAAGACCTCCAGCTACTGGGCCTAAAACAGAAAAGTTAACAAGATTTAAGACCTCAACCTTAGCCTTAGCTTTAGCCTTAGCCTTAGCCTTAGACTTAGCCTTAGCCTTAGCCTTAGCCTTAGCTTTAGCCTTAGCCTTAGCCTTAGCCTTAGCCTTAATCCTAAAAACGTAAGCCTAGAAACATTAAACCTAAAATTTAAAGCATAATAGCCTAAGCCTAAATTTAAGTTCAACTCTCAGCCTAAGCCTAAAAACGTAAGCCCAAAAGTCCAACTTTCAGAGCTTAAACATAAAAAGTTAAGCCTAAACGTAAGCCTAAGCTAAGCCTCATCATAAGCTTCAGCATAACACTAACTCAAAAAGCTAGCTTTATAATAAGACTGATGTAAAAACTAAAGTAAAGGTAAGATAAAGTAAACCTAGAGTACGAGTAGATAACTTACCGCACAACAAACAAGATCCAATAAGTAATGAGCCAATAAAGGATGTTAACGCTTTCGACGCCTTAAACTCTTTCTCATAAGCCCCCATGAAGGGTCCAAACGAATTGGCAATTCCATCAACGACCAGGTTATTGAAAAACGAAGCAGCCACCACCACCCAGCCATAGCCACCATCTGGAGGAACGGGCAGATGATCAGCTATCGTTTCACCGTTCCGAAGGTCAGGGTAGTTACTCAGTAACTCGTTTAATGTCATGCTACTTTGAAACCCGTCATCTACTGCCAATTGATGATCTTCTAACGAGTCATCGTCGCCTGGATAAGAAACGTTCTCTTCTTCGAACTGGTCGTCGTGCTCATCGTGCTCTTCGTCGTAGCAACTTTGGTGGGAGGCGTTACCTAAATTGTAGAAAATGATACTTTGTAAAGAAAGTTCTTGCCATTTTTTTTCTAAAGAAAGTTTTTGCCATTTTTTGATTTGTAAACAAAGTTCTTGCAATTTTTCGTTTGAAACGCAAATTTCAGTTGAAAATGTCATTTTGGGACCAAAAAATGCTTGGTTGTAAATTTGTACGAAATGTCAAAAAAATTATTGATTTTTGACGGAATGTCAAAAATTTCATTGGATTTTAGAATATATTGAAAATCGTTTTAAAAAGCATAATTTTATCGTTTTTTAACCTTGTAACGAAAGTTCTTGCTATTTTTTGTTTTGTAAAGAAGTTCTCGCCACTTTCTGCTCTGTAAACAAAGTTCCTGCTTTTTTAAAAAAACTCACTCGGCGAGATTGGCCCAGCCAGTAGTCCATCATCCTCGCTCAGCTTGGTATCTTGTTGTTGCTTTGCGGCCGCCTCGTCGGCTTGTTTTCCATCTTCGGCCTGTTTGTCGCTCATTTGGCTTCGCAAACAAACTAAAATATATTCGAATTGGCCTTTGTTCATTTAAAAAATACGAATTTCACGTTCGGAAAACAAGAAAACAGTAAGGATTCGAATTAAAATACTTAAAAATTAGAAAAATAAAATAAAAATTTGAAAAATTTTTTTAATTCCCGCTATTTTTGCAATCCTTGGCATTATGTTGCAAGTAACAAAATCAACAAATAAATTACGCTTTATGTCAAACAATAGTATTATAAATAGTAAAATATAGATTTTGGTCCATTTTTAAACCTTTAAAATTTAAATTTTTCAAAATCCCGCCATTTTGGAAATTCTTGGCATTATGTTGCAAGTAACTAAATCAACAGAAAATAACATTTTATCACCAAAAAAAATATTACAGATAGTAAATAAGCATTCAATTTTTTTTAAATGTTTAAAAGTTTAAATTTTCAAATTTCTGCCATTTTTGCAACTTTTGGCGTTCTGTTGCAACTTAAAATTTTTATTTTTTTAAAGTTAATATGACTAAAACAGCTATTTTCAACACCATTATAATTGTATAAACACTAAATTATACCTCAAAACATTGTTTTCTTTCGAATTTCCGCCATTTTTGGCATTCTGCACCAATTTTTCATTTTAAGCCTAATATCAATATAAATCAATAAGAAGCATTCAAAAGCACTTTTTCAAACCTAATAAACTTATAAAAGTTTTAAAAAATTAAACGTCATTCATCCATATCATTAAAGACTATATTATACATCATATCAAATGAATTCGTAGACTAGAAACATTCCTGATAACAGTTGAAAATTACAAAAAACGGAAGGAATTACAATAGAAGTTGGTCTAAAAGTACGATTTATTGAATTAAAACACTGCTTTAGTGATAAAAGCTTAATTTATGATGCAAAAGGAGTGATAAGAGGGTGATACTATGCAGAATGCGCCAAAAGTTCTGTTACAAAACTTTTATGTTAGGGTTGGGTGGGGTAGGGTTAAAAACACAGTTTTTGGGCTGGGTAAGAAGAATACATACCTTGTTAGTCAGATATGGTTAAAAAGGTCCTTAACACCAAAAAATTTTTTGTAAAGAAAGTTTCTGCACTTTTTCAAAAAATTCAAAAATTTTGAAAAATTTAAAAAAATAGCCATACCACCCCCAAAACCCAATAAATTCGCAAAACTAATCAGTTTATCAGCAAAATCTATCACAATCTGGCCACAAAACTGGCCATTTTCAGGAAATGAGTCAGAAAGTGTTTTCAAAGACCCTCAGGGGATCAAAAAAGACACGGTTTTATCGTCATTAAAAAAAAACGAAATCCGTCGCACAAATAAACAGGTCAAAAAGGTTTGGGACAAAATGAAAAAAAAATATTTACGAGACAAACCTAGGTCGTAGTAGAGTTGTCATAAACAGTGCACCGTGCAGGCAAAATAAGACTGCATGGTGCAATTTTTTTTACAAAAACTTTCATTCAAACAAGCCTAGCCTTGTGCTTGAGCTGGAGACTGAGCTCAACCCTGACCCTAAGCAAAAGCCTAAGATTAAGCCTGAATCTAAACTTAAGCATACGGGTACCATGAGCCTGTTCTAAGCCTAAATGTAAGTCAAATCTAAGCCTAAGATCAAAACGAAGCTAAAACCTAAGCCTAAACCTAAGCCTGAAGCTTTAGATTAAAGCCCCAAGTCAAAGACCTGACTCTATGCCTAAGCCTTAATCTAAGCCTACACTTAAGTTTAGATTAGGCTTAGACAATACCTAAGCCTAAGCTTAAGCTTAAACCTAAACCTAAGACTACGCGTAAGCCTAAGCCCAAGCTCAAGCCTAAGCCTAAGTCTAAGCTTAAACCTAAACCTAAGCTTACGCGTAAGCCTAAGCCCAAGCCCAAGCTCAAGCCTAAGCCTAAGCCTAAGCTTAAGCCTAAGCCTAAGCCTAAGCCTAAGCCTAAGCCTAAGCCTAAGCCTAAACCTAAGCCTAAGCCTAAGCCTAAGATTAAGCCTAAGCCTAAGCCTCAGTTTAAGCCTAAGCCTAAACCTAAGCCTAAGCCTAATTCTCCCTAAGCCTAAGCCTAGGCCTCTTTAAGTCTAAGCCTATGTCTCAGGCTGAGCCAAAACGTAAAACACTAAGATTGAAACTAAGGCTCATCCTAGGCCAAAATCTAAGCCTAAGCCTCATACTGAGTCTTAAAAATTCTGCCAACGAAAATTTCAAAATTCTAAAAAAAGTTTAATCTCAACAATTTAATAAATTTTACAAAAACATTTAAAAAATTTTGAATTGAACTTTAGAACAAACAAAACGAGCATATGAATCAAGAACGGTGTCCGGAAGGTTGGGAATAATCGAAAAAACAACAAAGAACGGCCGAAGCGACGGCCTAAACTGCATAAATAGAAAAAGAGAATGGATTCATTTATGTATTTTTATTGATTAAAATAGAGATAAGAGACGTTTTAAGGACAAAATTGTTTCAAAACGGACTATAAATACATAGAATATTGATGAATCATCCTCCCCTAGAGCCCTAGCCCAAAGCCCCAGCCCAGGGCACTAGCCCAGAGCACTAGCCCAGAGCCCTAGCCCAAAGCCCTAGCCTAGAGCCCTAGCCCAGAGCCCTAGCCCAGAGCCCTAGCCCAGAGCCCTAGCCCAAAATCTTAGTTTAAAACCCTAGCTCAGAGTCCTTAGCGCTACAAACATCCCAGTTTAGCCAAGCCCAGTTTAGTCCAAGCCAACCTAGCTTAGTCCGGCCTAGTCCCCACTAACCCAGCTCAGCCCAAATCAGCTCAATGTTTCTGTTTTAGCCGTGCCTTACCATACCCTAGATTTTACCATGCTCTACTTTTTACCAACCCTAGCTTTTACCATATCATAAATTTAGCCCTACCTTATCTTTTTACCATACCCTTGCCTTGACCCTACCATTTTTAAGCTTCGCCCCACCACTTCAATTACCAACCTACTCTACCCCTTACACCCTGCATGCTCTATAAAACACCCTAAATTTTGAAAAAATGCCAAAAGATAGTGACACCCAACCAAATTTTTTCAAAATGCTCAATCAATGTCGAGAAGAGTCTTCAAAATTATATCCCCCCCCTGCCAAACCCATTCGTTTGTTTTGTTGTTATTTTGCCATTTATCCCACCAGAAAACACCACCAATACACCTTAAAAACGTCACTTGGCCTCATAAATCAGAAAAAAAACACACACGGCCATTTGGTAACTTTCAATTTTAAAAAGAGTTTATGAAATTTTCAAATTTATGTTTATTGAAGAAATTTTAAAAAGTTTTGTCGCTTTTTCACCTTAAAGGCAATTTATATTAACGACACAACTTTTTTATGATTTAAAATATGGTTTTTTTGGTAATGTTTTGGTATTTAGGTCTGTTTTAAACTTTTAAATTTTTTTTTCAGATTAAGCTATAAGCTAAGCCTAAAGCTAAGCCTAAACATCAACGCACGCCTTTAGGCTACAGCAACATACGTTTAAGCCTAAAAATTAAAGCTAAAGCCCAAACCTGCTTATAAACCTAATAAATCTAAACCTAAGTCTTAGCTAAAGCCTAAGCCTAAGCCTAAGCTTAAACCTAAGCCTTAGCTAAAGCCTAAGCCTAAGCCTAAGCCTATGCTTTAGCACATGCCTAAGCTGAAGTATAAGCCTGAACTTAAATCTACAGTGGCGGCAAAAAAAATGGAAAAAATTCTTAAAAGTATTTAAAACTCAAATTTTAAAATTTTTTTGCTTGAATATGTTTAACTTACCCTACATTTTCATAATAGCTAGGTACAAATTTATAAACGTTTGAAAAAAATTTAAAATTGACGAAAAACCGACTGTCCCATTTTTTTTTGCCGCCACTGTAAACTTAATCTTAAATATAAGCCTAAACCTAACGTTCAGCTTAATCCTAAGCCTAAGCTTAAGTATAAGCCCAAACTTAAATCTAACTATAAGCTTAAAAATTGGACTTGAAGTCCTAGTCCAATCTTTTAAAATTTTAAATTTCAAAAAAACATAAAAAACACTAAAAACAGCTCACTAGAACGTAGTCGAAAAAAAACGGAACGGCGTTATAATCAAATTATTTTTCATTTTTTGTCAAAGCCCCTTTGGCAAAACAGACGGCTGGCGTTATGAAAAAGTGCAAAAAGACGTTTGAAAAGTGGTCGTTTCGAAATGGCTTTACAAACACAAAAATATAGAAAAAAGAGTAGAAACATGCAGTGTTTTGCCGGACCCGTCCGGTCCGGACCGAGGTCCGGTGCGGAAAAAAAATTTTTTTTATTTCAATAAAATTGTTTTAAAAATTGCAAATAAAACATATTTTTAAGTGTTTTTAAACGTAAAGAAAGCAGTTTTAGCGCTCCTGGCTCTTTTTAAAAATAAAAAAAAATTTCCGGACCGGACCGGACCGAAAATTTTTCGGATCGGACCGGACCGAAAAAAATTCTCATCTGGACCGGTCCGGCAAAACACTGAAAACATGTCCTAATTGACTGGCAGGGCATAAACATGGGTGGTATGGTATGCATAAGGGTTTGGAAGGGTTTCCTCTAGGGCTAGGGATACAAGAGTACTAGTAATTGTTTAGATCTATGATACAATAGGAATATAAAAAGGTAAAACTAAGACTAGGCTAGAACAAAGTTTGAGCTAAATTAGAACAGACTTTGGCCTAAGAGTAAAATTAAGGCTAAAAAAACAAAAATTGGGTAAGGGCTAGGACTAGAGCTTCGAGCTAGGACTAAAGCTAAAGTTAGAGCTTAGGATCTGGACTAGAGGTCGGACAAGGTTTAAGACTAAAAATACAGCTAGCGTTATGGCGAGGGCTCTGGGCTAGGGCTCTGGGCTAGGGCTCTGGGCTAGGGCTCTGGGCTAGGGCTCTGGGCTAGGGCTCTGGGCTAGGACTAATGTAGATGTACCTAAACCCTCAGTACTATGCCGAACCCAATAAAATCTCCATAAAATGCACGTTTCAAACCCCTAAAGCGTCATTAAACCAAGTTAATTACCCAAAAGAGCTGGAAATCGTTCTGAGAAGCGAAATTTCTTCCTCGTACTCAAACAAATATTGGCAGTACATACACAAATATTCAGTATGGTGCTCACTCAGTACTAAAAAACATACTAAATAAGGGTAGGGTAGGGTAGGGAAGGGTAGGGTAGGGTAGGGTAGAGTAGGGTAGGGTAGGGTAGGGTAGGGTAGGGTAGGGTAGGGTAGGGTAGGGTAGGGTAGGGTAGGGTAGGGTAGGGTAGGGTAGGGTAGGGTAGGGTAGGGTAGGGTAGGGTAGGGTAGGGTAGGGTAGGGTAGGGTAGGGTAGGGTAGGGTAGGGTAGGGTAGGGTAGGGTAGGGTAGGGTAAGGTACAAAATCAGTACTATAAGATTCAGTATCATACTAAAACCAAAAAACATGATGCTCGCTCAGTACGAACAAGTACGTAACAACGTATAAAAAGAAAAAAATGCAAATCCCCAGCGCTAGACGTATGGCCATGTTCACATTTTTAATAAACAAACTTGACTATGTCACTTAATGCTGAACAGTCATAGCATTGGACAAAACATTGCGTGTTTATGGCCAAATAAGCTTTTTAAAGGTAAATACGTGGAAGGGGGGGGGGAGTAAATAATAAAAACAATCCAAAAAGAAATGACAAAACAAAATAAAGCTAATTTTAAAAATTTGAAATTTTGAAACTATGATACTAGCCCACCTTAATTTGCCCTACCCTACATAAAAACGCCCTGCTCTACCTTAAAACGTCCTAACCTACTTTAACATGCACTGCCTTCCTTTAGCAAGTCCTGCTTTGCTTTAAAATACCCTGCCTTCCCTGCAAATGCCCTACCTGAAAATAATCTGCCTTTCTTTAACATCCTACCTTACCTTAGATTACCCTATCCTACATTAAAAGATCAACTTGACTTTAATATGATCTACCGTGCCTTACACGACCTTAACATACCATGACTACTTTATAATGCTTTGCTTCAGTTTGACATGTTCTGCCTTACCTTAAAATGCCCTGCCTTACCTTAAAATGCCCTGCCTTATCTTAAAATTTCCTGTCTTACCTTAAAACGCTCTGCCTTGTCTTAAAATGCCCTGCCTTACCTTAAAATGCTCTGCCTTACATAACTACTATACCTTAATGTGCTCTGCCTTTCCTTAAAATGCCCTGCCTTACCTAACTACACTACCTTAAAATGCTCTGCCTTGTTTTAAAATGCACTACTTTACATTAAAATGCCCTGCCTTATCTTAACATAACCTAGCATACACTGCTCTCTCCTATCATATACCTTATCTCGCCCTGCCCAATGTATGTTAAAATGCCCTACTCTTTCTATACATGCCCTGCCCTTTCCTACCCTAACCCATACCTGCTTATATGTTCAACAAGAACCAAGTAAGTGTTTCAGAATGTCCTTCTAGTAAAATTCCATAAAATTGCAAAAAAGCCTTGAAAAGTAATAGTATTGCGCATTGGCACGACTTTCCCCGGCCTTTTTTCACTTTCTTGCACTCTTATTCCCTCTTTATTTCTCTGCTCTTTTGGCACGGTTTTGAGCAAATTTTAGGAGTTTCAACGCTCTCTCGGTCTAGTTTTTTTTCATTATAGAATTGTGTTGTTACTGTTCTGTAACAAGAAGAAGCATGTAAAAAGTTTGCAAAGTAAAATTATTTTTCTAATCCTAGCTTTTAGCCTACGCCTTAGTCTTATCTTTAGCCTTGACGTTAAACATAACCTAAGCCTGAGGCAGAAATTAAACTTAAGCCTGAGGCAATGACTAAGCCTGAACCTAAAACAAAAACTAAGCCTGAACTTAAAACAAAAACTAAACCTGAACCTAAGCCTAAGCCTGAACCTAAAACAAAAACTAAGCCTGAACTTAAGCCTAAGCCTAAGTCTAAGCCTAAGCCTAAGCCTAAGCCTAAGCCTGAGCCTAAAACAAAAACTAAGCCTGAACCTAAAACAAAAACTAAGTCTGAACCTAAGTCTAAGACTAAGCCTAAGCCTAAGCTTAAGCCTAAGCCTAAGCCTAAGCCTAAGCCTAAGCTTCAGCCTAAGCCTAAGCCTCAGCCTAAGTCTAAGCCGAAAGCTACACCTAAGCTTAAACCTAAGCTTAAATTAAAATTAATCATGTTACAACCGCATTTTATGCAAATTCCCCACCCCCCAACCACAACAAAACCAAACTCCAACCCCAACCACAATAAAACCATAAAACGAGGAGCCATAGCCTTGTTTCCAGCCGGCTGTCTGCCAAAACTGGCAGACTTTTTTCTCGGCGGTCATTTCGAAGCGTTGTCGCAGTTGAGAGCCGGGGCTTTTTCGCGAAAACAAGAAAAAGCGTCTCGTCGGCCGAGCCTTCCCCAATTCCCACCGATATTCCAGCCGGCTGCCACAAAATAATGGGAAAAAAGCCGGGGACGCGGCAGGATAATAGGACCGAAGGTGGGGTAAATTCTGAATGGGTGGCGAGGGTGGGGTAAACTCGAAATGGATGGTGAGGGTGGGGTAAATTTTGGAATGGGCTGTGAGGGTGAGGTAAATTCTGAATGGGTGGCGAGGGTGGGGTAAATTTGGAATGGGTGGTAAGGGTTCAACCTAATCCTGAAGCCAAAAAAGCGCTTGAGCATGCGCTTGAGCCTGAGTCTAAGCGTAAGTCTAAGCCTAATTTTAATTTTAAGCCTAATCTTAAGCCTAAATCTAAGAATAACCTTAAGTCTAATCTTAAGCCTAAGCCTAAGTTTAACCTTAAGCCTAATCTTAAGCCTAAATCTAAGAATAACCTTAAGCCTAATATTAAGCCTAAATCTAAGCGTAATCCTAAGCCTAAAATTAAGTCTAAACCTAAGCCTAAAACTAAGCCTAAGCTTAAATCAAATTTATATAAACCTAACTTTAATTGATACTACCCTCTAAGCTTAAAAGTAAACCTAAGCCTACTCCCAAGCCAAAAGCTAAACTTCTCTGTCAGCGTATAACAAACAAGGTGACTTAAAAATCCTAGACAAACCTAATAAAACCTGCCATTTCAGTTTCAAAACAAATGTCTCATTTCAATTGAACATTCAAAATTTCAAACTTTTTAACTCGAACTTTCGAAACTCAAAGTGTTCAAAAGCTTTCAAAACACAAGACAATGTGGCCTATTCAAAGTTCGGCTATAATAATATAAAGCATAAATCATATTATCTATAAAGTTATCGCTATTGATAACAAAAAAAACGGAAAATGATGGATCTGATAAGGTTGAGTTGGCTGGTTGGCCAAGTTTTAAGGGACTACGACAATTAAAAAATACAAAAAAACTAAAAAATAACTCGAAACAACAAAATTTTAAAAATTAAAAAGGGGGGTAGGGTAGGGCAGGCAGGGACGTCGTTTGGGAGGGGGGGGGTTTGGGCTTCTACCCCCCCCAGAGAAAAAACCGTAACGACGTCCCTGAGGGCAGGGAAGGGTAGAGTAGAGTAAAACATAAAAAAATTAATTGAACACGTTTTAAATTTTATATAATAATGAAAAAAAACTTCCGTACCGTTCGAATTTTTTTCGCGCACGATTTTTGAACAAAAGAAAATGGAAAGTTTTTAAAAACCTGCGACAAAATCTGTAGAAAGACCAATTTTTTAAATAATTAATCGCTTATTTCTAGAATTTTCGTAGCAAAACGTTTTTAAGCCTAAGTCTTCAAATCTTGTCCAGAATAGCTATAAAAGTACTATATTTAAAGTTATTCTTTATGCCTACTCAGCTTTGACCTACCGAGCTTACTACGCTCACCTGAATATCTACTAAGCCCAGAAGCCTAAAGTCAAACTTTAACTGTAGAGTCTAAGCCAGGGCCGAAGTTAATGCCTAGGCCAAAGCTTTAAGCCTTCACTCTAAAGACAATGAGACAAAGCTCTAGTGTAAGCTTGATCATGGACTTGAAATGAAGCCCAAGCTTAAGATTTTAACCTTAAGCTTAAGTCTAACATTTTGAGAATGGCTAAGCTATACCTAAGCCATAGAAAAAGTCTAGTAAAAACGTTAATCTTAACTTTAGGCTTAGCCTTCGCTTGAGCTTAAGTTTAGCATTGAACTTATGCCTGTGTGCAAGCCAATGCTTTAACCCTTAAGGCTAAGTGCTTTAAGCTTCAAGTCAACTCTAAATCAAAGTCTAAGCCTACTAAGTCAAATCTTACTGAGCATAAGCTTACTAACTTTCAATTAAGCCTACTAATGCTATTACATATAGGCCTAAACAGAGACTCAATATTTTGTTTTTCTTTATCTCTCATTCTCGCCCTTCTTCCTCTCTTCACCCCCCCCACCCCCCCCCCCCCTTTCTCACACACATATATATAAGAAAATATTAGACATATTACTCTCCCTTTCCTAAAAACAGATGTATAATTTATTGTTCAGGTATTCGATTACTGTTTGGTCTTTTTCTTCTTGGGACAAGCACTCTTCTGGACGCACTGACCACGAGGGTTGCGAACATAGCCTCGTAAACAACCACACTCTTTGGCCGCGCAGGTTGGGGCCGTTTTACAGACGGGTGCACCACAAGTAGCGTCACAGGCTCCACATGGCTTCACTTCTTCGTTTTGGCCACATTTTAGGTCTAAAAAAGCAAAGTTCTTTAATTTTGCAAAAACTGGCAATAAATTTCTTTACAAAACAAAAAATGGCAAAAACTTTCTTTACAAAACAAAAAATTGCAAAAACTTACTTTACAAAACAAAAAATGGCAAGAACTTTGTTTCCAAAAATTAAAATTTAAATAATAATGTTTTTAAAACAATTTTTAATAATTTCCAAAATCCAATAAAATTTGTGACATTTCGTCAAAAATCAATATTTTTTTGACATTCCGTTTAATTTTACACTTAGCTTTTTTTAAATCAAAAATGACATTTTTAATTGCAATTTTGCTTTTAAATCAAAAAAATAGCATACAAATGACAAAAACTTTGTTTGCAAAACAAAAAAGCAAGAACTTTCTTTACAGTCTGTAAAATTGCAAGTACTTTATTTACACGCTTTGAAATGGCAAAAACTTTCATTCCAACTCATAAAATGACATAAAAACTCCTTACCACTACAAACCATGACAGGTTGTTCACACCCTCCACTCAGCTGCGTATAATTGTAACTACAGCCGGTTGGCGGTAATGCCAACTTGAGTGTACCACACTTGTTTCCGGCTTCTGGTACACATGCACTCGCATTACAAGTAGCATAACTTGGACATGTTATCACATCACATGGGTTTACATGAGGTATTGTAGACGATAGTACGGTAGGGGTGGTAAAGATGGTAGTAAGGGGTACTGTAGTTGTGATGGGGGTGGTACTGTGGGTTGTAGTTGGGGTAGTGGTACGGTGGGTTGTTGTAGTAGTAGGAGTGGTTGTAGTGGTACTAGGGGTAGTTGTGATAGTACTGGGGGTGGTTGTTGTAGTACTAGGAGTGATTGTTGTAGTAGGTACAGTAGTAGTAGTAGCCTCTGTAGTAGACGTGGAAGACTGTAGTAAGTCAATTTGTTGTTGAATTAGTGTTGTCAATGATATTGATCCACTTATCCCACTTGACCCTACCGTAACATCACTTGATCCCACCGTAAACCGGCTTGACCCTACCGTAGTCCCACTATCACTACTCTTAGAGCTTCCATCAGCATTACAGTTGCTTTGAGCAACACATTTACCATCATTATCCCTTAGATATCCAGTTTTACATCCACACTCAGTCTCGCGACACAACAGCGAGCACGTCTGACTCTTCGTACTATCACAGTACTGATCACAAGCACCGCAAACAATAGCCTCTTCATTAACACCAGTACAGTTCAGACTAGATGAAGATGCCAAGACTAGCGAGTCAGTCTTCTTCCTAGCCTTTCCGCTAATACAGACGTCCTGACAGTCGGCTAGACTGTCAAAGTTGTTGTCATTACCACTACAACCACCGTAGATGAATGGGGAACATTTGCCATTCTTCGTATCATAGTAGTACTTGGTGGACTTGGCCGAGCACGGTCCGGACAAAGGCTGTAGAAGGCAGCCCGCGTCGATAGTACTATCAGTACAGTTGAGTTTGTAGACCACACAGCCCTTCTTGGACGTGGTCTTGTCCCAGGTACAGCCTTGAATTGAGTTCGAAGGCTGGTTTTCGTCCGTACATGCTGATGAGCCAGGATGGAGCAGCTGGAATAGAGAAAAGATTATATTATGTTAGGCAAGCTGCGGGTGACATGTTATACGAATGATATCTGTTTGTTAGTTTGTAAAGGAAGTTTTTGCTATTTTTTGTTTGAAAAGCAAAATTTCAGTTAAAAATGTCATTTCTAATTCAAAAAAGTCAAAATACAAAGTTTAACGAAGTGTCAAAAAATTTATTGATTTTTGACGAAATGTCACAAATTTTATTAGATTTTGAAAATGATTGAAAATTGCTTAAAAAACAAAATTTTATCGTTCTGAAACTCTTAAAGAAAGTTCTTGCCATTTTAAGCTTTGTAAAGAAAGTTTTTGCAATTTTTTGTTCTGTAAAGAAAGTTCCTGCCATTTTTTGTTTTGTAAAAAAAGTTCTTGCAATTTTATGTTTTGTAAAGAAAGTTCTTGCCATTTCTTGTTCCGTAAAGAAAGTTCTTGCTACTTTTTTGTTTGTAAAGAAAGTTCTTGCCTTTTTTCGTTTTACGAAGAAAGTTCTTGCTATTTCTAGTTTTGTAAAGAAAGTTCTTGCCATTTATCGCTTTGTAAAGTAAAAATGCCAAAGAAAACCTTACCAAACCAACAGTTACACACAGTAAAAGCCAATGGAACATAGTGACAGTAACATTCAGTGCGAAATAAAGAGATCAATTCGAAAATACCTTTTTTCGAATTATTCGAATTGGGATTATCCCCTGATCAATTAGACCCCTAGTTTCGAATAGAGTTTCAAGTTGTCGAAGGAGGTTCACCATGGTATAAAGCACAATGTGTTGTTATGTTAGACTGGGATTAGAGTGAGAAAAGTCGAAAAAACAAAAAATAGCAAGAACTTTCTTTACAAAACAAAAAATTGCAAGAAGTTTCTTTACAAAATTAAAAACGATAAAATTCCGCTTTTATGACAATTTTAAATAATTTCCAGTGTTTGATAAAATTTGTGACACTTCGTCAAAAATCAATAAAATTTTTGCCATTTCCTTAAACTTCATATCTAAACTTTTGTGTTTTAAAAATGACATTTTTAACTGAAATTTTGCTTTTCAAACAATAATTAACAAAAATTTTCTTTACAAAACAAAAAATGGCAAGAACTTTCTTTACAGAACAGGAAATAGCAAGAACTTTCTTTACAAAACAAAAAATGGCAAGAAGTTTCTTTACAAAGCAAAAAATGGCAAATTTTTTTTAAGGCTTCAAAAAAAGTCTTGTCGTCAAATTATATGGTTATCAATATTAAACAACGACAAAACTTTTTTTTGTTTTAAACTTTATGACTGATATGCTTATACCTTGTAGACGAATGTTATACTTACTACATATTTACATTATAAATACATTCACTACATTTCAACCTCTTGCTTTACCTACTACAACATGATACACGATTGTTATTCCCAAATATATAAGTAAACATGTGCATCATAGAGTACATTCCAAGAAATGCTTACTATTAATCCCTACAAAACAAATATTTTAAATCTTGAAAGATGTTTTTGTTCACTCACAATTTCGAATTCAAATCCATTTTTACGTTTTTGGCTTCGTTTTGTAAAGAAAATTTTTGTTTAAGCACTTTTGGTTACAACATTTTTAAATTGTACGATTCTTACGGTACTTTGTGAGTTGTAAAGAAAGTTTTTGCTATTTTTATTTTTGTAACGAAAGTTCTTGCCATTTTTAGTCTTGTAAAGAAAGTTCTTGCTATTTTTAGTTGTGTAAAGAAAGTTCTTGCTATTTTTAGTTTTGTAAAGAAAGTCCTTGCCATTTCTATTCAATTATAACCGCTTGACACGCTTTTGGCATTCTGCAGCTTGCCGGTGACAAATTATACGATGACTATAAAAATTTTGCTTTGATTGTTTTGTAAATAAAGTTATTGCCATTTCGGATATTGTACAAAACAAAATATGACCTATCTCACTCACTTTGTCATTCTACGTCACATTGTGCACCTTAGAACATCAAACATCAATGGAAAGGTATCGTATTACCTGTTTGTTACGTTTCGTATCAAGAAAATAAACTTACCACGTACTTTTATACCTATTTTTAACTGTTTTTGCATAAGTTTAGCAAAACAGAGCAACAAGTTTTTGTAGAAAACCTAAATAATCAAGCTTAAAAAAGTGGAAGTTGGGTGGAAGATTTGTAATGTATTTTGCACTGAAAATCTTCCACTTATATTTCATTTTTAAAATGTCTTAAAATAGCCTAAAAATGCATTTTTGACACTTTTTGAAAATGGAAGTTGGGTGGAAAATTTTCAGTGTATTTTGCACTGAAAATCTTTCACTCAACTTCCATTCTTCTAACTTTGAAAGTCTGAACCTATTTGGCAAGAACTTACCTTACAAAACAAAAAATAGCAAGAACTTTCTTTACAAAACTAAAAATAGCAAGAACTTTGTTTACAAAACAAAAAATGACAAAAACTTTCTTTACAAAACTAAAAAACAATAATTTTTTCCAATTTACCCACTTTCCATTATACGAAGTGTAAACACGTAGGCTATGATTAACTCGACGCTAATTACTTTTTCACAGGTGCTAAATAGCATCTCACAACGGTTTCTATGACGCCGCACCGTGCGTTTTCTTTCGGATTCGAAAAACGTGCACAGCATGCACGTTCTCGGTGGTGGCGGTGGAAGGAACTTTGTTTACAAGGGGTTTTGGTATTATGGTCAGATCTGATGGATAAGGCACGGCAGAAAAGAGAGGGGGGAGGGGTGTAGGGGAGGCGGGGCCAGGATTGAACAAAGTTCAGACGGGCCGGGCTTGAAAATTCGCTCGGCCTGATCGGAAAGTCAGGGCTAATAATGATGGTAGTCAAAAATGGCTGTTTTTTAAGTTTCTTGTTTTGTAAAGAAAGTTCTCGCCATTTTTTATTTCGTAAAGAAAGTTCTTGCCATTTTATCTTTTATAAAGAAAGTTTTTGCCATTTTCTGTCTTGTAAAGAAAGTTCTTGTCAATTCTATTTTGACCTTGTCTTTTGGCCACAAAGTGGCGCTTCGTAGCGGATGTGTCTGCGAAATGTCCTTTAAAGTGTACTTTGGCCTTTAAATTTGAAAGAATTCGCTTTTATTGCCAAAATTTAACTCAAAAGGCAAAATTTAAGGGTTTTTCTTGAGTGGAAAGAAACTTTTTGCTATTTTCGCTTTGTAAAGATAGTACTTGCCATTTTTTGTTCTGTAAAGAAAGTTTTTGCTATTTCTCATTCAAGTTCTTGCAATTTTAAGATTTGTAAACAAAGTTTTTACCCTTTTTCTTAAGAAGTAAACAAAAACTTTTAAAGCGACCAAAAAAATTACAAACTTTTTACTAAATTTCAAAGTTCTGTTTTAATAGCCAGTCGGCTGCAAAATATTTTGTTAAACAAATTTTTTTGCACGGTGCAGTCAAATCACAAGGTGCAAACTTTTAAATTGACATGCAAACAAAGAATGGCCGGAAATTGTTAAAGGTCTTCTGGTGGGGATTTACGCCTTGCCTTGCCTTGCCTTGCAACGTTCAGCTTAGCCAAGCCCGGCCAAGCCCAGCCAAGCCCAGCCAAGCCCAGCCAAGCCCAGCCAAGCCCAGCCAAGCCCAGCCCAGCCAAGCCCAGCCAAGCCCAGCCAAGCCCAGCCAAGCCCAGCCAAGCCCAGCCAAGCCCAGCCAAGCCCAGCCAAGCCCAGCCAAGCCCAGCCAAGCCCAGCCAAGCCCAGCCAAGCCCAGCCAAGCCCAGCCAAGCCCAGCCAAGCCCAGCCAAGCCCAGCCAAGCCCAGCCAAGCCCAGCCAAGCCCAGCCAAGCCCAGCCAAGCCCAGCCAAGCCCAGCCAAGCCCAGCCAAGCCCAGCCAAGCCCAGCCAAGCCCAGCCAAGCCCAGCCAAGCCCAGCCAAGCCCAGCCCAGCCCAACGCAGCCTAGCTCAGCCCAGCCCAGCTTAGCCCAGCCCAGCCCAGCCCAGCCCAGCCCAGCCCAGCCCAGCCCAGCCCAGCCCAGCCCAGCCCAGCCTAGCCCAGCCCAGCCCAGCTTAGCCCAGCCCAACCCAGCCCAGCCCAGCCCAGCCCAGCCCAGCCCAGCCCAGCCCAGCCCAGCCCAGCCTAGCATAGCCCAGCCCAGCCCAGCCCAGCCTAGCCCAGCCCAGCTTAGCCCAGCCCAGCTTAGCCCAGTCCAGCCCAGCCCAGCCCAGCCCAGCCCAGCCCAGCCCAGCCCAGCCCAGCCCAGCCCAGCCCAGCCCAGCCCAGCCTAGCCCAGCCCAACCCAACCCAGCCCAGCCCGGCCCAGCCCAGCCCAGCCCAGCCCAGCCCAGCCCAGCCCAGCCCAACCCAGCCCAACTCATCTAACCAAGCCCAGCCCAACTCATCTAGCTAAGCTTAACCCAGCTTATTCAAGCCCAGCCCAACCCAGTGTAACCTTGTCTTAACCTTGCCTTACCCTTGCTTTACCCTTTGCTACCCTTGCCGTATTCTTGCCGTCCTTTAATATGTCCTTCCCTGCTCTGCCCTGCCTTTACCCTGATTTAGCCTAGCTTTACCTCCTTGCCTTCACCCTTCTGTACTCTACTTTATTAATTTTATCTGTTGTAAAGAAATTTTTTGCCACTTTACATCTTCAAAATAAAATTCCTTTCATTATTAAGTATCTCCTACGTGCCATTGTAAAATGTTATTATTGTTACGGCTGTTTACCGTTATCTCTTGTTGTTGTCACGTGCTATTATTTACAGCCAAAGTTTAAGTTTAGTACGTGTTCTTTCTTTTCCATGCTCGTTTTTCGTTTTACCACGTTTTTGAGGTTTTGTAGTGATAAGGAAGGGCAAAAACCTCTAAATTTTGAGGTTTGAAAAAGTGGAAGTTGAGTGGAAGATTTGTAATGTATTTTGCACTGAAAATCTTCCACCGAACTTCCACTCCCGAAACGTCTTCAAATAGCCTAAAAACACATTTTCAACAGTTTTTAATAGTGGAAGTTAAGTGGAAGATTTGTATTGCATTTCGCACTGAAAATCTTCCACGAAACTTCCATTTTCAAAAGTCTTAAAATGGCATAAAAATGCATTTTTAACACTTTTTAAAGGTGGAAGTTGAGTGGAAGGTTTTTAGTGTATTTTGCACTGAAAATCTTCCACTCAAATTCCACTTAAAATTGAGCAAAAAGGCAAAAACTTTGTTTTTAAGGTTGAATAAGGGCGATTTAACCCTATTTTTAAGCTTAAGATCTTAAATTTAGCTTTAAAAACTTTTTTAAGCCTAAAACTTTCTTTTTGGGCCTGCTAAACCTACAAACAAAATTTTTTTATTTGTATAAAAATAACATTTTAAAGCCAATTCAAACTGCGTTTAATATATTTTGTCCATTTTCGTGGCCACAACTCTTTTTTATATTATTTTAGCCTCATTGCTTTGGCTTTTTTATGCTAAGAAACGAGAGAGTGTGCGAAACAAAGAGACGGTCCGACAAGTCTTTGGCTAATCTTTTTAGGCCAAGGTTTAATTTTTGGGACGAAACGCATTGCAATATGACATGCTATGTTGCTAGTAAACATTTACTTTACTTTATAGTGGCGGTGGTATTTTATAATTAAGTGGGTGATATCTTTGGATATGTTGGGAGTAAATAAGTGGTATGTTTTGTTACATTTACAGGTTATATTTATATTATTTGGTTCAGAATGTGCTTTGTATAATTTTTGAGATCTTTAGCCCTAGCCCTAGCCCAGAGCCCTAGCCCAGAGCCCTAGCCCAGAGCCCTAGCCCAGAGCCCTAGCCCAGAGCCCTAGCCCTAGCCCAGAGCCCTAGCCCAGAGCCCTAGCCCAGAGCCCTAGCCCAGAGCCCTAGCCCAGAGCCCTAACCCAGAGCCCTAGCCCAGAGCCCTAGCCCAGAGCATTAGCTCAGAGCCCTATCCAAGAGCCCTGGCCCAGAGCCCTAGCCTAGAGCCCTAGCCTAGAGTCCTAGCCCAGAGCCCTAGCCCAGAGCCCTAGCTCAGAACCCTAGCCCAGAGCCCTAGCCCAGAGCCCTAGCCCAGAGCCCTGCTCAGAGCCGTAGCCTAACCAATACCTTAATGTTGAGTTTGATTTACCTTAGCCTTGCGCTAGCTTTTCTCAGGTGTAATCGAAGACCGGCTTTGCTCAGGCTTGGTCCAGGAAAAATATAGATCTACTTTAACTTTAGTTAACGTCTTCTCTTCCGCTGTCCAAGTCTTACACTATTTTTACTTTATTTAATCTTACCCTACCTAGAGGTGGTTATCGCATCTTTTATCGTATGTTCACTTTTTAAATTTTTTTTGGTTTTTTTAGTCTAGCATCACCTTACATTATACTCTACTTTAATCTACTCTTTTTCAATTACTACCTACAAACCATAACATAGATTGGTTTAGTACTTTGACACAACACTAATGGCTCTTTGAGCTTCTAATGAGTGTTTCTCTGAATTCAATAACAACATTTTATTGCTTTTTAAATTACTTTTTTTAATTTTTTAAATGTCGAAAAGATGTTTGAAATGGCAAGAACTTTCTTTACAAAACAAAATTGCAAGAACTTTCTTTACAAAGCTTAAAATTGCAAAAACTTTCTTTACAAAACAAAAAATTGCAAGAACTTTCTTTACAAAACTTAAAATGGCAAGAACTTTTTTTAAATCAAAATGGCAAGAACTTTCTTTACAAAACAAAAAATGGCAAGAACTTTCTTTCCACTTCTTCTTAATGCCATTCTTTTTTGTATATTCTTTTTCTCCCCCCCCCCCCCCTCCTCTTATGGTCCTTTACAAATCCGAGTCAAAGATCGCCCGGTTATTAATTCGAAATTGTTATTGAAAGTGCGAAAAACAAGCGGTCGAAAAGACGTCAAAAACTTTATTTACAGGCCTCTTCCTCTTATCTTCGCCAATCCTATTTGGCGCTATTTCCTTTCCATACAATTTAGCACCGCGAATTTTATTTGAGTATATTTACGAAAGCAAAAAGACTCTTTTCTTTTCATTGCCTCAGGGCAAAAGGAAAGCGCGCCTCAGGGCTTCAACCTTTTTCACTTTTAACTCGGATTTTTTGGAGGAACTTGGATAGGTGGGTAAAGAAGAAAAAGAGGTGATAAAAAAAGGGGGGGGGAGAATGGTGAGCTAAAATGTTAAAGTGAGAGGGGGGATGGGAGAGTATAAAGGGGAGAACATGAAAAAAAGGATATTTTTAATTGTTGTAAAGAAAGTTTTTGGTATTTTTCTATTTTTCACTTACTTTTTAATTTTGTAAAGAAAGTTATTGCGAGTTTTCTTTTTTAAAAAAGCTTCACTCTAAGCTTCAGCGCTATTAACTTAGGCTTAGGCTTTGAGTCTTTACTTTCTCTCACAATGTTAAGTAGCCCTAGCCTCTTTATATCCAAGCTTAGGTTTAGGCTTAAACATAACAATACAATTAGGCTTAAGCTTAGGCTCATTTTTACTTTAAGCCTAGGCTTTGGACCCAAACTTAGCGTGAAGCTCAAACTTTTTATTAGGCTTAGTATCAGCCTTAGCCTTAGTTTTAGCCTTAGTCTTAGCCTTAGCCTTAGGGTTAGCCTTAGCCTTAGTTTTAGCCTTTGTCTTATCCTTGGCCTTAGCCTTAGCCTTACTCTCAGTCTTAGCTTTAGTTCTTGCTATAGGCTTAGCCTTAGCAAAGCCAATTAAGCTTAAGGTTGCCCAGCTCAAGTTAAAATCCAAACCTACGCCTAAATTTAAGCTCAAGTTAAACCTGAGCCTACGGGTGATATCAAGCCAATTTCCAGGCCTAATTCTCAGTTTAATGTGCAAGTCTCTGTTTAAGCCGAAACTTTCGAGTACGAACTTGATTACAAAATTAAAGATCAAAAATTATAAATAAACAGTAATTCAAAGTTCAGACAGTATTTTTAAAATTGTATTTGCTTGCCCTCTTCAAAGTTCATATACCTACAACAATATAAATATTTGTTCTTTGAACAGACGATTCCAACTTTTCGAACTAAAAAGCGTATTTTTTGGGCCAAAGAAGCCAAAAATCCGCTTTTTTCGATAATTATCTTTCCGTTATACGACATAGCTATCTACATGTATATTCTAGTGTTTTGTGCCATTGCTTATGGCTTCTCGACTGAATTTTTAAAACTGTAGTCGATAGTTGTGCCAGAGAACCATATTTTATGACTTTTAATAGGTTTTTATTGTTATTGTTGGCATTTACATGCTGTTTAAGGGATGGCAGTTAGGTGGAAGATTTGTAATGTATTTTGCACTGAAAATCTTCGACTCAACTTCCACTTTTAAAATGTGTTAAAAATGCATTTTTAGGCCATTTTAAGCCATTTTGAAAATGGAAGTTGACTAGAAGATTTTCAGTGCAAAATACATTGCAAATCTTCCACTGAACTTCCACTATTAAAAACTGTTGAAAATGTGTTTTTAGGCTATTTGAAGACGTTTCGGGAGTGGAAGTTCGGTGGAAGATTTTCAGTGCAAAATACATTACAAATCTTGCACTTAACTTCCACTTTTTAAACCTTGGTTTTTTTTGTATTAAACTAAAGTATTGGTTATTTTATGACTTGTAAAGATACTTTTTGTCATTTTGTGTTTTGTAAAGAAAGTTTTTGTCATTTTACGTTTTGTAAAGAAAGTTATTGCGGTTTTTAATGTAAAATACGTATTGGAAAGCGTGGTGGGTTAAATTAATGACATTTTCAGCCATGGACTTAATAGACACGTTAATATTTATCTTAATATTGTTAGTCATTTCGATTGTCGGCATATTTTACAGTAGGCGAATACAGACCAGGAATAGCCAGGATGCACTAATTGGCTCAAAGTAAGTGCTATTCAGTTTTGGTTTTTAAAAAAATTCATGGTATTATATAAGGTACTATCTTGTGACTAAATCTAATAGTACTAGTATCTTAGTGCCGCATAGTATAAGTATGTTTGTACAGCACAGTATTGGTATCTTGGTACTAAATAGCACTAGCGTTTTTGGTATAGTGTAGTACTAGTATTTTGGTACATTATAGTACTAGGAGCACTAGTGCTTTGATACTGAGTAGTACTTAATCAATAATGCAATTTGAAATTTAAGAATGACATTTCAGTGTATCAGTACTATCAATAGCACTATCAGTATGCTCAAGTTTTCTTTCAGCCGTTTCTTTGCTTGGATTTCCAGCTGAGGTAAGTTTTGAAATGGCATTTTTTTAATCTTTTTACATAAGTAATTTGTAAAGAAAGTTCTTGTCATTTTTTGTTTTGTAAAAAAAGTTCTTGCCATTTTTCAGTTTTTAAAGAAAGTTCTTGCTATTTTGTAAAGAAAGTTTTTGCAATTTCTTTCAAATTTTTAATTTTAGGTATACTACCGAGGCTCAACTCCAATATGGTTTTGTGCTGTTTACCTTATCGCCTTCCCCATCGTAGCCTACGTCTTCTTGCCAGTATTCTACTACCTCCGGCTGAGCAGTATCTACGAGTACCTGGAACGACGATTCTGCTTTGCATCTCGTATTTTAGCCTCATCCACATTCATTTTCCAAACCGTATTCTACTTGGCCGTCGCTCTATATGCACCATCATTGGCATTGGCACAGGCTTTGAACTTTCCAATCTTTGTCAGCATCTTAATCACTAGTACTATCTCGGCTGTTTATCTACTATTGGTAAGTACTAGCCCAGAGCCCTAGCCCAGAGCCCTAGCCCAGAGCCCTAGCCCAGAGCCCTAGCCCAGAGCCCTAGCCCAGAGCCCTAGCCCAGAGCCCTAGCCTTCACGCTAGCTTGAGCCTAGCCCAGCCCAGCGTATTCAACCTAAGACCAACCCAGCCCAGCCCAGCTCAGCCCAGCCCAATCCAACCCAGCATAATCCAACTTAGCCACTCTGCCCTACTTTACCCTAGGCGAATTTTCTCTGCCCTATGTGGCCTTATCCTACCTTTCCTCATCTTGTTTTACCTTACTTGACGCTATCTTACTGTAGCGTATCCTAATCAGCCTTACTCTGCCTGCTCTAATCCTGTCCTAGCCTACCTTGCTCTTTTATAAGCTTTAGTTTTTTCTTTAGCTTGAAACCCTGTCTACAAACTAGTGTACTATTATGATTTATTTTACCATGCCCAAAATATTTTTTAATTTCAATTTTGTTCCAGGGAGGCGCCAGAGGAGGTATCTACACATCAGCCCTTCAAATGGCTCTGATCTTAATCTCATTATTCACCATTTGTTGTGCCATTTTGCTTGAATTCAAACCGGTCGAGATTTACAACCGGTCGAAGAACGCGTTGCGATTCGAATCGACCGATACTCGACTAAGTCCTCAAGTTCGACATTCGGTTTTGGCATTCTTGATCGGCGGAAGTGGCAATATTTTCAGTTTATTCGCGGTAAATCAGCTGACATTACAGAGATATATGGTCATGCCTACGTTACGACAGGCTCAAAAGTAAGGTTTTGGCTTGAAAATATATTTTTAAGGCTTGAAATTAGGATTTTGGGTTTTAAAAGAGGTTTAAAAGGGCTAGAAGTAAGGTTTTAGGCTTAAAACGAAGCTTTAGAATTAAGACCTTAGGCTTAAATTAGGTTCGAAATTATCAAAATAAAGTTTTTAGGCTTAAATATAGACTTAAAATGGCATTTATGAAACCTTAAAAACAAAATTTTTGCCTTTTTTGGCTTTTTGCTCAATTTAAAAAGTGGAATTTTGGTGGAAGATTTTCAGTGCAAAATACATTACAAACCTTCCACTCAACTTCCACTTTTAAAAAAGTGCCAAAAATGCATTTTTGTGCCATTTTTAAGCTTTTTCTAAAAAATGGAAGTTTGGTGGATGATTTTTAGTGCAAAATACATTACAAATCTTCCACTCAACTTCCACTCTCAAAACGATTTTTTCAAGCTTTGTAAAGAAAATTTTTGTTATTTACAGTTTTTTTATGAGAAAAACTGTCCTATAGTACGTTTATTAATTAGTACGTCTATGACATTCTTTTTCAGGGTAGTACTACTAAACATACCAATGAACGCCCTAATGGCCGTGATGTATACCTTTATGGGTTTGGCCATGTACGCTGTATATTACAATTGCCATCCAAGCGTGGCCGCTCCAGACCAAATGTTACCGTATTTCGTGGAAAATCATTTAAATTGGCTCATCGGCCTTGAGGGCATATTTGTCGCGGCAGTTTATAGTGCTGGGATCAGCACTTTAACAGCATCGTACAATGCGTTGACGGCGGTAGTGCTTGAGGATATTGTGAAGACGATTTGGCCAAAGGTTGGGAAGACAGCGTCGATAAACAATGAGACTCATATTAAACTGATTAGGATCATGCGTAAGTTTAAGTTCCATCCCTTAGGCATATAGTTTTAAGGTTGTGATAGGTATTACCGTTATGTAAAGGTTAAAGGAAGGGTTACAATACTGGTCATGTCATAATAATTGTAAGGATAGGGTAGAAAAAGCGGCGATGTTAACATAAAAAAAACGTAGGGTAGGGTAGGGCAGGGCAGGGCAGGGTAGGGTAGGGTAGGGTAGGGTAGGGTAGGGTAGGGTAGGGTAGGGTAGGGTAGGGTAGGGTAGGGTAGGGTAGGGTAGGGTAGGGTAGGGTAGGGTAGGGTAGGGTAGGGTAGGGTAGGGTAGGGTAGGGTAGGGTAGGGTAGGGTAGGGTAGGGTAGGGTAGGGTAGGGTAGTCGAAGGTAGGGTAGGGTAAAATACGAACAAATGAAACTTGTTTATTTTAGCATTTGTGTTTGCATCAGTGGCAACACTACTAGCTATGGCTGTGAAATCACTTGACACAATGATATTACAGGTAAGAACTTTCTTTACAAAACAAAAAATTGCAAGAACTTTCTTTACAAAACATAAAATGGTAAGAACTTTCTTTATGTACAAAACAAAAATAAACAAAAAATCGATAAAAAATGTCATTTTCAGATAGCCTTCTCAATATTCGGAGCAGCAGGAGGTGCAGTTTTGGCCGTCTTCGTACTAGGTCTATTTTGCCCTAAAGTCACCAATCCTTATGCAGCATTGACAGCTCAAATCTGTACTCTATTTGTGTCTGGCTGGGTAGCTGTTGGCTCTTTAGTATTCAAGGTTGTGCCAGTTAACCTACCCTTGAGCGATCAATGTAGGAACTCAAGCAGTCCAGTAGAGTTTGAGTGGAGCGAGAGATATGGTACTGTTACGGCAAACAATGAGTAAGTTGCACTACAGTAAACTACAGTACCCTACCCTACCCTACTTTGCCTTACCTTGCCTTACCATACCTTATGCTGTTCTACTTGTCCTATATTTTCTTACCATACCCTACCGTAATCTACCGTACCCATTATCTTACTATATAATAATGAAAAATACAGTAACGAAGTCTTAAAAACCCCTGTTGTTTACCACAAAAGAAATTTTTACATTTTCAGTTCCGGAATATGGCTTCAGATGTCAAAAATATCGTACCAATACTACTGTGTAGTAGCTATTGTTGTTTGCATTGTTGTAGCTCACATTATGCAATTCATCTTGGACTTAATATACAGTAAGTATTGTAAAGAAAGTTACTGCCATTTTTTGTTTTGTAAAAGTTTTTGCCATTTTTAGTTCTGTAAAGAAAGTTCTTGCAATTTTTTGTTGTAAAGAAAGTTCTTGCCATTTTTTGTTTTGTAAAGAAATTTCTTGCCATTTTTTGTTTTGTAAAGAAAGTTCTTGCTATAAGAAGCCATTAATTATATTTTTCCTTTCAGAACCACCCCCAGTTGAACTGAACCGTAATCTACTAGCCTTTGCCCCTCGGGTTAAGCCTCCAAACATCATAATCGAAGCCCCAGAATCGCAATGTTTGAGCAAACATTGTAGTGTCAACGAAGAAGAGTAACTGCCATTTTTGTATTTTTCGAAATTTTTTTAATTTTTAACTTTTTTTAATCATTTTTTGTATTTTTTCCAATTTGCAGACTTTTTTTAATTTTTTGTTAAAAAAAGTCTTGTCGTCAATTCCCATACATTTTCATAAGAAAAAACGACAAGACTTTTTAAAAACTCTGTATGCCATTCTTTTTTTTAGACACAATTTAAAAAATTTTAATTTTTTGGGTTTTTTAATGCCATTCTTAAATGAAATTTCAATTTTTTTCAAATTTACATATTCAGCTTTACTGCCGGGTCTATTACCTCAACTTGAACTCTCTTAAAATCAACCAGATATAGATTAAAATTGACTTTTTTTACGTTTTAAAATAATTTTTTTTTCAGTTTTTTTTAAATTTTTTAAAAAAAATTTCAAAATCTCACCCTCTCTTGCCATTTAGAGCATTTTAAACTGCATTTGTTATACTAAATATGTTATACTTGATATTGTTCTTCTTATTCTATTTATTCTTCATTTCTTTCTCTATATCTACATCATTTTGTCGTATTTATATATTATGTTATGTATTGTAAGCTTGAACGATTGTTATTGCATGATAAATATTGTTATTTTGTACTATATTAACATAGCCATTACTTTGAAAAATCAGTGCAAAAATAAAAAAAAATTAAAAACTTCAAAGTAAAATACGGGTAGGACTAACGATTGCTTAGTCAGAGACAAATCTTGATGGTACTTTTCTGGCTCGAGCTCCACTACCTTCAGCTGGATTATAATCACCACCAAATGGACCGTCCAGGGAGTTGAAACTGAAAAATATAAGGTTACCATACCCTACATTACCCTACCATATCCTACCGTACCGTACCCTAGTCTACTCTACCCTACGCTACCCTACTCTATCCTACATTACCCTACCCTACCATAATATACCCTACCCTACCTTACCCTACTCTCCCACCAACCTCATTCTAAAAACCATTACAACCCCACTTACCCCATGCCCCCACCATCCACAATAGGCGGTGGTAGTTCGTTATCTCCATCGTTGTCATAAATGTCATCGTTACTAGAAGATCCATCAGCGAACGCTGAATCTGGCCTTGGTTTACATGGTCCACAAAGCTTCTTAGAGAAACATAAGTACAGTAGCAACTCCAGTAACTCAAATAATGTAATGACAGAAGCTCCAATCCACAGAGAGATAGCTCCAGAAATGTTACGGAACAAGTCGTAGCCATTCATATTAGGAGATTCTGTTGTCACTTCGTACTCACTGTTCGCGAACATCACATCAACGGCTACGGCATTCTCACTGAAAAAGTAGTATGTCATTACGGTAACGTAGGGTAAAGTAGGATGGAGTAAGGGGGCAAAGCAGGGCAAAGCAAAGCAAGGTAAAACAAAAGCAAAACATGACAAGACAGAGCAACTAAAGGTAAAGTAAGGTAAGGTAAGGTAGGGTAAGGTAACGCAAGGCAAGGTAAGGCAAGACAAGGGTAAGGGCAAGCACAGGGCAGGGCAAGGCAGGGCAGGGCAGGGCAGGGCAGGGCAGGGCAGGGCAAAGCAAGTCAAAGCAAGGCAAGGCAAGGCAAGGCAGGGCAAAGCAAAACAAGGCAAGGTAAGGTAAGGTAAGGCAAGGGTAAGGGCAAGAGCAGGGCAGGGCAGGGCAGGGCAAGGCAGGGCAAAGCAAGGCAAGGCAGGGCAGGGCAGGGCAGGGCAGGGCAGGGCAGGGCAGGGCAAGGCAGGGCAGGGCAGGGCAGGGCAAAGCAAGGCAAGGCAAGTGAAAGCAAGGCAAGGCAAGACAAGGCAAGGCAATGGCTAGAACTAGATACTCACGTATAAGCAGTATAGCAATCCACATCAGTACCCGGGTAAGTTCCAGTACATTGGGGCGTGGTAAAATTCGGAAAATAGGTAGGCCAAGCCGCCGTCGTTAGAACGGCCGAGTACTGTGCATCACTGCACGGTGAAGCACAAGAACAATTCTGAGTTTGAGTGTAATCTCCATTGACATTAATGTAGTTTTGGTAACATTCGAACTCTTCAGTGTTATTGTAGCTACAGTAAACGTCGTCTTCCGACACTTTTGGGAATCTGGAGTCGACACAGCTACAGTTGGCTAGAAGGCTTTGTTGGAAACAGGTTCTGACACAACCCTAAAAGATAAAAAATTTAATTTTAGGCGGCTGAAAAGAAAGTTCTTGCCATTTTTAGTATTGTAAAGAAAGTTCTTGCCATTTTGGTTTCGTAAAGAAAGTTCTTGCCATTTAATCATCCCTACCTCATAAGTGTAGTATCCATCGTATATTGACCCTTCGGTATCGTCCTTTTGAGTACAGTTATTGTATGGATGTCCCAAACGCTCAATGTCGTCCTATAATAACATTCTTTATCATAACTTACCTTTATAATCATATATAACAACAAAAAGTCAAGTATCATACTTATGCAAACCTTTAAAATATAGTACAATACATTAATTAATACTATACCTCCAATTAAGACCGTATTTTACTTACATAACCAACAGCAACAAGTACATATCTTCCCACTGCCACATCATAGCCATATGTGTTTGGAAAGACGGCAAAGTTTTGTTTACTGATCGTTATTCTCATTCCAGCACAAGATGAAGAAGCCAGATAGTCAGATACGTTCGAAAATGTTATCAAGCGTAAGCCTAAAACACCAAATATTTAAAATAATTTGTCTACGTTACCCTATCCTACTCTACCCTGCCCTATTATATTCTACCCTACCCTAACCTACCCTACCCTATCTACCCTACCCTACCATATCCTACCTTACTCTACTATATTTTTCACAGCTTATCTTATTATAAGCAAGCAATGATTCTAAATACTGAAACAAATAAAATATCGACCAAGATTTGTGGGGAGTTACCCAACCTCACCTTAATGATATAATTTTATTATTTAAAGTAGCCTTAGAGAAATTACAGGAAACTGTATTACGCAACGTTTTCTGATGTAATATCTTTTAATTTTATAATATTTGCCTCGATGTAAAACGACCCAACAAATGACTGCGAGTGCTGGGATCTTGCTCTGAATTTCATCGAGGAATTACCTGTTATCAATCACATTATATAAACTATGACACTACTGCTTCAAAACGTTCTACGAAGGCTTAAAACCTTTGCTTAAAACTAAGTTTAAGGCTAAGCCTAACCCTAATCCAAAGCTCAAACCTAAACCTAAATCTATGTCTAAGCTTCAACCTAAGCCTAAACTTAAGCCAGACTCAGACCATGTCTAATGATAAACCTAAAAAATAAGCCTAAATATATGCCTAAACTTAAGCTTATTCCAAAATAAAAGCCAGTTTTTTTAAGTTTCCGTTGTTATAAAGGCTTATACTCTTCCGTAATTTCCCCTACTCTACCTTAAACTTACCGTACGCCGACCCACTCCTAGCCGTTTTATGAGTGCCATTCGCGTTGTAGGTGTAACAATTTCCATAATCTGGGTCGGTGACCTTTGTGAAGTCACTAAAATGAAAATATGTTAAAGATATGCGAGAACTTTCTTTACAACGCAAAAAATGGCAAGAATTTTCTTTAGAAAACAAAAAAAGGCAAAAACTTTCTTTACAAAACAAAAAATGACAAGAACTTTCTTTACAAAACAAAGAAAAGCAAGAACTATCCTTACAAAGCAAAAAAATGGCAAGAACTTTCTTTACAAAACAAAAAATGGCGAAAAATTTGTTGACGAAACAAAAAACGGCAAGAAATTACTTTCCAAAATAAAAAATTATCATAAATTTACAAAAAAACTCCAACTTTCGAAATATTCCATAATAAAGCCTAATTGTTCACAGCAACACTTGACTCCATATTTGTTTTTGAGTAAACTTTTCCTTTTTTTCGATTTTCTTTGATTTTACCTTGTTTTCACGCGTTCATGCCATTTTATATCGTTTGTTTAGGTACATTTCGCTAATTTCGATTTATAATATTGTTTGTGATGAAGATTTTTACCTTTGCTAGCGGTTTCAAGTTAATATGTTATGTTATACAAAAGTTATATTCATTTGAAAGTGGCAAGGCGTCTAAAAGTTCGAATTTTTTTAGGAAATTTTGATGTTTTGCCATTTTATTTTGTTGTTTAGGTTTGTTTTAATAATTTTAGTAAAAGAATATCGTTGAACATAGAGATTTTTTATCTTTTCTGATCAATTTGAGGTTGGTATATTGTTTTAGAACAGTGATATGTTCAATTGGAAGTGGCAGAGACGAAAAATTTTAGTTTTTTTGGAAATTGTAAAGGCCTTACTGGTTTCAAACTGCAATAACTTTGTTTACAGAACATGAAACAGAAGGAATTTGTTTTAAAAATTTAGTAAATGGCAAGAACTTTCTTTACAAAACAAAAAATTGCAAGAACTTTCTTTACAGAAGGAAAACTAGCAAAAACTTTGTTTACAGATCAGAAAGTGGCAAGAACTTTCTTTACAGATTACGAAATGGTAAAAACTTTCTTTACAGGCAACCACAATATCTTATACTTACTTTTCATAGTCACAAGGAGTCGTATCGAACGAGCATGATATGACCAAGTCTCCAAGCGAATATCCAGCACTTTCCAAGGTGGCAGGGTCCAAATTGGCAATGATGGTCTGCATCAGATCTTGTACTTGAGCCTCTAGTGCTACTCTTGAGGACGATTTGTTCAGACCAAAGTAGTCGATTAGTTCATTCAGCTCGGAAGTGGTATAGTTTTTGGTTTGTACTATTGGTAGAGAAGTCACATCGAAACCTTCAGTGGTACTTTTGGTCGTGGTTGAAGCTGTGGTACTACTGGTACTTGTTGTACTGGTTGTGATTGATTTCGGAGTGGTGCTTGTACTGGAACTGGATGTAATGGTACTACTTGACAATGGTGTGGTACTTGATGATGTACTGGAAGCAGTAGTACTTTTGGTAGTTGTGCTAGTGCTACTGGAGCTAGAACTTCTTGGAGTGGTGCTAGTGCTTGTTGAAGTACTAGCTTTAGTAGTACTAGTTGTACTAGTCTTAGTACTAGTAGGAGTTGTAGCTTTAGTAGTCGTACTTTTAGTGGTACTCTTGGTGGTCGGGCTGGTAGGTTTTTTAGTGGTAATGGTACTAGTTTTAGTACTCGTTTTAGGAGTGGTACTAGTGCTAGTAGCTTTAGTACTAGTTGATGTTGACTTAGTAGTACTAGCTTTAGTAGTGGTACTTGTTTTCTTCGTAGTACTGGCTTTTGTCGTTGTGCTAGTACTAGTGGTACTAGTTTTTGTTGTTGGCGTAGTACTAATTTTAGTGGTACTACTTACAGTGGTTGCTTTGGTCGTGGTACTAGTTTTGGTAGTAGTGGGAGTAGTTTTAGTACTAGTACTACTGGACTTGGTGCTGGTACTGGCTGGAGTTGTGGTCGAGGTACTAGTCTTTGCTGTTGTACTAGCTTTAGTGGTACTCGGCGTGGTAGTTAACGTAGTAGTGGTGCTAGCTTTAGTACTTGTTGATGTTGGTGTAGTACTTGTACTAGTGCTAGTTTTAGTTGTAGTGCTAGTCTTGGTGGAAGTGCTAGCTAATGTTGTAGACGTACTCGCTGTAGTTGTACTAGTCGATGACGTTGACGTACTTTCAGTAGTAGTACTCTCAGTAGTGGTACTTTCGGTTGTGGTGCTCTCTATGGTGGTACTGGCTTCAGTTGTCGTTAACTCGGTCGTAGTCAGGTCAGTTGTTGTTGGTTCTACTGTAGTCGTGAGGTCGGTTGTGGTAGGCTCAATAGTTGTTGTAGGCTCAGCTGTTGTTGTTAGCCAAACATCTATATTACATTCGAATGGGGATACGGTAGTGGTTACGGTGGGTGTGAGGACACATGGGGTACCTGATACGTACACATCTGCGTCTGCTGCTCTGAAAGAAGGGGTTTTGGGTATTAAAGACTGAGTCTATCCTACCCCTACTCATACCCCTATTTCTACCCCTACCCTTACCTCTACTCTTACCCCTATCCCTAGTCATACGTCTACCTTTACTCCTACTCCTACTTCTACTTTAAAATACAGTATTCTAAAGTATATTGTCATAACCTTACCGCTTCTTCCTACTAATCAACTGATGCTCATCAGGCATGTCATACAACTCATCTCGAGTCATAATAGTACTGTAACCATCCACTGCTTTGTCTTTCTTTTTCGAAGCAATTTGAACAGGTTTAGAGCTTTCAAATCCGGCTTCACGCTTCTTTTTACTCAAACCGTCATCGTCGTCGGTATCACTAGTCGAGTTCGTATCGTCACCTTCTTGATAGGCGTCGGAGGTTAGGTATTGGTACACGGCTTCCTGTAACGTAATTTAGTATTATGTAAAGGTTTTAAGCTAATGGTACTGATTTTTATTTAAAGTGGTACTCTTTACTGATTTTTATCCACTTTTTGTGCGTTTGTACTGTCTGGTACCCTTAACACAGAATTTAGTACTTTCATGTTTTTGATACTGCATGGTACTCTTAATACAAGATTTAGTACCCTTAAGGCTGTTGGTACCATCTGGTACTTTTTTACTTTTTGTATACTATTTGTGTAGTTGGTACTGTCTGGTACGCTTAACAAAAAATTTAGTACTTTTCAAATTTTTGGTACTATATAGTACTCTTGTAGCTTTTTTTTGTTTTCTCATACTATCTAGCGCCTTAAAATTAAAAAAAACGCTTACCAACTTCTGAAGCTCACTAATAGAGTCTAATGCATTCAATCGTATAGGATTTAGATTACAAATAGTGACAGCTGGAAACGTACTACCAATTGTGTCTTGAAACTGAACATTTGTGTTTCGTACGTACTGAAAAGAATGGCTTACTACTAGGATTATTATAACAAAAATTGAGTTAGGGGTACGGTGGAAGGGTTAGGATAGGAAGGCAGGTCGAACTGCGTAGGGTATGGTGACGTATTGAAGGGTAGGGCGAGGCTATTGAGAGTACAATAAGGTAGTGTAGGATAGGTTTGGGTGGCGTAGGGTAGGGTAAAGTAAGGTAGGTTAGGGTAAGGTGGGGTAGGGTAGGCTTAAAATGATACCTGTAAATACTCTTGGACGATAGTGACTGTTTGGTATGTGCATGCGCCAATACCAGCTAGTACTATAGCTATCCAGAAGAGGCGGCAATGGAGCTGGTTAAAGGTGGCTACATTTCTTAAAGCTGAAAATTGAATTTTATGATTTGTAAAGAAAATTCTTGCCATTTTTTGTTTTGTAAAGAAAGTTCTTGCCATTTTTTGTTTTGTAATGAAAGTTCTTGCCATTTTTTGCTTTGTAAAGACAGTATTTGCCATTTCAAGCCTTGTAAATAAAGTTTTTGCCATTTTTTGTTTTGTAAAGAAAGTTCTTGCAATTTACAACAAAAGTTAACATACGTTTCACCGACGTATACACGGACCAGTCCTGATAGTTCTCGACAAACGTCTGTTGACGAACATTGCTTGACATGACCAGAACACTAAATTATCAGAAACAAACGAGAATATCGGGAAGGGTCGGATTGTTAATAGCAACCAATGTTATACATATTTATTGTAGCCATAACTACAGATATCGTTATATTATTTATGGATTATGATGCTGTTTAATCTGCTTCTTCGAATTTCTTGACCGGGTTGGTTTTTTGAAAGCTTAGTACCCTTAGGCTTAGCAGGTTCATGATTAGTAGGCTTAAGCTTAGTAGGCTTAGGTATAGTAGGCATAGGCTTAGGTTTAAGCTTAGTGGGCTTAGGCGGCTTACGCTTAGTGGGCTTAGGTTTAGTGGGTTTAGGCTGAGTAGGTTTTAGGCTTAGTGAACTTAGCCTTAGTATTTTTAGGTTAAGTAGGTCTAATCTTAGTATTCTCATCCAGAATGAGTTAAGAATTGTCTTAAGCTTCAAAGGCTTAGATTCAGTAGGTTGGTTGACTGAGAATTCTTAGGCTTAGCCAGTAGAGTGATTAAGCTTCTGTTTGGTAAGCATAGGCTAAGTAGTCTTAAGCTTAGGCTAAGGATTAGTACGCTTATAGGCTTCATAGGCTTAGGTTCATTAAGCTCATCTTTAGTAAGCTTAAGCTGAATAGACATACTTTGAGTGTACTTGGGCTTAGTAAGTTTAATTTTACACTTAGTAGGCTTAAACTTAATAATCGATTCATATATATCTAGTTTTACTTGTTTTTATACATGTCTTGGAGAAAGTTATAATCAAAAAACAGTAAAATACATTTATTAATACAATGTACACCCCTATAACAATATAAAACAGTAAAAATACAATTTCACTTAAAAACCTTCTAAAATATACCTCAATCATCTAAAGTAAGGTCCCTAAACAATGGTCCCATTGACTCATTATGGAAGATTCGTCTCATAGCTTCAGATATAATGACACTAATGTCCACCGTCTTTATCTTATGACATCTCATCTTTTGTAGCTCGTGAGGTACTGTATTCGTCACAATAACCTCAGTGATATGACTGTTCTCTAGCTGTAGCGGAGCATCCGTAGACAGAATACCATGCGTAGCTAGGACGTAGATCTTGTAGGCGCCACGTTGTTTGAGGACTTCAGCAGCTTGAACAAAAGTTTGGGCTTCGTCGATGAAATCATCGACAATAATGGCGATCTTACCACCTACGTCACCGACTACGGTAAGTGGAGGCTTCTCTTTGGGAGTGAAGGCTGAAAATGGCAGTTTTTATAAGAATGACAAGAAACAAAATAAAAAATGGCAAGAACATTCCTTACAAGACAAAAAATTGCAAAAACTTTGTTTACAAAGCAAAAAACGGCAAGAACTTTCTTTACAAGACAAGAAACGGCAAGAACTTTCTTTACAGAAGAAAACACTTACTGGGAAACATTTCAAAGGTAGTGTAATCATTGTTGTAGTTAGGTGGTGGGCTTTGACGACCATCTTCTTGGCCGCTTTCATCAATGTCTTTTTGTTCACCGTGAATCACGGCAATACCTAAAGGGACAGGGTTAAAATTTCAGACCTTAATTCAGACTCTTAATCTACCCTACCCTGTCTTACCCTACCCTACTTTACCCTATTCTACCTTACTCTACTGTACCCTACTTACTACCGTAAACCTCTTCTTATCTTTCCTATCTGTTACCGTAATCTTAAATTCACACTTACCAAGTCTAAGACGATCCGCATAAGAAGTAGCTTTGTTAACTGCTCCAGGCGATTTAGCCACAATTACTGCGTTTTTGTAATCAGGTATGTTCTCCTTAACATACTGTATCAAAAACGGTGAGGCGCGAAGATTATCGACTGGTATGTTGAAGAAGCCCTGGATTTCTTTGCGGTACAGATCTAGTGTTACTACTCTGGTGGCTCCTGAAAGGGTAGTGCAATACATCAATACTAGATAGAACAATATTTCATTTAATAGTATACTGTAGGGTAGGTTAGGGCTTAAGCTTAAGCTTGGACTAAGAGTATTAGGTTGTTCACATAATTCTGCGCTTTACAAATTTTCTTTGAGAGGAGGCGCAAAATTAAGTGAACAACCTAATAGCATAGGATAGGGTAAGGTAGGTAGGGTAGGGTAGGGTAGGGTAGGAGGGTAGGGTAGGGTAGGGTAGGGTAGAATAGGGTATGGTAGGATAGGGTAAAGTATGGTATGGTTTCTTACCAGCTTTGCAAATCATATCAGCAACCAACTTCATAGGAATCGACGATCTTCTTAATTGACGGCATTGTTTACTGTATGGTAGGTACGGTAAAACAACAGTGATAGTTTTGGCCATAGAGGTTTTACAGCCGTATATCATGATCATCAGTTCCATTATGTTGTTGTTTACGTCTCTGAAATGGAGCTTTTGTAAAATAAAGGTTCCAAAAGCTTAGGACTGGGGCTGAAGCTAGGTCTAAACTGGAGTAGAACTAGGACTCTGGGCTATGGCAAGGTCTAAGACTAGGCACGGCTAAGTGTAGGGCTAGTGCTAGGACTAAGGCTAAGGCTAGAGTTATGGCAAAAACTTACTTGTTGCCAGACTGTATGATGAAAACATGTTTACTACGAACTGATTGTTTTATATCAACGGCCGTTTCTTTGTTTGTCTTCTTGTAAACTGTCGCATCGCCAAGTGGTATTCCCAAATGACTGAAATTTCAAAGTTAAATTTAAAAAAATTTTCAAATTCTAAAAAATATTTATTTTTAAAAAATTTAAAACGTCTTACCCAGCCACAAGTTTAGCCAATTCAGGATGAGAATTCCCGGCCAATATCACCATACCCGTACTGGCGTCTGTTTTGTTCATTTTTGACCGGTTTTTTCTGTTCTTTTATGACAATTACTTGTTTCGACTGGTCGGCTACAATTTATCTTTTTTTTTTAAATTAAAAATTTTAAATTTTTGTAAAAATACAAATTAAATTTCAGATAAATTTTTAAACTTATGAAAAAATATCCTATTTTACTTTCTCTTCTTTACCTTACCCTACGCTACCCTACCCTACTCTACTCTACCGTACCCTACCCTACCCTACCCTACTCTACCTTACCCTACCCTACCCTACCCTACCCTCCCCTACCCTATCCTACCTTACCCTACCCTACCCTACCCTACCCTATCTTACCCCACCCTACCCTACCCTACCTTACCCTACCCTACCCTCCTACCCTACCCTACCCTGCTCTACCTTACACTAGCTTATTCTAACCTACCCTACCTTACCCTACCCTACCCTCCCCTACCCTATCCTACCTTACCCTACCCTACCCTGTCTTACCCCACCCTACCCTACCTTACCCTACCCTACCCTCCTACCCTACCCTACCCTGCTCTACCTTACACTACCTTATTCTAACCTACCCTACCTTACCTTATACTACCCTGTTTCACCCTAGCTTGCCCTTCTTAAGCTTAAGTTTTTCAATTTTTAGTCCAAAATCTAAAAAAAAACTATCTAAAGCCACAAAAATGACAAGAGACCACAAAATCCCATCCCCCAACTTTATACGAAATTAATTTAAAGTTGTCGAAAAGAAAATTAAGTGGCGGTCGCCCAATCACAAAAACATAACACCCACTCTTTTTCCATGCCCTATTCGATTCCAACGGTATTTCGGGGCGGTGGGTCCGCTTTTGGGCTTTCGGGCCGTCGTCTCTACCTTTACGTGAGACAAAAAAAGCAAAAAGACATTTATTTATTAGACAAAGTTATCAAGAAATGAGAAAACAAGCTTTCTATTTTATATTTTTGAATTTAAAAATTTTTAATTTAAAAAATTATAAAAAACTTTAAAATATAATGAATAATATCAAAGTAATTAATAAAAATATAATGTAAATAGTCATTGTTAAGATATAACTATGATACATTGACAAAAAAAACATATTCTATCGTATAACGTGTCGCTTTCAACCCGCATTGTTTTGGAGGCAGTTGTTTCGGCTCCAAATTTGTTTTTGCTTTGAAAATGTTGTTGTTGTTACTTTTTCTCTCGTTTTCTTTGGTGTTTTTGATTAAAAAATAATAAAATTTTTTCTGTATTATATTATTTATTATTTACTTGATCTAATTTTTTAATAAAATTCAAGTGTTCTTAGTTAATCGGCGGAGTAATTGAGTTTCTTTGGTTCCTTCGCTGTTGTCCGGCCAAACTCAAGTTTATTTTGTCATATTGCGCGGATTAAACCCTTTTAATACCTTTAATAGGTTCCATATGATTTACTGTTACTTTTTCTATGTTTTAGAGTAAAGAAAAGGAAAACGGTTGTGGTTATGGCAATTTAATTAGAAGTTATGACCGGCATAACATCTTCATCATCTCCACCGAGGGTTCACCTTAATCAAGACACGGAAAGTGGACAGAATAGGTTAGATACCAAGTAAAATACGTTAAAATAAAAACTATCAGAAGCAAAACAAGTTGATTTAGATGTAAGTTTGGTGTTTTGCTTTATCTCTTTCTTTGTTAGATTGATTCGGAAAAGAACATCTACACCTTCCTCATCAAGCTGATTTTTGGGAAATGGATAAAAAACGGGCAGAAAATGCCGTGTTTTGTCAAATACGATGTAAAACGAATAATCTGAAGAAGAACAAGTTGATTCAGGCGTAAGTTTAGTTTTTGGCTTTATTTATGCTATATTTTAGCTTGTAAAGAAAGTAATTGCCATTTTTGTCTCGTAAAGAAAGTTTCTTCCATGTTTTTTGTGTCCCAACAAAAACAATAGTGTCATCCATTAAGCCATAATTTGACGCCACTCTCGACCATCCTCGAGAGCTTGTATTAATCGCACGGTGCGATCGCATTAAGTGTTCATCCAGGGATGACCCAATTTGGCCCGCGACAAAAAACCGTAAGCAAACAATATAATTTGCATAATTTACGAACAAACGATACGGTTTGAAGGGGCTTGGTTACAAGGCTTTAAAAATTGGATTTTGGGAGGGTATTTCTAAAACTTATGGTATTGAATTTTGATTTTAAAGTTTTTTTTATTATTTAGAAAGTCCTTGTCATCTTTTGTTTTGTAGAGAAAGTTCTTGCCATTTTTTGTTTCGTAAAGAAAGTTCTTGCCGTTTTTTATTTTGTAAAGAAAGTTCTTGCATTTTTTTCAAGCTTCATATGCATTTTATTACCTTTTTTAGGCATGACTGCACAAGAATCAGAGACGTCTCCTAGATCAAATCACAGCGAGAAGCGCAACAGAAGTCACGCAAATTTAAGAGAACGTTGTAGAATGAAAAAGTAAGTTAATATAAGTGACCGGTTTTTGTTTATTTTTCTATCTTTTAGTAAAGTATGGCAAGAACTTTCTTTCCAAAATGAAAAATGGCAAGAACTTTCTTTACAAAGCTTAAAATGGCAAGAACTTTCTCTAAAAAACAAAAAATGGCAAGAACTTTCTTTCCAAAATGAAAAATGGCAAGAACTTTCTTTACAAAACAAAAAATGGCAAGAACTTCCTTTCCAAAATGAAAAATGACAAGAACTTTCTTTACAAAGCTTAAAATGGCAAGAACTTTCTTTAAAAAACAAAAAATGGCAAGAACTTTCTTTCCAAATTGAAAAATGGCAAGAACTTTCTTTCCAAAATGAAAAATGGCAAGAACTTTTTTTACAAAGCTTAAAATGGCAAGAACTTTCTTTAAAAAACAAAAAATGGCAAGAACTTTCTTTACAAAACAAAAAATGGCAAGGATTTTCTTTCCACTACAAAAATTTCGATTTTTTAAAAAAATAAAAATTTTTAGAATTAACCATGGCTTTGATCTCTTACGTAACTGTTTGCCGGACACTGAGAATGACCCGAAAATGTCAAAAGTGAAGACATTACGTCGCGCCATCGACTACATTCGACGTCTTCAATCAAATCTCGAAGGTAGTGGACCGGAAATTGATTTTAAAATACGACAAAATAATTATTTGGATTGTTCACAATCAGATTCTAGCTCTAATGAACAATAAATTTAATATAAGTTAGTTGAACTTGAAAGAACTTTCTTTACAAAACAAAAAATGGCAAGAACTTTCTTTACAAAACAAGAAATGGCAAGAACTTTCTTTACAAAACAAGAAATGGCAAGAACTTTCTTTACAAAACAAGAAATGGCAAGAACTTTCATTTACGTAACAAAAAATGGCAAGAACTTTTTTACAGAACGAAAAATAGCAAAAACTTTCTTTACAAAACAAAAAATGGCAAGAACTTTCTTTACAAAACAAGAAATGGCAAGAACTTTCTTTACAAAACAAAAAATGGCAAGAACTTTCTTTACAAAACAAGAAATGGCAAGAACTTTTTTACAGAACGAAAAATAGCAAAAACTTTCTTTACAAAACAATAAATGGCAAGAAGTTTCTTTACAGTGCAGAAAATGGTAAAAACTTTCTTTACAAAGAGGAAAAGGTAGGTCTGACTTTCCGGGCAGGATAATTTACCATCTCACTTTTATCTGAATGCAGCTTCTTTAACTACGGTGGAATCCGTGCATAACGAACAACTTTTGCCACTCCGGTTATCACTACAGATTTTTTTAACACTGCTGTGTACCTTAATTCTCTATAATGAACAAATTTAGAATTCTGAGCGATTCCTAATACAAGAGTTCCATTGTACTTCAAATTTGACTGAGTTCAGATTGATTGAATCCAATGTTTTCTAGTACCTTTTCTTTATTTTTTATAACTTTTTTGCTTGTTTTGCTACTATTATATCTTTTGTTTACAATTAGTGCAAGTTATAAATTTTTTATCAATTAATTCAACTTTTTTTACTTTTTTTTATTGTTTTCCCTCAATATGTTTAACCAAAAAAAACAGACGACATATTGCAAGGCTGTGTATTCGTACGTCACAAATAGAGGGAGGGATAGAAGCTGCACATTCCGATCGATTCCACAAACACTCAACACCTGTTGGGAAAGGGACACCCACGCAGCGGCCGCAGGGGGGATTTTCTTGGAATCGGCCGAGGGAAAAGATTGGGCTTTCGGCCGAGCATGATCTACTGAAGGTGATAAGGGTCGATCATGATCTAATTGATATAGTAGAGGTAGTTCTAAAGGGCTAGAGTATGAGCTACTGAAGGTGATTGTGCTAGAGCATAATCTACATGACATTGTAGGCCCAGTACATGATCTACTTCATATAGTAAAGCTGATTTATGATCTATTTGTTATGTTAAATACAGTACATGATCTTCTAACCGTGATTGAACTCTGGATTGTGATCTAATCGGCGAGAGTCAGCTAGAGCATGATCTACTTGATGCAGTAGACGTATCCTTTAATCTACTAGATCTTAAAGAGCTAAAGCATGATCTATCTAATAAATAATGGCTAAAAAAGACGCTTTAAGCAAAATATCACCATCATAACAAAAATTTTGAAAAAACATTACTCTACTACAACTTTATAAAAGTCTTGTCGTTTTTCACCGTTCAAACCAATGTTAAAAAACGACAAAAATTTTTAAACCTTAATATTTTTTTAAAAAATTTAAAAAAAAATAAATTTTCAGCCAAATTTTGAACCTTTCACAACGTATTTCGTTTAAATTTAATATGAAACACATAAAAACACATACGACAAAGTTGTAATCGCGCCAACATTTTTATGAGAACAACCTTTAATGAATGCTTAGCCTTTTTTTCTTTCTTCGATGACATAGAACATACGAAATGGGTGTTGTGATGATATAAAACACACAATCGGCCACATTTCGTTGTGATGACATGACGATAATCCAAAAAAAGAGAGAAAAGATATAGGATGAGAAGGTGAAAACATGATAAATCTAGTGGTGCTTACAGTATACTACATACTACTAAATAAAAACTGCTCTAATAGGTGGGCTACGGTAGATTGAGGGGTGTGGGGTGGGTACTGTAAAGGGGTTATCAAAAATTCACTACAATCATTACAGTAAGCCAAAAGTTTACCATAATCATTATAGTAAGCTAAAAGTTTACCATAATCATTACAGTAAGCCAAAAGCCCACAATAATCACTACAGTAAGCTGAAAGATTACCATAATCACCACAGTAAGCCAAAAGCCCACCCTCCCCATTACAGTAGCCCCACCCCAACCCCCTACACCTACCGTAACCAACAAAACAAGATACAGGATGGTTGATAATTCGTTCGAAGGCTCAATTTTCACTGCCAAAAAAATGAAACCCCCTTCAGATGTTAATGATGTTCGTAGCCGTGCGAAAGTCTCCATTAATGACACTAGTTGACATTATTTGTCATTCCTTTATTTAGATGTAAGAGGTCGAATTAAAAAAGAGAAAAAGAGTTGTAATAAACAAGAGTTTTTGTTTTTGAACCCTGAGGGGTTTAGTCTTGTGGGAAGGGTCCGGCCATGACCTTCTTGATGAAAGCTGAAAGTTTTGGGAATTAGGTAATAAAAATTGAAAAAAATTAAAAATTACGTATTAAAAATTTTAAAAAATTGTAATTCTTAAAGGGATGGATCTTGAATTTCAAAAAATTAAATTTTAATTTAAAAAATTGATTAAAAAAATTTAAAAATTAAAATAATAGTATTTTAGCTCAAAAGCTAAGAAAATCATCAAACTTCTAGTTAAAAAACACATTTTTCTAAGCCTAAATGTCTATCCCAATATTTTAAAAGTCATTTTAAATGTTGTAACAATGTTTGTTAAACCAATAAAATTTATTTTTTGATAAAAATAATTATGGAAATTAAAAAAATGGCTTAAAATACCAAAAACAGTCTTAAAACATTGTAAAACGACTTAAAATGCTTGAAAGTCCAACTTAAAAATTTAAAAATTTACAAAAAAATATTTTTCTTTACCGCCTACTTCGATACCTTTAAGCATTTATTTGAAAAAATTTAAAAAACACCCAAAAAATTAAAAAAAGCTAAAAATCTACCCTCAAAAATCATAAATTTTGATGAAAAATCAAAAAAATCTACCCTCATCATCTAAAGACAAAAATCCCTCCCTTTCAAAAAAAAATTTTTTTTTATTCCCTCACCTTCCCACCCCCCTCCCCTTTCCCTTCCAACTAACAAAAATCCTCCTCTCCCTTTCCCCACCTCTCTCTTTTACCTCCCCCCCCTCCTCGTTCCCACCCCTCCCTAAAAAAGCTAAAACCCACCTTCGTAGTTGACCAATCCTTCGCTGTCTTCGGCGCCCTTCAACAATTCGTCGGCTTCTTCGGTGCTCAGACGCTCACCCAACGCCAAGAGGATGTGTCGGAGTTCGGCGGCCAAGATTTTGCCACATTCCTCCTTGTCGAACACTTTCAGGCCCTCCATGAAGTCGGCGAATGAGCCGGCGGACTGAAATTTTAGAAATTGTAAAGAAAGTTTGAGGATAGTACTATCAGTGGTACTGATTTTGAAAATTTTGCTTTAAACATCAATTTTTGATAATAGTGCTATTAGTAGTACTAGTTACTAAAATAGTACTGTTAGTGGTACTATTTACAAAAATAGTACTATTAGTGGTACTATTCACAAAAATATTACTATTCGTGGTACTATTCACAAAAATAGTACTATTAGTGGTACTATTCACAAAAATATTACTATTCGTGGTACTATTCACAAAAATAGTACTATTAGTGGTACTATTTACAAAAATAGTACTATAATAGTGCTGTTTTTTAAAAATAGTACTACTCACAAAAACAGTACTAAAAATAGTACTAGTTCCAAAAAACCAAACTACAAATAGTAACGTTTAAAAAATACAGTACTATATACTTACAAAAATACCCCCATAAAAGCGATTTTGAAAGACGATACTACCTATAATCACTATCGCAAATGGCCCTAACTCCATACTATAAATAGTACTAACCCTAGTACTGGAAAAGTCTCCTAAAACCCAGTAATCCTCACCTTTTCTCCCTGAAGCTGTTGGTAGATTGGGAGCCACTCCTCGAAGGTGATTCTCTTCTCTCCCTTTCTCTTGTACTCTTGGCCAGCAGCCTTCCAGACGGCGGCATTGGTGGGTTTCAAGCCGGCGGCGCGAACTACATCACCAATCTGGGTACCATCGATCTTACCGTCCAACTCCTCGTCGTACAGGTTGAAGATCTCTTTGAGTTCTGAAGAAAATCGAGATTTAGATAGCTTCTGATGTTGTTAATTGGTTGAAAGCTGTTTTTGAGTTTATGATTTTTTGGGTTGTAAAGAAAGTTCTCGCCATTTTTTGTTTTGTAAAGAAAGTTCTTGCCATTTTTTGGTTTTGTAAAGAAAGTTCTTGCCATTTTTTGTTTTGTAAACAAAGTTCTTGCCATTTTTTGCTTTGTAAAGAAAGTTCTTGTCATTCTTTGATTTGTAAAGAAAGTTCTTGCCATTCTTTGATTTGTAAAGAAAGTGCTTGCCATTTTTTGTTTTGTAAAGAAAGTTTTTGCCATTTTTTGTTCTGTCATTGTTGATTTCTTGATAAAAACAAGTTTTTAAAGCCAAAAGTTATATAAAAACTACCGTTATAAGCCTAAAATTTAGTAAAATTAGTTTTTTATACCCTAAAATCTCACAAAATATCAAAAAGCTCTGTCGTTTTTAAGACTGCAAGTCAATATGAATTGACGACAAAACTTTTTGTAGCCCTCTAATACCCAAACAATGAAAAAAAATGCAAAAAATTTTGAACTTTTGAATATTTTGGCTTTGAAATGACAAAAAGGCATCAAATAAACAAGAATATTTGTTGAAAATGTCAAAAAATTGTTACTTTTTCAAAACAAAAATTAAAAAAAAACATTTTTTGTTATGAAACTAGGCTTGTAATATACTTTCAAAGCTAGCAAATTACCAAAAAACTATAAAAATTATATTTAAAATTATTAAAATAGAGATAAAATTCCATAAAATTGTCAAAAATGCCCATAAACCAATCAAAAAGGACGTAAAACCAACATAATTTACAGCAACTATTACTTCTGAAACCACATTACAGTAGCTCCAAATCTACCGCACCATAAGCCACAACTTATCGCACAATAACCCACAATCTATCTTCCAATAACCCACAATCTACCGCACAATAACCCACAAAAACCCGGCAAACTTACCAGCGTCGGAAGGCATGGCGTATCACTTGGAGCGAAACGAACAAGTTGGATTGAAAAGGTTCCTAAGGGGCTGCGAGGGCGAGACGACTTTCTTCGGGCGGCCAAGCGGTCGTAGTGAAAACTTTGGATCCGGCCCCGTTGGCTGATCCGGCCTCTGTTATCAGCGGGTCTCCGCGAACCGCGCGCTCTCTCGCTGGATGTCGGGATCGCAGCTGCTCTCGAGATTTCTCTCGCCGGTGGGCCGAACCCGATCGATTTGTGGGCCGATCATTGTTCGCAGTTGCAGGATTGTTAAGGGAGGACTTGGTTGGGGAGGGATGATAGTGAGGGCCGAAGGTGGAGAGTGGTATGGGTAATGAAGACGGAGGCGGAAGAGTTTTGCGGATTAGCCGAGCAATGGCCGCAGCCAGAGAATCAAAATCGCGGCCAGAGAATCAAATGGATCTGAGGGGGCTAAACGCGTTTGCCTCGAGGCTATACGGGGCTTCGGCCGCTGTACGATGGTCTCTCGGATAGCTGTGATCTTTCTTCTTTTTTTGTTTAGCTTATATCACTAAAATTTCTTTTTTTCTCTAGTAAATAGTCTGTGAGATCTATTATAACATCTCAATTTCTCTAACCACCATATCTTTAAAAACAACAATCCCTACCTCTGTGTCGTTCTATTAGGTTTAATTGGCATTTCTTGTTTTGTTTGTCACTTTTGTTATAATTGATTGTGTCTCGTCGCCGTTTCTTATTGTTTTGATGGCTTTTTGTTGCTATATGATTGCAGTCTTTTGCTGTTTGGTTGTAGTCTTTTAAGGTGGACGTAATGTCGCAGCCGGTTTTGGATTAGTCTTAGTCTTCGGCATGGTTATATGGTAAAGATTAGGCTGAGACTTAGTCTTACGCATAGTTTTAGTTTAAGGCTTTGGCGCAGGAGTTGGCTAAGGGTAGTCTTAAATTATGGCTTAGGTTTAAGCTTAAACTTAGTTTTAGGTTAAGGCTTAGGCTCAGGCTTTGTCTTAGGTATAATCTTGAGTTATGGCTAAGGCTCAGGCATCGGCATAGTCCTAACATAGTCTTATGGGAAGGGTTAGGTTTTATCTTATGCATAGTCTTAAGTTAAGGCATACCCTGAGACGTCGACTTAGGAGTTATCATAAGTCTAGGCTTAGGAATAGGTTTAGACGTAAGCTTAAGTCTAGACGTAGGTTTGAGCTTAGATTTAGACATAACTCAGGTTTACGCAGAAGTTGTGCACTTTTTTCTACTTGAACAGATATAGCAAACCTCGTCGTATTTTACATACCGTACAATTTCTTTACCTCTTTACTGAAAACTTGTACTATAGACACAGTAGTTGAACCCCACTTTTCTACTTTTGTATAGTTTAATATGCTTATCATCTAATTTTTCTTTTTTAATATCTACCTTTCTACCTCATGTCTAATCCTTTCCCATTCATGTCCCATCTTCTCTATCATGTCATCCACTCCCTAACCAAATAGCAGCCTCGTTCCCGGCCGATCTCTCATCCATCTTCAAAATCAACACATTTTCATGTTCCCCCCTCCTGAAAGCCTTAAGGGTTTTCTCGGTTTTCGAGCATGCGTTCAAGCTTTTTTCAAGTGCATCGTGTCTTCGGATCAAATAAAAACCTCGGATCAGACACATTCGAACTGCCAACATGATTATTTACAAAATGCACTCTGTAGGAAAAACAAAAGGTATAAAGGGTTTGGGAAAGGAAAAGTAACAACATCTATGATAATATATTCAAATATACAACAGAATGATAATATAAATATAAAAAAAAATTTACAACATCTATGATAATATAAATGAACAAATAAAGAAAAAATAGTAATACACGGTTGTTCAAATAATTCTGCACCACATTTTAAAGCAAATTTTCGAGGTTAAAGGGCGCAGAAATATTTAAATTCTTTACGGAAGTATAAAAAAAGCTCTGCAGTTTGCGCTAATTTCGGGCGCAGCTTTCTAATTTTTTGGAATTATTTTTCGTTTTTTTTTGCCAAAAATAGCGTTATAACCAGCATATTAACAGTTTTATCGCCTTTTATTATGTTGAAAAATTAATTTACAATATCTTCTATTTATATTTTAGGTTGTAACAATTTCTATTTTAGATAATGTCTATAAAAGACGCTCTTTACGGCGCCACCGGCCGGAAGAAGATCGGCCAGCCCGAATACAGTTTTTTACAAGATCGTAACAAATTTCGGTGTGAATGTACGATCACTGGCATAAACTACAGTGGTATGGGCATATCCACAAACAAGAAAAATGCCCAAACGAATGCGGCCAAAGATATGGGCGAGTACTTGGTTCGAGAAGGACTTCTGGAGCCGACGGACATTCCTCAACTTCAGGTTGGTATTTCTTTAGTTTTTTTGTATTTAGGGATGGTACAGTGTTCCGACGTCAAAAAAAATGAATCTTTTATTAAACTGGTCGAAAACATTGAGTTGGGTTGATCAGAATAGGTATTGTTCATCTAGTGTAACATAAATCGATCTCAAGCTGTTATTTGATAAAATAACGCATAGATTAATGTTACACTAGATGTATTGAACTCTGTATTAAGTTAGAACATACGTTTTATGTTAATTTGGTTTATTTTTTTTGAAGTAAACTGAAGTAACATTGAAACTGATGTTCTAACTTAAGATTTTCGTTATAGAACAACGAATTACGCGGTTTAATTCTTTGAATCAACATGGTTTTGATGTCAGAACACTGTCCTAACATGAAATTATTATGACAGGTAAGTAAAAGATATTTAACGCGATTTACAATGAAAATATTGTTACAGGAAGGTGATCTTGAAGGTTCTGGAACGTCAAACTTTGGTCCGCCGGATGCAAATGTATTTGCTATTCCAAATCAACAAACTGTGGAATACGTACCACCAGTACGTGTTCACGAGCCTAGACAGCCTACTAACTATGAGAAATACATTGCTGATACGGCCAACGAGGTCGAAAAGGTAGGATAATATGTTTTTCTTCGTATTTTTGTTTTTTAGAGTGAATGTGTGGATTTGACGGCAGAAATTCACGGTGGATGGACTGTTAACAATTGCAAGCAGGCTTTGAATGAGTTCCTGCAAGCGAATCGAATGCCGGCCGTCCAGTATAAGATGGAATCCAGTGGTCCACCTCATGCCAAGTAAATTATTTTAATCAATTTTATTTTTAAGTTAACGATAACACATGTATACTAATTGAAATTAGTTTAGGACGTTTGTGGCTAGTATTGATCTGTTTATTCAACAGCTTGGCATCGTTTTGAAAGCTAGAGGAGAAGGTTCAAATTCGAAAATAGCTCAATCTTCTTGTGCTTTATCTGTAGTGAGGCAATTGTATCATAAAGGAGTGTTGAAAAAGTGTGGAGAAACAATTTCAAAGAAGAAGAATGCCGCTGATGTAAGTTTTTTAGTGTGGTTGGGTAAACAGTATGTTGTAGTAGGTACTTTTGGTATTTTTGTTGGGAAATTTGGTACAACTTTTGACTCTTTGAAGCTAATGTGATATCGTATGGTTTAACAAATGCAGAAGGCTTTGGTTTTTAACCTTAGGTATTAGTTTGGTCTTATTTTAGCTTCCAGCAACTTTGGTTCAAATTAACCCGGATGTAATCCAAAGGTTGGATACATACCTCGAACAAGTTGGTCTTAACCCAGTTAAAGATGGTTTCTCAATTGCTTCAAATGAAAATCGGATTTCACTGGTAACTGATCAGAAGCTGGCATCGTTTCCAGTAAATCAAGGACCTCCAAAGGCCTCAGGGCTTGTTGCCTTTGCGCCACCGACTCAGAATTGGGATCCATGGAAGGGGACGAATATTGATGAAGGTCCATTGGCTACGATGAAGTTGCCAGAGATTTCTAATCAGATTCTGATGCAAGAAAAAGCGAAGAACCATAATCCGGAGATTGTGGAGAAGCGACGAAGCTTGCCGGTGTTCAAATACCGAGAAAGTATTTTGGATATTGTGGATCAGAATTCGGTGGTTTTGATCAAGGGAACTACTGGTTGTGGTAAAAGTACACAGGTGAGGTTGATTTTGACTGTTTTTTGTTTTAGAAAGGAATTTCTTGCCATTTCTTGTTTTGCAAAGAAAGTTCTTGCCTTTTTTTAGCTTGTAAAGAAAGTTCTTGTCATTTTTTGTTTTGTAAAGAAAGTTATTGCCATTTTTTGTCTTGCAAAGAAAATTTTTGCTATTTCTTATTCTGGAAAGAAAGTTTTAACTTTTTCTTTATATTACACTACCTTCATAACATACTTGACTTTTTTTAGGTCTGCCAATACCTACTAGATCATTTCATTCATAAGAATCAAGCAGCCAACTTCAACTGCATTGTATCTCAACCAAGGCGTATCTCCACGATCTCGTTGGCTGAACGTGTAGCCAGTGAACGGATGGAAGATGTCGGAATGAGTGTAGGCTACACAGTACGATTTGAAAGTGTCAATCCTCGACCATATGGAGCAATATTGTTTTGCACTGTCGGATGTTTGTTGAGGAAGATGGAGTATGGACTCAGAGGCGTATCGCATCTGATTATTGATGAAATTCACGAACGGGATGTTGATGTAAGTTGTGAAATGATTTTTAGGATTTATATGACGATGTATTTCGTAGCAGAGACTGTGTAATGTAATATTTTACTTAAAAAGCTTGATTTTAAGCGAAGTTGTAATCCGACGCCTTACAAAGTGTTATGATACCTAAAATTTGTTTTTTTATGAGCAAAACATAAGTATATGGAAATGATCATCAATTTCAGACCGACTTCTTACTAGTCATCATACGTGACATGGCAAGAGCATTCCCAAACCTGAAGGTCATATTGATGTCGGCTACGATTGATACTAACTTGTTCACGAATTACTTTGACACTTCGGCTGTAATCGAAATTGAACAACGTGTTTTTGAAGTACAATGTGAGTTATGATAGGTTGATACCTATTCTCTACTTTTTTGTATTTTAAATTATTATTTTTTATGATTTTTGATTTTGTCTTTAACATTTTTTGCTGTTTTATATTGTACTAGTGGTCAAAAATCTATTTTTTTTTATATTTTATGACATCTTTTCAGACTTTTTCCTCGAAAACGTCTTGAGCATGATAGCATATGAGCCAGAAATCCCGGAAAAACGACCGAAAAACAAGAAGTCGAACAACAGAAATCAACAAACCAATGATGACGGAGATGACGACGATGCTGGAGCTGAAAAAGACGACAGAAATTTGAATGTAGTCTACGATCCGGAGATTTCCGACGCGGTCAAGTACAAGATATCGATTATGGACGAACAGAAAATCGAAATCGGGCTGATTGAGGTGGGTTTTTGGGGAAATTTTCGAATTTTAAGGCCAATTTTAGTTAGTGAAAAACTCTTTTATGCTATTAAAGGCGTTGTTTACTATCAAAACTTTTTAAAAACTACATAAAATATATATTACTTTAGGCGATTGTCCATGATATTGCTGTGAACGGTGAACCCGGAGCCATTCTAGTCTTTCTACCAGGCATGGCTGTGATCGAAATGTGCCAAGCTGCCTTGAGGAAAAACAAAATTCTGGGAGACGCGGCCAAATATATCATCCTACCTCTTCATTCTCAACTGCCTTCTTCGGAACAGCGAAAAGTTTTCCAGAACTTTAAGGATCCTCAGAGAAAGATCATATTATCCACGAACATTGCCGAAACCAGTGTCACTATCGACGATGTTGTCTACGTGATCGACTCGTGCCGAGCCAGAGAAGCCTCTTACACGTCCAGGAATAACATGGTGCATTTCTCGACCGTCTGGGCTTCTAGGAACAGTCTAATCCAACGCCGCGGTCGTGCCGGTCGTGTAAAACCTGGATTTTGTTTTCACTTGTGCACAGAAGAACGATACAAAGCATTGGAAGAGCACAGAACGGCCGAAATGCTTCGTGTACCATTGGCCTCATTGGCACTGTCAATCAAGTTGCTAAGGCTAGGATCGGTCGGAGATTTCCTGGAAAAGGCTATCGAACCACCGCCAATGGATGCCATCGTTGAAGCCGAGGTACTACTAAGGGAGATGAATGCTTTGGACAAAAATTTGGAACTGACAGACTTGGGAAGGGTATTGGCTAGACTGCCGTTGAAGCCTCGTGATGGAAAGGCTTTGATCTTGGCTTCGGCTTTGAAGTAAGTAGTTTTTAATTCGTATTTTAAGGTTATTGAAAGGCTTTGGTTGGCTTACATTTGAAAAAGAAAATTTTTGTTGACAATTCTTATAAATTTTGTGAAAATTATAATTTTAGGTAACAACCTTTTATAATTTATATTTTTAGGTATTAAAAATGTATTTTTAGGTGTCAAGTTACCTACATTTTTGAAAAATTAGTATTTTTAGGTAACAATATTACTTTTTTTTTGTCTTTTAACTCTTATAAGTCTTAAATTTTCAGCATTGGTGACTTGATGTGCACGATAACAGCGGCCAGTTGCATGAACACCCCCTTCGTGCCGCTCCAAATTTTCCACAAAACATTGTCGAATTGTCATCGAAGATTCTCCGGCAGACGACTTTCTGATCACATTGGCTTGGTCAAAGTTAACAACGAGTACTGCCGAGCGTTGGAAAGAAACGATTATGAGGCAGCTGCATTCGCTTCGAAAAATTCGTTGAACAGGATTGTTTTGGGCATGACAAGGTGGGTCTTGGGGTGGATTTTTAAATTTTTTTCGAAATTTTTTTGAAAAATATTGAACTTGGTCTTCTTTGTTGGTTATGATCAAAATTGTTCTTCTAGAACATGCTATTACTAAAATCTATAATATCTTGTTATAGAGAAGCCAAGCTTCAAATGAGAGACGTCCTAGTCCAGAAGAGCAGCTTCTCCGAATCCTCCTTTCAACCGTTGGACGTGGACCCGGATGGTGAAGACGTGAACCTTGACCTGCTTCTAGGACTCTTGGTCTACGCCCTATACCCAAACATTGCTTACTATCGAGACAAACGACAAGTATTTACATTGGAACAGGCCACAGCTCTGATGTCTAAGTTGTCAGTATGCATGCCTCAGGTCAACGCGGCCAAGATCGAATTCCCATCTCCATTGTTGGTATTCACGGACAAAAGAAGGACCAGTGTTATTAGTGCCAATACTATTTCAATGATAACTCCGATTCACTTGTTGTTGTTTGGAAGCCGAAGGATTGAATGTGTTGCTCCAAATTTGGTTAGATTGGATGATATGTAAGTTTATATAGGTTTTTAGGAGGGGATTTTAAAACAACACTATTAATGAAAAAAGTTTTCCAATTTTATATAATGAAGGCATTTTTTAGGATCGTCCTAGAAATGGACCCCTCAGACGCGGCCAAAATCGTAGCCTTACGACCAGCGATCGAAGCCCTTGTCGTAAAAACGTGTATAAACCCTGCCTCCCTATCCGAACCGACTCCAGAGCACGCTCAGTTCCTCGACGTGCTTCGCCAACTATGTGGAGAGTTGGCTTATCAAGCGGCCGAAATCACAAATGCCCCTATGAATCAGTTTTACTCTGAGTATCAACAAAAAAGAAAGTTGGCTCCAATGAACGAAACAGGCCCAAGAAGACAATTCCCACAGAGTGAGCGGCCACAATGGCGGCCGGATCAACGATTCCACGGCCGAGGACGTGGTGGATATCGTGGAGGATTCAGAGGCGGGAACGGGCCGAGATATCAGGGTTATGGTGGTCAAGGTGGTGGATTTGGGAGAGGAGGGTATGGAGGAAGTAACCGAGGTAACGGATTTGGCTCAGGAGGTAATGGGTTTGGCCAAGAAGATGGTGGATTTGGTCAAGGAAATGGCGGATTTGGTCAAGGAGGCTCTGGACAACAAGCAGCGTACGCTCAAGCCAGAAGTCAAGCTGGATTTGGAGCTCCCCCACCCGAGTTTAGCGCTGGAAATGGCAACGCTGCTTATGGAAAACCACCGGCCGAAACTTTTGTAAGTGTGTGTTTTGACAAAGTGATTGTGTTTGGTACTATTTAGATGCGCTGGTCGAATTTCGGGCAGTGGAGGTTAAGAAAAGGTGCTTGAATTCATGGGTAAGGTATATACGGATATTGTTTTAGGAGAGCAAGACATTATTTTAGATACATTAAATTTTTCGGTTGAATTATTTGAGATTTACGTGGAGTCATCAGGGCGGGGTAAATTTTCGTACAGGGGGAGGTTAAAAAAAATTTTTGTTTGAAAGTTAAAACTAGCTTTAACTTTTCAAAAAAAAATTTTTGTGGGGAGTGGGAGAGGATGAGAATTCTAAAATGAAAACAAATATTACAGTTATATTGTTTTAGGCTTCACCGCTACAAAAACGTCCGTATGGGACAGCCAACGAACCACCTACCATCAAAACTTCTCCAGACACCCCTGTTATTCCAAAACGGCCAAATCTTAGTGAGGCGTGATCCTGAATTTTATCAATATTGTTTTACAGATAAGTTATTGTTGAGTTGAATTGTGAAAGTGTCACTTTTTTGTGTATGAAATGACCTTACTTTTGTATATTATTATTGTTTCAATGACCTTTTTGTTGTATTATACTTCATTTTCTAATACTTTAATAAATGATAAGTTATGTCAAGGTTTTGGCTGCTAAAAAATGATTTTAATTCAAGGTTATGTTATATTAAAAAGTTTATCTGTTACTTTATCGAACTTTACATAATTAAGTTTAGTTAAAATAATGAAGTTTTCAAGCCTCCGGCGCAGCCGTGCCTTTCGCCAATTTCAAAGGCTGAGCTTTAATGTTCTTTGAAATCCATTCCATACCGTCCTAAAGAAAATTGAGTAGGCATGGAAGTTTTTTTTCGTATTTTAGGCTTTAAACGGGGGGGGAGATGTATCTTGATTACGAATGACATACCTTAACTCCTTCACCGGTCAAAGCAGAACAAGATTGAATTTGCCAAATCCGGTCGCGTGACATGTTCAACAACTGCATTCCTTCAGCAATCTCACTGGCCGAGGCGGCGGTTATCAGGTCCTAAAACAATTTTTTCATTTTAGTTTATGTTACAGTTTAGCTTATTAGATTGTACACAACCCTAGCATATCTCCCTTTACCATTCTTTACTTTAACTTACCCTACTCTACTCTACTTTACCCTACTCTACACTACCCTACCTTACCTGACCCTACCCTGGCTTACCTTACTTTACCTTACTCTACTTACTCTCTACCCTACTCTATCAAGCCAAAATCCGACCCTAACTTCTAAAATTTTTAGTATATTACCCACCTGCTTGTTAGCATAGATCAAAACTGGCACATTCTTCAGTTTTTCCTCTTCCAGAAGCTCTGACAATTCCTAAAATTACAAAATATACGACGTAAAACATGGTCATCAACCTACCAACGCCGTTTCATCAAAACGCTTTTTGTCCGTGCTGTCAATCACATAGATCTGAAAAAGTACTTTTTTATTATATTAAGTATGGCAGTACCAAAAAATAATAATAATTCTCACCAAAACATCCGTGTTGTCAAAGTAGTTTTTCCAATATGGGCGGATTTTTCGTTGACCTCCAATGTCCCAGACATTGAGCTTGATGTTCTCCGCAATCACACTCTTTATGTTGAATCCCTAAAATTGAAACAAAAATTAATAAAGAATTTAAAACCATAAAAAAATTTTAATAAGAGCTTTACGCTAAATAAGGGTAGGGCTGAGTAACGTAGAGTAGACAAAGACAAGGTAAGGAATGGTATGGCAAGTTAAGGTAAGGTAGGATATGTTAGATATAACATACCTGAGTTGGAGTGATGTGTGAAACATCTTCAGAAGCCAGGCTCTTCAAAATTGTTGTTTTTCCAGCATTGTCAAGACCTGTAATTTGTATCTTTTATTAGGTCGTTCACTTAATTAAAAAAAAATTTTAATTTTGATTTTTTTTCAAAATGTAAAATTTTTTATTTTTCTATCATTAGTTTCTATAAGCAAGACTTAGTTCCAGGAAGCGTATTTTACACTTATTGTGATGGTAAAACACAACATACCCAAAAGTAGAATGCGCAATTCCCGGCCTTGTTGACTTTTGAACTTTTTCAGAATGTCTAACAGTCCCTGAAAGAAATAAGTTTATTTTAAAAACAGAAAATAAAGAGAAGGCAGGGTGAAACATAAGGTAGGGTAATGGTAATTTTAGGGCTTAGAGTAGAGGTAAAGCTAGGACAAAGGCTTGAGGTAAGGATGAGGCCTGTTAGAGCTAAGGCTTGAGTTATGGATAGAGCTAGGGTAGGATTAAGGCTGCGGCTAGGATTAATGGTAGGGCTAGGGCTAAAGGTAGAGCTAGAGCTAGAGTTAGAGCTAGAACTAGAACTAGAACTAGAACTAGAGCGAGAGGTAGAGCAAGAGCAAGTGCTAGAGCTAGAGCTAAGGCGGGAGCTAAAGTTAGAGCTATTATATAATTACAGCTAGGACTAAAGCCTCTGCCGCCCAACCCACAACTCAAAATTGCTTGTCCGACACTGTATATCTCAATACCTAATAAAAAACCGATATTATCACTATTAAAACCCTAAAAACTACAAAAAAACTAGAAAATATTCAAAAAACAACATACCATGTTACAATTAATACAGTGCCGTTTCAATGTATCATTATGCGGGTGTGTAATTGGAAAAAGAAAAGGATTAAATCTTCTGCCTTATTAGTGGGTCCAACCACTTTTTCCGGTTACTATGGCAATACATTCGTGCTCAACGTTTCTTTCCATGCTACAGCATATTGTTTTGTCATAAGTGGTATAAATTTTTAAGCCAGCATGAATAAAGGCATGAAAATTTGAAATGTCACGGGAATTTACAGTATTTGGGTTTAAACGGCAAAAACTTTACTTACAGAAAAAAATAGCAAAAAATTCATTTATAAAACAAAAAATGGCAAGAACTTTCTTTACAAAACAAAAATTGCAAGAACTTTCCTTACAAAACAAAAAATTGCAAGAACTTTCTTTACAAAACAAAAAATGGTAAAAACTTTCTGTACAAAACAAAAACAGGCAGAAACTTTCTTTACAAATCCAAAATAGCAAGAACTTTCTTTACGATACAAAAAATGTCAAGAGCTTTTTTTACAAACCCTTAAACCAAAATTTTGTTACCTAAAAACCTTAAGATCCAAATTCAGCGCAAATTTCTTTATTTCTAAAACTATCAAATTGTACACGACTGTTATATTATAACCGGAGTATGTGGGAGACCAGCTCGAACAAAGTTACAATATCTATGTGTTCTACACGAATATATGGTTACATAAGATCAGACTATGTGTGGCTATGGACTAAAAAACTTAAATTGTGATTGCAGACTAAACAAAGTATTACAAAGGCATGGCTACCGTACAAATTCAGCTAATAATAACGTAGGTTTAGGACCTCTAACAAGTCATGTCGCTTTTCAGCGTGTATACTAATGAAGATCAACGACAAGACTTTTTTGCCTCTCTAATGAGAAGGTTAAAGCTTTAATAAAAATTTAGCTAGTGGTACGTGAATAGGTTTAGTGAATAAGTAAGTAATGGGGTTATTTTTTTAGAAATTAAGATCAAATTTGTGAATAATGTGGGTAATATTGTAGTTGATTGGTTAATTGACGTGTTTCAGTATGGGGGGAGAGGGGGTGGATAAATGGAAGACAAAGGCCAGATTTTTTTTCAAAAGCTCAGCCTAGGCCTATGACCAAACTTTAAAAATTTTTTTTTATCCCCCCCCCCCCCCTCTCTAATCCTAAGGATAAACCTTTGCTTTTAAGGTAAAACGTAAGCCTAAAATATCACCAAAGCCTAAATTGGCTAGTGTACAGTGAGAACATAATGATAAGGCCTAAATATTACCTAAATAACACCGAGATTAAACAGTAAAGTAAAGGCGACATTGAAGTTTTAAAAATCAAAAACTAAAATTTTTAAAAATTAAAGTGCACTACATATAAGCCTAAACTTAAACAAAAACCCTAAAAATCATAAAATAATAACCTAAGACTAATAAAAATATTAGCCTAAGCCTAATAAAAATCTTAGCCTAAACCTAAAAAAAATATTAACCTAAGCCTACACTAAACTAAAAAAGTGAACTCTAAGCCTAAGAAAATCAATTTCTTTTGGTTTCACAATTGTCAGACTAATTGAAAATGCGTTATATTGAGATTGACATGTAGTGATAAGAGGAAAGTTTCCAATTATATTGTGAAAATGGACGTGGTTTAGCGATCAACGTGCATTTCTAGAATTATAAATGTTTGTATGGTTAGATTTAGAGGCTAGAACAATATAGTGAGAGATAAATTTTGAGGAGCTATGGTATATACAGTATTTTTACAGTAAAATGTTTCAGGAGAGCTTAGGGTAGGGTTGGATGGATAAGGTAAGATTGGTTAGGGTAGGGTAGGGTAAGATAGAGTATGGTACGGTAGAGAATGCTTTACAAAGATGAATACGAAGAGTCACTGTCTTCCGAACTCGTAGCTGTGTATCTATTTTTAGCCAAATTTATGTGTTTCATAGCCAGATGAACTTCCAACAAGATCAAGTCTTCTTGATCTTCACCACAAATTCGACATTTCGATGGGTTTTCCGGGTCCACCCCGATTTGTAACATATAAGCGCGTAATTGGTTGCGTTTTTCACTGAAATTAAAAAATTTCCAAGTGATAAAAGTTGAGAATTCCAAAATTATAACAACATTTTTACTCCACCCAACCTTACTCTATCTTACCATACCTTACCCTACCCTAAACCTGCCCTAAGGTAACTTTCATTTGCCTAAAGCCAAGCCTCTTGCCCTACACTGCCATTACTCATCCTTACCTTTCTCTAAAGTTCTGATCCAATATGATCTCTTCTTCCATGCACGGCTCCAACTTGACCTTCTTGGCCATTAAACTTGCGTCCAAATCGTCCATAGCCTTAACCTTGACCAGTTCTTGCTTAACCCTACTGGTGTCACATTCCGACATGGTATTTCGAGACCGTTTCCATAGTAAATCCGGATTCGATATCACTTTCTTCACTATCTTTAGTTCAGTTTTATCGACACCTTCAAGCTTAGGCCCAAGGAACTTCTGAAGGTCGTCGAAAGAGCGAAGACAATGTTGGAAAATAGCATGTTGCCTCAGGGATTTGCGTGTACTTACTATGAATCCACACAATGGGCATTGGTTGCCTATTGACAGTTCTGAAAATTTTTACGGTAAAGTTGATTTAATTTAAAATTTTGCAATTTAAAGCTAAAATGCGGCATTTTTAAGAAAAGTTGTTGACATTTTTTGTTTCGTAAAGAAAGTTTTTGCAACTTTATGCTTTGTAAAGAAAGTTCTTGCCACTTTTTGTTTTGTAAAGAAAGTTCTTGCCATTTTTTGTTTTGTAAAGAAAGTTCTTGCCATTTTTTGTTTTGTAAAGAAAGTTCTTGCACCCTTTATTAAAATTTTTTTCGTACTTTAAATCCCCCTACCCTCACCACCATTTAACAATAAAAATCAGCCCCTTCGTCAAATTAAACATAAAACGCCCGCCACCCCCTATTCAAAATCCACCCTCCCTTTTTTAAATTAATATTTAAAGCCCTCTGCCTTACCGCCCATGAGAACATGCATTTGGTCCACCTTCTCCATGGTTTTTTGTACGATCGAAGGGAAATGAGTGATGAAATGTTGATCCCGCACATTTCGATTATTAAACAAGCGTTTGCAAACGCAGCAACTCTGAAAGTTGGCCGGCCGAACGAAGTTGTGGGCCTTCGCGTGATGGGTTTTCATCTGTTCCACCGCTGAAATATGGGTAATATATATCTTTAGTTACATTATTTTATACTCAAAATATTATAGTATGATTTTTTTAAAAAATAATTTAGTTTTATCAAAAAAAAATTTTTTAAGACAAAACACGGAGCTAGCGCATAAATTATGATTAAGGCTAGAGCTATAGCTAAACCTAGCACTAAGGCTAATGCCAAGGCTAAAGCTAGGTCTAGGACTAGGGCTAGAGCCAGGGCTAGGGCTAAGGCTAAGGCCAGAGCTAAAGCTAGGGCTAGGGCCAGGGCTAGGGCTAAGGCTAAAGCCAGAGCTAGGGCTAAAACTAGGGTTACAGCTAGAACTAGGCCTAGGGCTAAGACAACAAAAAATCCTAAAAAATTTACCCATTACATGGAAAACACACGTATTTCACATTTACTTTTTAAAAATCCATAAAAATTTATCTAAAAGATCAATATCAATAAAAATATATTCACCTACTCCTAAAAACAGTACCCGAACAATTCCCAAAATACTGCAAAGTTACCACGGTCCGATTATACTATGTTATTGTTTTTTATCGCAAGCAAAACGGTCCGATTACGTGGAATTTTCGCAGTTTTTCGAAAAAAAATAAAAGGAGAAACAGCTCAAGATTCCGACAATTCTGCTATTTATACGCGGCTGTAGCGCCAGCGGATTCTGAAGCTACGCGACGCAAAAATGCTTAAGAAGTAGGAAAAAACCGCTGGCGATGCGGTTGCGACCAGTTTTTTACGACAACTTCTGGGTAGGAGCGGGGAATATTAAGTTAAAAATAGGGTGGAAAAATGATTGAAGGGGAGGTTAGTAGACCTGTAAAAAGGATGGGTTGGGTCCAATATTTTAAGTTCGGCCTGTAGGCTTGCCTTTGGATTAGAAAAGTAATTTTCGGACCTGGCCGGCCAGTAGCCGAACCGATTCCGGACCTAATGGGCGCCCTTTCATGGCTAGATGCGAAAGTTCGGTTTTTTAAAAATTATAATAATTTTAAGTCTAAAGGTGAATTAAGGCCCAAAGCTTGCAATTTTTTAATTAAAAAATAAATCTTAAGCCTAAAAACCGTTTCAAACTTAAAAAAGCATTTTAAGCCTACTGTCATTTTAAATGTAAAAGTGAATTTTATGCCGTTTCAGATGTATCTTAGGTCTATAACTACCTTCTTAATATAATAAGACATTCTAAGCCAAAAATTTTGTTTAAGCCAACTCCTTAAGCCTAAAACATAACCCTAAACCTATACTTTCAGCCTAAAAATTTATAGCCAATAAAATAAGGTATGAAACTTACTATCAAAAGTCTTGTAGCAATTTATGCACTCAATCATTGCTCCTTTGCCCACTTTTGTGCTATAATGCACATTCTCGTGTTCTTCATGACTATCGTAACTACCACGACAGGTTACGCAAAATACTTGCCCTGGTTGCTCCGGATCCGAGACTCTCGACTTTATTTTGAGATCCAATAGTTCCGAGTGCTAAAAAGTTTTATTAGTACGTTTTCTTATAGGGTAGGGTAGGTTAGGTTAGGTTAGGTTAGGTTAGGTTAGGTTAGGTTAGGTTAGGGTAGGGTAGGGTAGGGTAGGGTAAAGTAAGGTAAGGTAAAGCACAGTAGGGTAATGGTTAGTAGAATATGGTAAGGTATAATGACAACGTACCTTATTATTTACATGGCTGAAAAAGTCTAGGTGATCGCGAAATCCCAGCTCGCAGGAATAACATTGCCAGTTTGGAAAGTCTTCTGAAATTTACAAATTTTAATTTTTTTAAATTGCTTTAGAAGACCAAAAAACGTTTTTAGGTAACAAAAACCACATTTTAGAAAATTTTCGCTTTTAGATAAAAAAATATTGAAAAATTAAAATTTTTTTCCTAAATTGTAAATACTAAATTCAAAAAGCCTACTTTGTTCAAACGGGTTTATCGTCGTTGTACGTTCAATTAGCTGATCCTCGGCGACAGTCGGTTTCGCCTTGATGACTACATTCTTCGGAGTTGCGTATTTTATACGCTGTGTCCTCTGTCTCAATACTCTCATGAGGATGACTGATTTGGGGCGTAATTTTTACTGAAAAGATATTTTTAATATTAATATGTAGGTGTTGCAACATGTTGTAGAACAATAAATAGTTCCCGAAGTTTACAATAGAAACAGCAATGACATATATACCTTAGCCTACCCTAATTTAACCTACCCTACCCTACCCCACTATATTCTACCACATTCTGTCTTACCCTACCCCGCCATATTCTGCCTTGCTCTACCCTTGTCATGCAATAACTCCGCGCTATTCTTACCACCACTAAAAATAATTCATGTTAGTATAAGACAGCCAAGTATAACATTACAATAAAAACCCTTTGACCAACAAATCTCGACGAGTTTTCGCAGAAAGTCCTTATCGACCTTTTGGCTAGCGTAAACAATAATATAGAGATGATAATCGATGGTTTTTGTGATAAAAACACATTGCCTTTGTATTACAAAAAACTCTCTTCCTTTCAGGTTTCGAGGGGTTTTGACCATCTGTTTACTTATCAGCCAAGGTCAAATCAGTCCCAAACAGCTGGATATCATTAACCGGGATTATAGTGTATCGTCTGGTCGGCTTAATTTCGTAAACCTTTGATTTGACATGTTTTATATTAACCACAAGATATTAATAACAAGAGTGAACGAACTTTCTTTACAGAAAAAAATAGCAAGAACTTTCTTTACAAAGTAAAAAATAGCAAAAACTTTATTTACAAAACGAAAAAATAGAAAAAACTTTCTTTACAAAAAGAAATGGAAACAACTTTCATTACAAAGGGTGAAATAGCAAGTGTAAGATTGACAAATGTTATATAACCTCAAGAACTACGTTATCAGCTTAATACCACAAATCTTTATCAAAATCTCAACGTACTTTCACCAAATCCAACATTTAACCCTCCCTAACCCGCAACATTAATATTTTCCCTAATCTGCAACAACAATTTTGTTGTTAACAAGCCACACAGCTGGGAAACAACAGCTCAGTATGCAAATCCAAAAACATTCGCAAAAAATTGTGTATCCGAAAAGAGCGGGCAACCGACGAGACCCAGCTGCGAGGGACGAGGGAAAGCTTTTTTGGCTCGGCGCCCGACTTTTTATGTCTTTTTTGTTTTGTCGTCGGACTGGCCTCTTCGTGTCCCACGATCTATGAGAGAACAAGGTGGTTCTATATTATTCACACTGTCTTTCGGCTTCTCTGTGCTGTCTTTTATTTCCTCTGTATTGTGTTTTACCTTCTCTACACGTTCTTTCATCTTTCTACAAGTTATCATCTCTCTAAACTAACTTTAATCTTCTTTACATTATCTTTTCCTTCCTTATATCATTTTTTTTGTCTCTACACTATCTTTCCCCTTCTCTGTACTATATTTTTCCTTCTCTACACTGTCGTTCCTCTTCTCTACTCCTTCTCCACAATTCATTTCACCGTTCTACAGCCTTTGACCTTCTCTCGCTTCTTTTTATTTAATGTTATGCATCGTAATATCCAATTGAACTTCATTTTTCCTTTTTCTCTAACTTGTCTCGTAAAACTTGATGATATTTCTAATTTATATTGGAAAAAGGGACAGACAGTCTATTCGGACCCACGATCTCTCGCCTCTGAACAATTCGAACCCACGATCTCTCGCTTCTGATCAACAACAAGAAAGATGGATGAGTTTCTCGAGGAACAGGTGAAGGAGGTCGCGTGATATCACTCATCCTTTCGCTTTTCACGATAAACAAAAACCGAAACACAAGAAAGCCTCGGGGCGGTAATCGTGAAAAGTTGCCGAATTTCATTGAAAAACTGCGAAATAGCAAGAAAGTTTTAATTTAAGAAAAAATTTTTTAAAAATTAAACTTAAAGAAATCAAGCCCATCTTAACGTTTACCACCCCCAAACCCGCAAACACCACTTTACCCGTCCAGTAACCCATCCTTCCACTGTTCCCGCTGTTTATCAATTTCGAACACAAAAGACGAAAAAAATGTTCGTAAAGACGGGAAAAAGTGAAAATCGACCCGTCTGGCGGTCGTTTATTGTTCCTTTTGTTTACAAAAATTGATCGTTTGATCTCTCTGGGAAAATCTTTGGCCACCGTAGATAATATAAGTTAATTGGCTATTGTTTATGTTTTAGAAACTCTTTTTGGCAGTTTATTCTAGAAAATTTAATATTTTTGAAATATTGTGCATGGAACATTTGGATAAAAGTTCAAAAAAATATTACCAAATTAATCAAATTTAAAAAATAAAAAAGAACAATACTGCAAAAAGACCTTAATAAAACCTAAAAAATTCTCACGATGAAAACAAAGACATAGTAAGAAAAGTTTGTTGAAAAAGCAGTCAAAACATTAAATCAGCGTGACGCAATTCTCCTCCTCAAGGTTGTTTGGAGCACCTCGAACACAGTGAGTGTGAAGAACAGCATTTCCACTACTTTGTGACAGTAGTGTTTGTGAAAAAGTAGCAAAGGCAGCTCCGTTTGTATAAAAAAAGTGACAAATAACATTGAAATCGGTTGAAACTTGAGTTAAAAAAAGGATCATGGCTGTGAACGGGACGTTTTCAGTTAGTAATATGTAAAACATAAATATTAAACTTTCATTACTTTATTTCATATTTTATCACTGTAGTTCATAAAATTGAACGAGGATCAACAAACAAGTTTAGTTTATAATCTGAGTACATTCAGCCGACTGCACCCCACTTTCAGCGTATAACATGTCACATGCAGGCCGCGGACCCCGGACGGCGCTCGCGAAAATAATTATTTTCGGAGACGGACGATAAAGAGTTCGAGGGCTCCTCGGGGGTCTTTCAGCACCTCAATACACAATATTCTGTTTAATTCCACCTCTTCTTGACCCGTTTATTTTGTTTGACCAACGGTTAACGTTTGGAATATGAAATTTCAATGTGTTGGGACCAAGAAACAGATGGATGTTGGGGTAAATCGGTACATGATAAAGTATGAGATCGCTAAAGGGTATGTTTTGTATTTTTGTTGTTTTTTGTTAATTTAGGTACATACAGATGATATTAGAATATTTACTAAGGTTTTTAAGTAAAGAAAATCTTTTCAAAATTTTTGTTTAATATTTAATACCTAAAACAATTTTAGAGGCTTTTCAACAATTTATTTGGCCAAAAACAGGTTGAATAATGAAAAATATGCTATGAAGAAGATCTACGCACATTCTCAATTAGAAGTTTCAAGGATACGACGTGAAATCTACGCTCACTATGCTTTTGGAGAACATGATCATCTAATGAAGATTCATGGTGTTTATAGAGAGAAGTATGGTGAAGGATCATGTTTATTTTGGTTGGTAATGGATTATTGTGCTGTAAGTTAATTTTACTTTACTCTTTCGTATTTTAGGAGAATTTGTCACTTTTATCTTACTCAATTTAGCTCAATGAATCAACAAAGTCGTATTTTTGACGGATAATATGTCGTGTTGATTGTAATAGTGTTTTTGATTTTAGTTAGGATCCTTACAAAACGTTGTTGACCGACAGAGTAAAATGAATGAAATGCTGCCAGAAAAATTGATTGTCCAATATACGTCACAGCTTTTATCAGCCTTACAGTACATGCATACCAGTCAGCCCTCAATTGCTCATCGGTAATTTGAGATTTCCAATAATTTCTTCAGACGTGAAACCAACAAAAACGTGTTTTAATGACTATGATCTGAATGTTTTAGTGATGTAAAGCCAGCTAACTGCCTCAGACGTCAAGAAAACCATATAGTTTTGACTGACTTTGGGTCTGCCGTTATGGTACCTGTTGAGGTCGATAGCCCTAAAAGGAGTCAAGAACTGAAAGATGAAGCCGCAGAACTATGTACAATGCCTTATCGAGCTCCAGAATTGTTTAACTGCGATGTTGGCACTGTTTACGATCATAAAGTTGATGTTTGGGTAAGTTTTTAGGCGACAGTTTGGAAATAGAGTCTGTTTTATAGTATTGTTGGCTGTAAAGGATTTTTAACGTAAAACACGATTTGTGCCGTACAGCTTATTTTTGATAGACTTGCTACCTGATGTTTTTTACTTTCAGTCGGCTGGGTGCGTATTATATGCCCTATGTTTCCACTGTAGCCCATTTGATGCAGTAGCAGCTCGTGGAGATTCCATAGCGTTGGCTACGTTATCATACAAGTTCAAAGAAGCACCTGTTAAACATGGGTAAGGCAAACTAATTCTTGTATTTATCAGCTGTCCGAAACATAAATTTCGCTAACTTATACAACCCAAAATACAAATTTGCGACAATTATAATTCGAATACCTAATAACATCGATTTTTTCCGATTTTTATTCCATAATCATTTTTCGCTTTCTTAAAAAATTTTATACTATTCCTAACTTTTTTTTTAATTTTTAGGTACTCAGACGCCTTAATATCAATTCTCAAAGACATGTTGACTGTGTCGACGGAAGAACGACCAAATTGCGACCATCTTGTGACACGATTGGATGCCCTGAGGCACTAGTAGACTTACACATCTATAAAAACTTTATAGTATATTCATATCTTGTTTTAATGTACAGTATTTTGTATCATATAATATTATTTATTAAATCTTTCATACTGACACTCGTAGTATCTTGATTTTTCACAACCGAAATTACATATGCATGTAACAATAAATACCAAAAAATTTGAAAGGAAAATTCAGAATTTTCAAAAAAATCAAGAAAAATATACGAAGTTATTACCTAAAAACCAAATCTTCAATGATCAAAAATAAAGACATCAAGCATTATACCAAAACACGATTCATCTTCCGAATTCCTTCTCAAACCCGAGACAAAACTTGTAAAATCTTTTCAAAATCTCAAAACCCGAAAAATTTTTTTACAAAAATCCATATTTATCAGCTCCAACCTGCCGACAGTATGGTGCAAGCTGCTGACCAGAAGGCGCCAAAAGACAAGTTCTGAATTTCTACCACACCGTCCAACATAAAGTTCTCCAAATCCTTTTCAAGATCGAGCCAAAAATCAACAAAATACAATCCAAGGCTCAAAGAACAAAAATATTTTCAAAAAAATTCCAAGTTCTTATCCCCAACCTGCCAACCAACGTCGCAGGCCGCAGAGATTAAAAACCCGCCAAAACGACCCCTTTGATTTGCCGTTGCACAACCCGAAATAAATGGCTCAAAATCCTTTTCCAAATCGAGCCAAAAATCGACAAAATCCGATCCAGGGCTCAAAAACAAAAATATTTTCACAAAACTTCGAAGTTCTTAGCCCCAACCTGCCAACCAACGTCGCAGGCCGCAGAGATCAAAAACCCGCCAAAAGGCCCCTTCGATTTTCTATTGCACCGTGCAAAGGCCTTTTTCAATCGCCGAAATTTCTTTTTCGAAGGCTGGGCGATTTTGGACAAATTTGGAGATCTCAAAACCCTCAAAAATTTTCTCTAACCTTCTATGGTCGCTCTCTTTCAGACTATGCTCTCTCGTTTGTCGCTGATCTTCCTCCCTTGTTTTTCACAGTGACGCAATCTGTTTTCGCGATCCATCTCTTTCTTTTGGCCGTCTCCTCATATTCCACTCTCTCTCCTTTCCCGATGAATCGCACAGTTCGGGCCAAATTTGTCGCAAAATCCCTTTTTCAGATCCGCTCGATTTTGCAATTTTTGAGGAAAATCGAAAGAGCCAAAATCGGAACAAAAAACCACTGCACGGTGCAATCACTTTTGAACGGGAAAGAGAAAGTGGGCGATATGAAGAGACGGGGAGAGAGAAATAACAGGGTCGCGAAAAGAGACTGTGCGACACTGAAAAACAAAAGAGGTAGAATTGCGACAAACGAGAGAGCACAGCCTGAAAGAGACCGGGCAGAGAAGGTTAGAGAAAAACAAGAATGGCCCGATTTTTGAGATTTTTGAGATCTCCAAATTTGTCGAAAATCCGTCGATCGACGAAAAGGCGAATTTTGCAAGAAAGGGATTTTGTTTGCACGGTGCAACGGGAAATCAAAAGGGGGTTTTTGGCGGTTCTTCTTGGTGTGCGGCCTGCGGAAAGCCTTGGCAGGTTGGGGTTATGATCTTGGAATTTTTGTAAAAATATTTTTCTTTGTTTTTGAGTCTTCGATCGGATTTTGTCAATTTTTGGCTCGCTCTGGAAATGGATTTTGAGCCATTTATTTCGATCTTGTGGTAAAAATTTGAAAGGTGCCTTTTGGCTTCTTTGATCTGCGTTTTGCAGAATATTGTTGGCAGACTGGAGCTGATAATTTGAGGATTTTTGTGAAACAATTTTTCGGGGTTTGAGATTTCGAAGAGGTTTTGCAAGTTTTGTCTTTGTTTTGAGAAGGAATTCGGAAGATGTAACGCGTTTGTGATGTAAAAGTTGATAATGTGCCTTTATTTTTTATCTTTGAGATTTGATTTTTAGGTAATAATTTTGAAGCTTGATAATGATGCTTTATTTTTGCTCTTTGAAGGTTTCATTTTTAGGAAATATCTTGGTTATTCTTCTAAATTTTTACGAAATTTACGGGCTTTTGGGCTATTATTATTTAGTTTTGGAGTGTTCGGTGTTTTAGGTTATAAAATTAATCGGAAAATACATTTGATAATGTTTTTTATTGGTCTTGTTGCTTTTTTGACATAATCATTACGTGTAAGGTCGTTATGTATAAAGAGATGAAGAAAGAACCGTCTTACTTAGAGGCAGATGGCTTTATACTGAGTTTCATGGAAAATGACCTTATATTGATATTCATGGTTTTTTGGCCAATTATAACATCGTTTCAACTCCCCCTCAAAACTCGCACTGCCAATTGTAAATCGACAACATGCCTGAAGCATGGCTACTGTAGCAACTCTTTTTATTCCAAAATACACACCTCAAGTGAGGACCAAGCCCAATGAACTCTGTGTCCCTAAGCCGCTTCTATTTGACTTTTTCCCGTGACAAGGCCAAAAATCGCTCCATAAAAACGGTTCAAAATGCGTGCATTTCAAAGCGTTCGGTTTGTTTGTCATGTTCACAATCTCATACGCGGTTCTAGGTCATTTTGTTTATCACTTACCCTCCGCAACGATGCCTTTCGTCAAGTGTAATATCGAAAAAGCAAAATTTTAACGGCATTGCAGAAGGATAATATATTTTTGAAAGAAAACTATTTTAAACTTTTGGAGACGTGTTTTGTTTTGTCATTTTGGATTATTCATTTGGTTTTTTTTTGTATTTGCAGACAGTTTTATGTCGTCTCAATCATAATATTAAAGTTTTGAAAAGTCTTGTAGCCAGTTTACTTTAATTTTTAAAAACTAAGCACTTTATCTACTTCAATATCGAAGAACTTCTAGGTTATACTTCAACAAACCCCTATTAAAAGCCATACCGTGTGGCCAGTGTAATATCGGGATGCGCGTCGGGCGCTTTTTTCGAATTAGACACCCAGGGCCAAACGGAACGGCCCGGGTCATAGGCCGCACTCACCAATCTTCGGCCAAAGTGTCCATTACTGTTTTTGTGCAAATTCCGGCGCTTTTTTTACAAAAATTCACGTTCTTTTCATTTCAACGTTCTCTACAAAAGTTCCGACCCAAAATAATGCATCTCAATGAGAATTTGGGCCATACATAGCATCAATTTGCTTCTCGAAGCAGCGGTTTTTTGAAAGTTTTCTATTTTGGCTCGAAAATTCTTTTTTCTCTGCAAATTTTTTAATTTTTTTCTGTAATGTGTGGATTAGCACTTTTGGACCGAATTAATAATTACCTTTGGCTTATGTTTCACTATGTTTAAATTATTTTTCCGCGTATTGATCAAGAGCCGTCGATTTTCAAGCAAAACACATATTGCTTGCTGTAGATGAATATAATGAGGTAGATGAATATATTGACGTAGGTTGATGTATTGCCGAGGATTATTATGTTCAAAGTGATTAAACTACGAAGTGAGGCTTTGAATTGTCTTTCGTCCTTATATTTTCTGCATTCAGTCTGACGCGTACTGTCTTGGCCCGTTTTGACGAGTTCTTCGGCCAGTTTCGATAGTTTTTCGGCTTCACAGCTTACGTTTGTAATGTTATTGTGCATCTGCAAATTTTTTACAGAATGTAGAAAAACTAGAGGACATTTTCTTAAATTTGGTATATGATTTTGATCTATTCGTCCTGACTGCGACGCTAATTTAGACTTTATTTGGTTTAAACGATATTATCCATGACAGCTTTTTCCTCTTTGATGTTTTTTCTCGCAATTTTGTTGTAATAGTTTTGCTAAAGACGAATTAAGTTACTAAAAATGGGTTGTTTTCGCTACAAAAAGCTATTATACATGATATTTTGGCTAAAAGAAGTACGTAGAGTTACGAAACTTCCGTTGGGCACTAATCTTCGAGAAAGAATGCGAGCTTTTGACTAATGTTTTTGCGTCCACAAGCAGGCTAATGCAATTTCAGATTATTTAAAAAGGTTTGCCATTTGTTTTTGGAACGTATATTTGGCAAAACTTGGAGTTTAACCTTATAATTGGCTGTAAAAGTTGAGTAAAATATTGTTTTAGTTTAAACGTCGTTGTTATGTTTTGAATGGGAAAAGCCTTCAGGACCTTGCAGTGTTAGTTGGTTGATATAAAAAAGGCCGTGGTACTAGCTCATCCAACATTTTTACTTACTTAACTGCGAAAATGAGCTGAAAATTGCTATTGGCATGTGTAATATAATTGATGTTTGTGGTTTAGAAGATTTCAAAGTCCGAATATTGAAGGGTTTCTATTTTAGGAGACAAAATTGTTACAAAAACACTTGTTGTACTTCGAGCTAGCTAGAAGTATTTTGAAAACATGAGTAATTACCAAAAGGTGTAAATACCAAACAAAATATTCGAGAAGGGCGAATTGATGCCAGAGTCGGAAAACAATGTAAGTGTCTAACATAATATCTGAATACCTTAGAAAAATACTTGTGGGCACATTTTTGTATGTTCTACTTGATTATTTATTTTGGTTTCGATTCAACTACCTAAAATAATGTCTGGTGAAGGGAAAACTGATGCCAAAAATAACATGTTATGTTTATCTTTTCAAGGGGCTTAAATATTAACTTACCAGATGCAGAAGATACTTTTATATTATTTTTTCACCGTTTTGATTTTAATATGGGTTGTAATTTATCCTTTTCCTGAAGAAACATTGCGTTAAAGATCAGCGGCTGGTCATTATTCTCGTGGCCATTCCGATCGGGAGCTGAAAAAGAAAGGTCTGTCAAGGTCATTGCTCTCGTTATCATCTTGGGTTTTCCCCGATCATCTTGAGTTTTTTCCACATTATCTTGTGAGAAATATGTGAAGGGAATGGGTTTTTGATTTGAAATGCCAAATTTCTCAAGTTTGTGAAATTTTAGGTATTTTTTACAAAATACATTGCTTTATAGTAATTTTTTTGCAAAACAATATCGTATATAAAAATACCTTGTTCATAGATAGTTTTAAATTGATGGTTTTACCTGTTTTGCCTTTTTTATCTATAACGTCTACCAAATCGTGAGAAAGTTTTGTCGTCAATTTGCATTCATTTGCACAGTTGACAACGACAGGGCTTTAAAACACGCTAATTTATGAATGATATTATTACAACAGATGTGCACTTGGTATTTTAATACCTTTATAGAAAGGTAATTAATTAGCCGTAGTCAGTGTAATTGGTTCATATTTTGATAACAAAAATGCATGTGATGTAAGCTTTGGAAGCGGCGTAAAAGCACATGGTATTGTGGGTTTTTAGGTAATAACATGGGAGTTTGATTAATTGTAATACTTTATTGATATGACTTTTATTTTATATTACTTTGACACTTAAAATAGCCGGTATAAGTTTTGAAAGAGGCATTAAAAGATGGCGGGTTCAAATGTCGAAAGTACGCGAAGGAGAGACTTGACTCACCGAAGTTATCAGTGACAAATAAAAAATCGTTTTCTATTGGCCAAGCCGAAATCCTTTTGCGCGTAAATTGGGCGGCGCTTTTGATGCACGGGTATTTTCCGGGTTTTGAGGTGGGAATGTTGATTAATGTTATTGTGGCTGTATTGTGTTTGCTTCATTTCAACATTTCGTAGACGAGATGGTGTAATAAACTATGAATTTCAACAGTTGTTAGACGGTTCTGTGTAATATACCTTGTTTTTCTTAGATTTTTTTGGAAGTTTTACTTATTTCTGATAGAAAAAGCATCAATGTCAAGTTTTTTATTGATTATGGTCAATTACAAGTGTAAAAAAGTTAGTGAAAACCCGTGTTTCTTCGTGTTGCATGTTAATATTGTGCTAAATTTAAGATGCCGACTTATTATTGTGTTTTTGTTGTATATTTTTATTGGAATCTATATTATCTTTTAATATTAATTAATATTCAGCGATCATGGTCGTACTAACCGAGGAACAATTGGCATTGGCCGAGAAAGGGCTATGGCGTCGAGAGATGGAGAAGGATGCTTGTGGTGTTGGTTTCGTCGCTAATATAAAAGGGAAACCGTCACATAAGGTAAATTTAAACTTTTTTTATTGGTTTAAGAATTTTAGGAAGCTGCAAAAGGTCAAGAAATGATTAGACATTATCTTGGTGGGATATGTTTAATTTTATGGCTGAAACAAGTTATTTGTTTTCTAAAATAGGTGAAATTGTCTTGATGACTGAATTTTTTAAACCTTAGAGCCAAGAGAAAGGTTTAGGTAACGGATGAAGGTAATTTGAAGGCTTAAAGATTTGTTTTGCAAAGATTATTGAGCTATTTGAGGATGAAAATCGTTTTTCGAAGTAAATAAAAGTTGTAAAAGCTTTTTTTGCTGTAAATTAGATTGAATCATATTGTTTTTGATTCAAATACCAGGGTAAATATTATCAGCAAAAAATACAAAGTACGCGGGACAATCAGCAGCTACGTTATCAGTTTAAACGTATGCAAACAAGGAAAGGGCAGTTTAATAAGTAAACAACACTTTTGATTGATAACAATTACAGAAATGTTTTTTTATTATCTCTTGAGCTTTTATCAATCATTTTTGGAATTTGGTGTTTGAAAATGTACCCAAAGTGAACAAATGTAACTTTGGGTTTATTTTCGACTGATGACTTTAAAAGGCTAAACAAAAAACAAAATATTGGACATAAAGTTAAAATCATGAGTAATATAACGTAAAAATGAGAAGGCAATGAATAACATAAAGTAGGTTATGTAAAGTAAAAAAGATGAATTTGACGGCATTCAATAATAATTTTTCAGATTCTTCAAGAAGGAAACGTCATGCTGATCAGAATGGCTCATCGTGGCGCATGCGCGTGCGACAACAATTCTGGAGATGGTGCCGGCGTGATGGCTGCCGTTCCAGACTCTTTCTATCGCAAATTCCTAAAAGAACAACAGGACAAGGAGCTTCCAGCGTTCGGCGCATACGCTACAGGCATAATATTCATGGAGAAGGACTCGTACAAGCAAGCCAAGACCTCATTTGCTGATTTGGCTAGCTTTTGCGGCCTCAATGTTATCGCATGGCGCAAGCTAAAGCTGAATTCGGATATTTTGGGAGACGAAGCCAGGAAAACAGAGCCTTGTATTCGCCAAGTGTTTGTGACCTGCGAGAATGCTGAACAGGATCGGGAAAAGTTTGATCGGATCGTGTACATGTTGAGGAAGGTGGCGGTGAATCACTTCAGAAAGGAGGGAATCAAGTGCTATTTGTGCTCATTGTCACCAACTACTATTGTTTATAAGGTATTTTATGATGAATATTTGAAAAAAAATAAAGATGGATCAACAATTTTAAATTTTTATGGCAATGCAATTTTAAATTTTAATAAAAATGAAATTCGATTGACCTAATTCAAATTTAATTTCAGGGCCAATTTAACCCATGTCAGCTGTACAAGTACTACGATGATTTGACCAATCCAGATTTTGTAACACATATTGCATTGGTGCACAGTCGGTTTTCTACCAACACATTTCCATCGTGGGCCAGAGCGCAACCTAATCGGTGGGGGTTTTTTGAATTTTTTTCTAATGTTGATTTTGCAAAAAGTTTTGAATTTTAAATGGCAAAAGCGACAAGATTTTTGTTAACACTGGTAGTAATTATTTTAATTTTAAAATAAAAAAATCTATGGTTTTTAAAACTTTAGTATGTTGGCCCACAATGGAGAGATCAACACCCTCCGGGGCAACGTCAACTTTATGCGAGCTCGTGAAGGTACCATGCACAGTAACAAATACGGTGAAGACCTGACCAAACTCTTCCCGGTGGTCGAACAAGGAATGACTGATTCGGGAAGTTTGGACAATGTTATGGAATTCTTGGTTCGGGCCGGCAATCGTACATTGCCCGAAGCTGCTATGATGATGGTACCAGAAGCGTGGGAAAAAGATGAGGTAAATTTTGGTGTGAAATGAGTTTGTTTGAGGATTAATATAATATTATTACATATTTGTATAGTTTTTTACGGGGAAAAACGGCAAGGCTTTTTGCGTTTTAAAAAACCTTGCTTGTCTTCTAAGTTCTAGTGACAATGATGTTTCTCAAACGTGCTCTAATATTTCTAATTTAAGGAAATGTTACCCGAAAAGCGCTCCTTTTACCGCTGGGCTTCGATGCTGATGGAACCGTGGGATGGTCCAGCCCTCCTGGCGTTTTGCGATGGTCGGTATGTTGGTGCCATCTTGGACAGAAACGGCTTACGTCCAGCAAGGTATTACTTAACTGATGACGAACATCTGTACCTGTCTTCGGAAGTTGGCGTGAACGATATTCCGGTCGAGTCGGTTGTGAGAAAGGTTGGTTTTTTGGCAATTTTGGCTTGGTAGAAAAAATTTTTGCTTAAGTAATTTAGGTTTACGCATAAAAATCTTAGGTTTAGAGGTTTATAAAGATTTTTTAAAACGAGCTTTTAGTTAAGTATGAGGTTAATAATAAATAGAAACAGCTATTTGATACACCAACTATTCAATTATAACAAAATAATAAAAAAAAATAATACAAAAGAATGTGTAAGGTCACAAAGAATTGCCTAAACTGTCGAAAGAGACCGAGCCAAACTGTGTCAAATGTTTTAAAAATCAAGCAAAACACAATGTAAAGTAATTTATTTATTGCTTCGGTACGGTATCGTTTACCTGAAGAGAGAAATTATGGGGTCCAGTGGATGAAAACGGAGGAGATTTGCGGACAAGAATACAGAGATTGGTGGCTTGTAAAGTGGTATTTCGAAAAAAGTGTGGATAACTGATGGTTGTTGTTGTTACGGTCTTGAGACGAGATTCGCACAACGAGCGTCACGGTGGAGTTTACAACTGAATATGGGATGATGGGTTACACTAAAACTACATGGGTTCATTTTTTTGAGAAAACGTTGGGTTTTTTGAACAACGGCTTTGTGATCGTATTCGAAACGGTGCTTTCTGTCGAAGATAGTACAAGAATAACATTTACAGCAAAAATAACATTGTAACGACAACATACCGTATGACGATCTAATACTCGTCAAAATCAGGGGTCCTCTTGCCGAAGCGCATTGTTCCCAACGGTCCATCGGCACGTTTTCCGAACCTCATCGTTCCGAGCGGGTTCCTCTTTCCGAATCGCATAGTACCGAGTGGATTCCGTTTTCCGAATCTCATCGTACCCAGGGGTCCATCGGCGCGTTTCCCGAAACGCATCGTACCCAACGGCGATCGAATGTCGCGGGATTCGGCTTCGTTCTCCATGGAACCGGCACGTTTCTCTAGGTACTGAATCAGGTAGCCGATCTCGTTGTCGGGACTGATCACAGGTCGAGTGCTAATCCAGTTGGCGGCGCGTAGCATCGACGGGTCGGGGCGGGCTCGTTTTTCGGCGGTTTGTTCGTCAAAGCTTTGATCTGTAATATAGTAAACGTAAAGCTTTATAAGGAAAATGACAATCTTTAAGTGTTGGAAGTTTTAGAGTCTATACATTTTTAAAAAGATAAGTTTTCATTAGTTAGTTATTTTTAATAAAAGCTCTGTTAGAAGATAAGATAAGGGCTCTTTAGTATAGAGCTTTCCTACAGTAGCACTCACCTGCTACTGTATACCCGAGAAAACACAGTGCAACGAATGTTACTGTCCAGCCGCTCATGATTTTGGAAGTGTCACGAAAATGCCGGGGGCGCCGTGTCAGCACCTCTCCGAAAAATTATATGCCACAAAAAAACTATTGTCCAACATATTAAGGGGTGGATAAGGCAGAAGGCGGGGAGGGTGGTTACAAAACTCCTTCCTTTCCCCTCCGCCGCTTGATGTTGACTTCAACGAATCACGGTGCCGGCTTCCGGTTTGCCTTCGCCCGATGTTGTTATGCAGCCGCTGCCAGGCATCGAAGCGCACATCCGATACCTTAAGCGTCTATGTCAACATCATAAACGCGACCACGAAAAAAAAACTTTGACGTTATTAATATACTATCGTAACGGACATGAAAATCGCATTTCCCGGGCAACCCGAATCGTTAAGATGCGGAAAATTTGCGATTTCATGAAATAACAACGTAAAAATATCTGAGGTAGCAACAACGTAACACACATGAAATTTTTATGATTTTGAGCTTGACTTGGCTGAGGTCACGAGATTGCTAGAGATTTTTGAACACTTGTCATATTCAAACGTTCGTTTTGCAAGCAAATGACATCAGAAGCAGCTCTATGATATCATAGACAACTTGAACTTTTGTAACAAATTATGGTATTATTCTTGTGAATAAGTAGCTGACAAAAATTTAAATTCAACGGCTAACTGGTAAACGGTATGTATGTTTAACATGTCGGAAAAGGCAAAGATTGGCTTAAAAAGCTTTTCTGTAGTTATTTTAAGCCCTTAGTTGTTGAATGTCTATTTTAGGCTAATAGAATGGTGTTTTACTTTTTTTGATGACGTTTAAAAAATTTTCTTCTTACTGTTTTTACCTTTTTTCTGAACATGCTCGTCTTTTTCATTGATCTGGTCTTCTGATTACATGGCATTTTCTTCTGTATAGGTTTAACTACCAACTTTAGCTTTGACCAGGTTACGAAAAATTATTAGTATTGTTTTGATCGCATTAACATAACGTTGTTAATTTGAAAGGTTGAATAAGTTGGTTAGAAGCAATAGGTTCTAGTGACCATTTGTGGACTTTATTAGAAAATACGAGCAAAATCGTAATACATAAAGTAAGAAAATCTTGCTATACGTTGTTTATTTGTTACTGCTTTCTAATTGTATTTGTGTACAATTAACTTAAGTGTGTATAGTCGTAATTGTAGGTTTAAAACTAGCATTTTACAAAGCCGTTGCACGTTAAAAGTAGCTGCCGTAGTCTTATGAGGGCTTCATTGCTTTATGGAATTTAGTGATAAAAGTCATCAAAAAGTTCAAGTTTTCTTGATTAAATTGTGTAGAAATTCGAGCTTTTTAATTATGCAAAATCGCCCTTGAAATTACTGTTCGAAAATATTTAATACAAATAAAAGGTCCAAGGAAAAACAATGCTGACGGCTAGATTAGGTTTAATGAAAAAATTAGAAGTTGAGAGAATAGTGCGTGCTGTTCCTTCGTAATCAGTTCCCTTCCACAGCGTTCAGTCCGTAGCCGTTCATCTGGTTGATGGGCATGAAACGCTTGCCAAATCGAATCGGCTCCCTGTACGCCGCGCGTTTGCCGAATCGCACGGGTTCACCGCGGAATTTGGACAAGCGTCGCTCCACGTACATGGGCATCATGTTGTCGTTGTTCTGTGATGCGTAGAAACGTTCCGGCGTCGAGTGGCATAGCTGAAATGGGAGTTCGTATTATTTTTTGATCGTAGGTTAGTTTTTATTGTACGACGAGACTGGAAAATAAGTTTTGATTGTCTGGTGCGTTTATAGATGTTTATAGACGAACTGGCTTTGAAAGGTTAAACAAGATACTTGTACCGATTTTAAGCGTACAATTTGGTCAGCACTTTATGATGAATGGAAAAAGATCCTAATTTTCAAAACAAAGTTTAAAAATAGATTGAAAGTTGTGGTTATTTGAACTTGTTGTTGTCATACGAGCTATGCTAAATCTTATAGTTAGTAAAACAGATTTAAATCAAAATTTTGTCTAAATATCGTCTTAGTTCCTAGAGAAACGAAAAGGTATGGTACACTACGGTTTTCTCTTCACTATAGTACGTTTTCTCTCCACAGTAATGTATGCAAACCTTTAATTAAGATTTTGGTAAACTTCGTAGGAGTTGCTTAATTACATAGCAGAAACTACTCGGTTTCACACAAAAAATTATGTAAAACAACTCATCGGCAAGCGGGTAATTTATTCGTTACCCAAAGTAATTACGTTTTTAACAAGTTAAAAAGTACGAATTTACAATGCAAAAACTTGCTAACAACTGTTTATCTAGACTGTAAACAGAAGACTTATAAAACTACAGGAATGTGAGGTGCAAGAGATAATTATAGATAATACAAGTTAATTTTAATCTAAAAAATAGTGTCCATCAGTAAATTTTGTGGTTAAAATTTTGCATGTTTTCTTTTATAAACTGTAGTAGTTGCTTAAGTTTAAGCTTCAATTAATAAGGACGTTTTAAAGGTTTTTAAAACGTTGTGGTAGGCGTTTTCTAACGTTGTGGTATACGCTTTTGTACTTTTTTATAAAAACCACAGATCATATAGAATCTTAGTGGTACGATAAAATGAAAGCCGAAAGCCCGTAGGGGACGTAAGGCAAACAAATCATTTTTGGTTGACTGGTCTACTGACGCTTCTATTCTAGGTCAAAGGACGTAAGACACGCTTTTTAGTGGGTGTGAAGTTTGAATTTTGCAGAAAAATTGAAAATCAGAGAGCTTGATATTGTTTTTGAGTTTGTTCAAAGTAGAAAATCGATAATGTAAACACAGTGCCTTTACATAAAAATGGTAGAATAAACCTCAAAGAAGATATATAAGATAAACCTCAAACAAGAAGACTTATTTGTAAAATACTACAAAATAAAAAACACTTACTTCCACAAGCATGCAAGCGATCATGATCAGCGGCAGAGAATAGGTCATTGTGCTGTTTTGTACAGTCCCAAAAATTGGTCGTGCCAACTGAAAGAAGGGCTATTTAACGGTCGATCAATGTTTGCCCAACACGAGGTCAAAGACTTAATGAGCGCCCAGTACGACAAAATTTATTTATTCAAGGGACAGTACTATTGAATAGGAACGATTGTTTCAGCACCGGAAGTGCAGTTTTCGCTTAAATCGATGTTTCTGGTGAAAAAAGGCAATAATTGAATAGTTTGAAGCACAAAGCATAATCTTTAAATACTTCAAATCCTTTAAAAATTTGGTTTTGAGTACTGAACAGATTCAAAATTAAAATAAACTAAAGTCAATTTTTATCAATACAGAAGAAAGAAGGTGTTTATAATCAAATAATGCTTATTTTTGCAAATATTTGCCTTATTACAAGAAAAAACGGTAATTATAGGATAAGCTGCGAAACTGTCAATGAAAATAAGACAGTATCTTTAAATATCCACGCATAAGCATTATTTTATAATGCAATATCTTTCAATTTAATGTAAAGAAAACGGCTTGCAATGGTAAAATTAGTAAAATATTCTGTAGTTTTTTAAAACGCAAAGGATACTGTAACTTGTTACGGAATTAAAGGTACTGTAACTCTATACAAAACTAAACAACCTTGGCTTGCATTAAAAATATTCGTGAAAACCATAATCAACTTCCGAAAACCACATGAATTTAAATTATCTTCCGTTCTAATCTGTGTACCGTTCCAACCCAAAACTCATCCGAAGCTAAAACTCAACTTCCGGGAATTTACGGAATTTTAATAATCGGCAGAAGGGCGGCCTCAACGCTGGGCCATGGAGTCAACCCAACGGCCCACGAAGGGGAGGATTCTCAAACAAGGAAAGGCGTTTCTTAATTGGCCCGGAGTGTCATTTGTGATAATCTAACAACCTTTGCGTTTTTTGGGCCCTAAATAGCCCCTTTAACTGGCAAAAGGGGGAGGTTGGTGATGAGGAGGCATAAATGCCCTTGAGGACTATGTATAGCTCTGAAAGTGGTTTAAGACAATTTATAAAAAGTGAATTTTAATAATTATTTATAAAAGAATTACACTAATTTATGGTCAGACTAATCAAATAGGTATTAACAATACATTAAGTAACCGCATGCTCATCAGTATCTATAGTAATGACATGGCAGCTAGTGTTCCGAACTAGTACACTTGTCGTACTAATCGTAGCAACGTGCTAATCAAACTATTACAAATGATATAATGAGTGTTTACATAGTAGATTATGGCTTTTTCTAGAATTGTGACAAAAGTTTAGGCTGAAGATAGACGTATATTAAACTTTAGTTGTAACAAAGATCAATATATTGTTTATTAATAGTACCAAAGATTAATAAGTCAAATTTTTTACGCTGCTTTGATGACACAAAATTGAAAAATGTACAAAAAAATTGTATTGAAACCGAAAATAATTTTAAAAAATAAGTTACATTGTAAAATTTGAAAAACCTACTACTGCTGCAGAAATTAATCAAGGCTAGAGCCCTAATTGACACAAATAAATATTTGCAAAGGTTTATGTATACGTTGTTTACCTTGTTTACTGTGAGCTTGGAAAACCGACTAATTTGATAAATGACTGTTGATTTGTTTGCAAAACGGAACTTTTGAGTTGTTAGGCTGTTAAGTAGTCAAATTTTGGCTTTTTTGAGGAATCAAAAAGCAGATTTAAGATTGAGCACTTATATGTGTTCTGAGTAAACTTTTATCATTTGCTTGGCTTTAAAAATAATAATTTTTTAGGATTGTTTTTGATTTTGTTCTAAAGGGACCCAAAAGTTTTGAATTTCAGTAGCAAGTAAAATTTTTTAATTGAAATACTTTAAAATGTTATATTTGAATTTTTGGTTGTCAAAAACAGTTAAAAGGATCTAATTTTGATCTTCGGTTTTAACAAAGTTTAGTCTTGAATATACGAGTCAATTTTATGTCATAATTCTAGAAAAAGTCATAGTTTACTGTGAAAACACTCATTATATTATTTATAATAGTTTGATTAGCACGTTTCTAGTATAACAAACGTATTACTCATAAACATTATGGTGACACAAAACCTAATTATAATTTACAAAACTATGGTGAAGATGCTGAATTTATAAACGAAAGTGCATATGTCAACTTATAAAAATAAAATTGATACAAACATAGGAAACGTCAAAAATGATATAGAAATTAAGATAAATACGTCAAATGAAATTTTAAACACTAAATTGGATAACCAACCTACAATAATAACATGCAAAACGTCAATAACAAAATTTGTAAAAGCTTTTATGACAAACACCACCTAGTACAGGCTGCTCGATGCTATAGTACGCCGAATAGTACGGAGAACGCTTTATTAGCGCCGACCATGGCGTATTGTAAACAGAGTAATTTAAAGCCCACTTGATATTTGAGTCAGAAATTACGCAAAAATACTTTATGTGGTTGTAGGATCGTCTGCGTCCGGGTCGAATGTTACTGGTGGATACGGTAGAAGGCAAGATTGAAGAGGATGCGGATTTCAAGTCGAGGATCTGCAGCTCGCGGCCCTTCAAACAGTTGACCCACAATCGAGTTTACTTGGATCAGCTGAGGAAGAATGATGTGGTAGGTTTTTGGAATTTTGATTTTGGGAATGTAAAGGGAGGGGGGTGAGGGGAGGTCAAAAAAATTATGAGGGGAAGGGAGTGGGAAAATTTTTTTTCGGCATGTGTAAGGCTTGTCCCGACCATACCTATTAGAAAAAGCTAATATATCTTGTTCAGCTCAACCACGGTTCAATCACCAACGAATTCTTGATCAAAAAGACCTTGGACAAGACCAAAGTCATCGAATATGCGGGCCGAAAAAAGCAGGACACAAGACTGGACCAAGACAGACGTCTCTCGTTCTTTAGCTACACTCCCGACAGTTTCAGTTTGATTTTGGTACCAATGATTATTGAAAAGTAAGTACTTCGGTAACATTTTTGGAAGATTTGATAAGGCAAAAGAGAAGCCTTGATATATAAAATTTTTAATATTATTGTTTTAATTTCAGAAAAGAAGCCCTAGGATCGATGGGAAATGATGCTGCTTTGGCTTGTATCTCTGACTACTCGCCATTACTCTACAGTTACTTCCAACAACTCTTTGCCCAAGTCACTAACCCTCCAATTGACCCATTCCGAGAGCAGATCGTGATGTCCTTGCGCTGTCCCGTCGGCCCAGAATCCAATCTTCTAGATCCAAGTGTTGAGCTGAAAGGCCGACTCCTTCTCGATCAACCAGTATTGAGCATTGTCGACATGGAAATTGTGAAGCGAACATCGTACAAAGGCTGGCGTTCCACCGTGATCGATATCTGTTACCCCGTTAGACACGGACCTCAAGGATTGATGCCCGCTTTAGACCGGATCTGCTCTGAAGCCTGTGCTGCTGCTTTAGATGGATTCCAGATCATTATCTTATCTGATCGACTTGTCAACAAAGACAGTATACCAGTCAGTGCACTCTTGGCGTTGGGCGCAGTTCATCAATGTCTGATCAAGCAAAGATTGAGAATGAATGTAAGTTGAAAAATGGTTTCGATATCTTAAAATGTTTTTTTAAATTTTTGGTAAGATGCTGATTTTTTAGGTAACACTTTGATTTTTTTTAAATATAGGTAATATTATACATTTTAATCGTTTTTTGACGAAAAATTTTAATTTATGGTGTTTTAGGTAGCCTTGTTTGTGGAATCTGGAGAAGTGAAACAAGTTCATGACTTTTGCGTTCTACTCGGTTACGGAGCTGACGCGATTTGCCCATACCTGGTCTTCGAAACGTGCCACAGGTTGAGAAATATGGGATTAATCGAAAAGAGCCTGACTGATGATGAAGTAAGTTATTTAAATTTGATTTTAAATTTTAAAATGATGCTTAAAATTCTTTTTTTTAAAATTTTTAGTTTATCATTTTTTGTCTCTTTTTAAATTTTTTATTATTATAGGTCTTCCAAGGCTACAAAGCCGGAATCGAGCGTGGAATCTTCAAGGTAATGGCAAAGATGGGCATTTCAACTCTCCACTCTTACAAAGGCGCCCAAATCTTCGAAATTGTTGGATTGGCTACCGAAGTGGTCGATCGATGCTTCACCAATTCGGTCTCACGCCTCGGTGGAGCTACCTTTGATATTCTGGCTCAAGAAGCACTACGACGTCATCGAATCGCCTACCCAATCACTGGCCAAAACAGTGGAGACTTGTACCTATACGGTGACAGTAAAGTCCTCGTCAGTCCAGGTGTCTATCATTGGCGTCACGGTGGAGAGAAGCACATCAACGAACCCAACAACGTGGCCAAACTTCAAGCTGCTTCAAGACTTAACGACAAGAAGCTTTTCCACGAATTTTCTCAGGCTTCTAACTTGGCTCAACGTCTGTGCACGCTCAGAGGTCAACTAGAAGTGAAGACGAATGAAACTCTACAGATTCCACTCGAAGACGTGGAGCCGGCTTCGGAAATTGTCAAAAGATTTGTCACTGGAGCCATGTCATTCGGTAGCATCTCGTGGGAAGCTCATACAACATTGGCAGTGGCAATGAACAGAATTGGAGCCAAATCGAACACTGGAGAAGGTGGTGAGAAGCCGGAGCGGTACGCTAAAGGACAGCCGAAAGACCGGAACATTCGATCGGCTATTAAGCAAGTAGCATCAGCTAGGTTTGGAGTTAACAGTTCGTATTTGGCCAACGCTGACGAGCTTCAAATCAAGATGGCACAAGGAGCGAAGCCGGGAGAAGGAGGAGAACTTCCAGGTAAGTAGAAAAGACTATGCTTTATGAACTTTAATTTGTTTTTCAAGTTTGTAAATCATAAATCTAGATATACTAATAAAAAAGTTTAAAAACATTATTTTAGGTCACAAAGTAAGCAAAGACATTGCGGCAACCCGCAAATCGACCGCTGGTGTCGGTCTGATCTCTCCACCACCCCACCATGACATTTACAGTATCGAAGACTTGGCTCAACTCATCTACGATCTAAAATGCTCGAATCCAAAAGCCCGAGTATCAGTCAAACTCGTGAGTGAAGCCGGTGTAGGTATCGTGGCAGCTGGTGTAGCTAAGGGAAACGCCGATCACATTACTGTATCAGGACACGATGGAGGCACTGGAGCCTCATCTTGGACCGGAATCAAACATGCTGGCTTACCCTGGGAGCTCGGAGTCTCGGAAACTCATCAAGTCTTAACCATGAACAACTTGAGGTCAAGAATCGTCCTTCAAGCTGATGGTCAAATTCGAACTGGCCGTGATGTCATTATTGCAGCTCTACTGGGAGCCGATGAATTTGGCATGTCGACCGCACCACTGATTGTACTCGGATGTACAATGATGAGAAAATGTCATTTGAACACCTGCCCAGTAGGTATCGCCACTCAAGACCCAGTCTTGAGAGCCAAATTCGCTGGTCAACCCGAACATGTTGTCAACTTCATGTTCATGGTAGCCGAAGAAGTGCGATATTTCCTATCAAAACTTGGTTTGAAGAGCCTCAGCGAAGCCGTCGGTCGTGTGGATCTCCTCTACGCTTCGCCAAATCCAGTCAACAAAAAGGCTACACAGTTGGAGTTCTCACAAATCTTAACCAACGCCAGGTTACTGTACCCAGAAGTGTGCATCAAAGGAGGATCCGTTAAACAGTATCACGAAATCAACGGCCTTGAACAAAAAATTCTGAAGGAGCTGGACGGATTCTTCGATTCAGAAGATGCTGTCAAGAAGGTTCACGATGATGTGATCCGCAACATTGATCGTACGTTTGGCGCTAGAATCAGTTACGAAGTTTCAATTCGTCACGGCGAGAAAGGTCTTCCAGATGGCAAGGAAATTGAAGTCAATCTCAAAGGACACGCTGGCCAAAGCTTCTGCGCCTTCTTGGCCAAGGGAATCACTGTGAAACTGGAAGGAGATGCGAATGACTACGTTGGCAAGTGCTTGTCAGGTGGAAAGATTGTTATCAGACCACCAAAAGCCGCCAAGTACCCTTCAGAAGACAACACAGTTATCGGTAATGTCGCCTTGTACGGTGCGACATCAGGCAAAGTGTTCTTCCGTGGAGTTGGAGGAGAACGATTTGCGGTGAGGAATTCGGGAGCCACGGCCGTGATTGAAGGCGTTGGTGATCACGGATGCGAATACATGACTGGAGGAGTGGTGGTGATTCTGAAGGACATTGGACGAAATTTCGCTGCCGCTATGAGTGGCGGTATTGCTTATGTTTTTAACAAGTAAGGTTATTAAAAAAAGGGTTTGGGTTTGAAACGGCATGGTTTTCTTTTAAAGGCTTTGGTTTTATCATAATTAAAATTATGTTCACTTATAACTTTAGAGACGGAGAGGTTGCCAACTACATGAACAAGGCCACCATCGACATTGATCCACCAACGGTTGAAGACCTGGAAGAAGTCAAAAAGCTGATTCAAGAATTTGTCGACGAAACCGAATCCACACTCGGCCAACAGATCTTGGACTCTTGGAAGGAATCGGCCGCACGATTTGTCAAGGTCTTCCCCAAAGACTTCAAACGTGCTCTGGCTGAACAACAGAAGGAATCAGTGGAGAAGGCGGAGATTCCGAAGAGAGATGATTCTACGGTATCTCTTGATGTAAGTTTTGGTTGATTTTTTGGTTTTGGGGTAGTTTAGGTAATTTTTTTAATTTTAGGGTAAATTTTGCTTTTTCACCAAGTCTGGGTATTATTTTTTAGACTTTTTAGGTAATATTTTGAATTTTTTGGAAGTTTAGGTAACAATATATGGGTTTCTTTTTTCAATTCTCTATGGTTCCGCTTCAATTGTAACGTTATTGTAATTTGTGCCAATGTTTAGGAGCTACGTCCTCAACCACGAAGCCTTCGTGCTCTCTCCATGGACATGCAGATCGCTCCAGAAGACGAGAAAGTGGATAAAAAGACCAGGAGAAAGCGAAGTGTCAGTTTTAGATAGATTTTTTTTTCGATTTTACGTTGTTGTAGATTTTTTTTGTCACTTTTAATTGTTACAACTATTTATAGAGCTTTTAATGTTTTATATTGTTGTTGTAAAACTTTTTATAACAAGATTTGTCATATGTTGATGTTTTTTGTTAATAAGACAACGTTTGTCATTGATTTATTACCTAATTTTAGATCATTCAACAACGTCGGCGAAAATACTCAAAGTCCATGCAAGTTCAAGACTTTGCTGGCTTCGAAGGCACGGTTGATATTCAAGAAGCTGATGCCGAGAACGAGGACATTGAACTAGAAAACCAATCAGACGATGAATCCGTCAGCTCGATCGAGAATGACAAACCCATGAATACGTCGGACGACATTGAGAACATTATCAACATTATCAAAAACAACGAGGAAAATTTGGACAAAACCCGAGGATTCGTCAAGTATCAACGCCAAAAGAAAATCTACCGTGCTCCGGAAGAACGTCTGAAAGATTGGAACGAAGTGACGGATTACCAATCTATCAGATCGAACATTCGAGAACAAGCGGCACGCTGCATGGATTGTGGTATACCATTCTGTCAAGGCAACACTGGTTGTCCTCTGGGCAATATCATCCCCAAATGGAACGACTACGTGTTCAAGAAGAATTGGCGTCAAGCCTTGGAACAACTCCTTCAAACCAACAACTTCCCCGAATTTACCGGTCGAGTTTGTCCAGCGCCATGTGAAGGCGCTTGCTGTGTCGGCATCAACGCACCAGCCGTAACCATCAAGAACATTGAGTGTGCCATTATTGACTACGCCTTCCTTCAGAAATGGATTACTCCTCAACTTCCAGTAGCCAGAACTGGCAAAAGAATTGCCGTGATTGGCAGTGGGCCGTCTGGATTAGCGGCCGCTGCTCAACTGAACAAGGCCGGACATGCCGTAGTCGTGTACGAAAGAAAGAACCGTGTAGGTGGCTTGCTACGTTACGGAATTCCACAAATGAAGCTGGACAAGTACATTCTGGACAGAAGAGTCAAACTCATGGAGGACGAGGGAATCAGATTCATCACGAACGCTGAAATTGGCAAAGATGTGCCGGCTGACCTGCTGCTGAAGGAGAACGATGCCATCGTGATTTGCACCGGTTCTACCACGGCCAGAGACCTGAAGATTCCAGGCCGCGAAGCCAAAGGCATTCACTTTGCCATCGAGTACCTGGAGAGAAGTCAGAGGATTCGTGCTGGTGACGATCTTCAATGGGACGGCTTGAACCCAGAGGGCAAGAGAGTGATTGTGTTGGGTGGGGGAGATACGGCCACGGATTGTATTGGAACATCGTTGAGATTGGTAGGTTAAACATGGACTTTAAGTTAAAAAAATTTTTCTGACTTGTATGAATATTGTTACCTAAAATTTTTGTTTTAGAATGCCAAGTCGGTCAACGCTTTTGAAATTCTCCCACGCCCATCTGACGTCCGAAAACCGGAAAACCCATGGCCACAGTGGCCACTCATCTTCAGGCTAGATTACGGACACGACGAAGCCCGATCCTTGACTGGCGAAGACCCAAGAGTGTACGGTATTTCGACCAAAGTAAGTATTTAACTACAAATGTGATTGGGTGGGGTTTGGGAGTTTTAGTTTTTACTTGATCGTATTTCAGGAATTCATTACGAAAGAGAACGACAAGGGAGAGACCGTACTATGTGGCTTGAAGACCACCAAGGTCGAGTGGGAGAAGATGGAATCGGGTCAATGGAAGATGCACGAAGTCCCCGACAGTGAAGTTGTCTACGAAGCCGATATGGTCATCTTGGCTATGGGATTCGTTGGACCCGAAAGGGCCGTCATCGACCAGTTGAAGCTCGAACCGGACGCCAGGAGCAACATCAAGACACCACATGAGAAATACAACACCAACACGGACAAGATCTTTGCAGCTGGTGACTGTAGACGAGGCCAAAGTCTGGTGGTATGGGCTATTCACGAAGGAAGACAGGCGGCTCGGCAGGTCGATCATTATTTGATGGGGAAGACTAACTTGGCCGGACCTGGAGGTATTGTTTTGGCTCCGATGAACTGAGCTTACGTTATGGTTTGTCAGTGGCTAAGTTTTTTGGTTCTGTTGTGTCTTCATGAATAAGGCAATGTGATGGTGGTAGACAGATCTTTGGATTGCACCATACGGCTAATATTATTTTTTACGCATGTTATTAGGGTCTAAGCTTTGGTTTTTCGATTAGTAGGCTAATATTATTTTTAATTTTTTAACTTTATTTTGTATACTATATTTTTTCTTATATTCATACCTTGTTTATAATACGTACATTTTTGTGAATTGTAGTACCTAGAATAGTGTAGTTTCTTGTAATCAGACCATATTTTTTAACATTTTTATATTTTTATGATTTACTTTTACAATTTTATATTGTACAACTTTACATTTTTAATAATTTTATAAAATATATTATTAATAAATTATAAAAAGGTTGGTTGATTTGATGTAAAATACAACATAATTTAAATAATTAAGGTGTGAGGGGGATGGTGAGGTTTTGGTGAAGACTGTCAGAGCAATTCATTGTTGCTGTATAATCCATTGTATAACAGATGTTTCCAATCGGACATTTTACACGTGATTCTGTTTCTCGAGCTACCCAGTTCTCTAGAGTCCAGAGCAGTTTTAAAGAACTACTGTTAGTAAATTGACCATTGAGATTCAACTAGTTTTGACAAAAAATGAAACTTTCGAAAGTAAATATTAATTTTTTATTTTCATTTGTTACTTTTACATTGTATTCGTTGCGGTCGATTTAGGAACGTTTTTTATCTGTGTTTTGTTACTGTGATCTCCTACGGTTACGGTTTTTGATATATTTCTGTGATCTACTGTTACATTCTATAAAGATCAATTTTGGAAAAGAAGTTGCCAACTGAACATAAAGCGGTACGGAGTTGAGATAAATTAGTACCAACTTGGGATAAACCAGTACCAACTTTAGACGAAAAGTTTAATGGATTTGGATGTAAGTTTTATTGATCAACTTTAAAATTACTTATTTTTAGCTCATCGTACTTTATTTTGCTGTATGCTACACTATAATATCCCTTCTGCATCTGGGCGTATCATGTGTTACTTTAATATACCATGAGATTGTATTTGCTATAGTCATGGTAGTTCTATCCGTGTTAGTGGTACTAGCTAATCGTTGGAAGAATTCAATAATGTATGTTGTCTTTATGGTCGCTAATGTAAGTTTATTTTGAGTTGGAAAGGAAGTTTTTGCCATTTTTTGTTTTGTAAAGAAATTTCTTGCCGTTTTTTGGTTTGTAAACAATGTTTTTGCCATTTTGAAGACTACACTGAAATCTTAATATATTTTCAGGCGCTTGACACTATTGCCAACATGATACTACTGGGACTGCGAGTACATGTCGTCATAAAAGGAACGGCTCCCAATACATACGTCGTATATGGAGTGATAACAGTGAAAATACTGATGATTTTAATCCAAATACTAGTTCAGCCATTCGCCGCGAAATTGTGTTGGAGAATACATAAATTCGAAAGCGCATTCTAAAGCTCAAGTATTATATACAACATGTGTTAGATAATAAATTATATAAAATGTGACATTATACTTAGTAAAATTTTAAAAAATTGAAATTTAAGTAGATAGGTCATTATAGCTCAGTTTTATCAATAGATCTAACACCTATTTTGAAATTATTGTTTTTTAAAGAATCGTAGTATAAAACCGCTTTGCAACCTGCGTAAACTCTGGGCGCAAATCGGCGCCAAAAAATATTCTTTTTCAGAGTGCATGATCGTTTATAAATCTGTCTATCGGAAACGATTAATTTGCGTTGTATAGTAATTGTTTTTTGTACTCTGAACTGTGTTTTTTACATCTTTTTGGGTTGCTTGACTTTGTTTGACATATTTTTCTTTTTTTTTTACGAAGACGGCCAAATTCTGTGATTTTCTTGAGATTTTGGTCTTTTTTCAGGATATTTTCTCGCTTTTCTTATGTTCCCAACTGTTTTATGGATGGGATAGACGGTTGTGGTTGTAGTATAGACGTTTTGCTATTAGTACAATTGTGTACGACGGGTTTTGTTCAACAAAAATGGTCGGAAAATGGAAAAACGAAGAGTCGGAGGAGGAAATTAATGGTAAGTCCACATTTTTCTTACGATTTTTCAATTTTTAGATGATGCCGAGACAGCGAGTGCCATTATGGAGAGCTGCGCGGGGTTTTACAGTTCATACGAGTGCAAAGAGGTGTTGGGGCATGGGATTGCGTCTACAGTCCGGCGATGCATCGAAAAATCCACGGGTCAAACGTTTGCGGTCAAAATTGTGGATATAAGTACGGAGCGTCAGAATGAAATGGAAGCTAAGAGGTTGGCGGAGGAGACACTATCTGAGATTTCATTGTTGCGTCAGTTGGCGGGGCATCCATCAATTAGTAAGTTGATTGTTTGGAGGATGTTATTATTCTTTACAATTTATATCTAATTTTTCAGTATTGATCCACGACTTCTTCTCCACACCAACCTTTCTGTTTGCCATCTTTGAAGTAGCTCCAGGAGGGGAATTATTTCACTTACTTAACAAAATGGTAACGTTTAGTGAAAAGAAGACGCGACAGGTCATGAAACAACTATTTGATGGAGTTTCATTTATGCATAGCAAAAGCATTGTCCACAGGGATCTGAAGGTAAGCTTTTGGCGTTTTTTAATTCTGTTTTAATGTTTAGTTGCCTTTGATGCAATGATAACGTAAAGTTTTAATTTTTAGCTAGAAAATATATTGTGCATTGATGACCATCGTGTCTGTATTAGTGACTTTGGATTTGCCAAGCATTTAATGCCAGGAGAGCGATTAAAAGGTAACATTTAAATTCATTTTTAGGTAATAAACAATGACTAAACCTTTTATCACGCTTTCATTGGGAGGATTAATTTTTTTGTTATCTAAAAACACGAAATTTTTGTGTTTCTTGACGTCCTGAGGCCTTTTAAATCTATTTTTGACCATAATATCAAAGATAATAATAAAAAATTAAATTTTTAGATCTGTTCGGCACGCCAGGGTACCTAGCTCCGGAAACGTTACGATGCCAGATGTATGAGAATGCTGAAGGATATAGTTTGGAAGTAGACAACTGGGCTCTAGGAGTAATAATGTACACTTTGCTGGCTGGTCATGCTCCGTTTTACCATCGTCAACAGCTGAGAATGATGCGACTGATCCAGGAGGGAAAGTTCGAATTCGGAAAAGATATCTGGGACAGTGTTAGTCAAGATGCTAAGGATTTGGTATGTTCATTATGGGGGTCTCTAAGCGCAAAAACTTTGTTTACAGCGATTTGTATTTAAATTTTTGGATTTTTAGGGATTTTTTTTGGAAAAGATTAAAAGCTGTCATTACTGGTTGTTACCTAAAGTCTGCATTTCTTGATAACCCTTTAGAACACTAAAAACCTTGCTTTTAGATCCGTTCCATGCTAACAGTCGACGTGCCATTACGAATAACGGCAAAAGAGTGCCTGGAGCATCAATGGATGAAGGCGGCCGATGTGGTACCGATGCGGAAGAAGTCGCTACCTCCACCGACGGCTCCGGTAATGGTACCAAAACGATCTCAAGCCGAGCTACGGTCTCTGTTCCGCGTTTCGCAGTTGGCGGTCCGATTCACATGGCGTATCGGCAACTTGAGACGACTAAAACAAGGTCTGGATCGGTGGGAGCTGCGGAAGCGGCCGTACCGGAACACCGAGGTATGTCTTTGGGAAATTTTTTTTCACCTCCTCTCCCTTTCCACCATGAATTTTAAAAAATAATAGAACTTGCCCCGCCTCCCCCTTCTGGAAGATATGTTTAGAAGGCTCCTCTAATCTTGTATATACCACTACTTTTCAGGTCCGACACGAAGCCGAAGCAGCGGCATTCGCCGTGTTTGGCCACTGGGTGAGCCGGGGCTTCCACTACTCGCGTGATATGTTGTTCGCTAACCGCCCACGACCACCACACAAAAAAGCCTTAGGGGGCTCCAAGAGCCCATGACACTGTACAATGTAAATAATCTTTATTTAGATATGTAATACAATTAGACTGGATATAACATCGGGTTGAATGTTCGAAAATGTTGTTCTATACGGACTATGTTAAATTACGGTAACGGGGAATTATTTAGCTTTTGATTTATGGTTTTTTGGTGCTAAACGAGCTAAATTGTACTGTAAAGCTTATACAATGACTAAATACTTTAAAGATCATAGAATAACTAAAAAAGCAAAAAATAATAATCGTAAATACTGATGAAATATGACTAGATATGACAATATCCTTAAATAACACCAAAATAATTTAAAATATTTCTGAAGGATCGCAATATATATATATAATATAAAGCTATATATTACTGTTATAAATTTTCAAATCGTACTATGTAGTACGGTTTCAATTTCAAGATATGGCACAAGCAATACTTAAGTGTACCAGGACAAACAAGTCGAAAATATGTTATGAAGGGTATGTCAAAACAACAATAACAATATGTAAAAATACTCAAAGATACGATCGAAAATACATTACACTATAATTACTAAGAATAAATATTGGTATACACTATAATTACTAGGGAGGGATAAACTTTTTCTATGATACGATAAAATGGTCCAAGCGGCTTTATGGTACCATTTACTGGCCGAAACCGCTTTATAATAGTACCATTTTGGTCTAAGTGGCTTGTTACTACTATTTACTGTTTCAAATCGCTTTATATTACCAATTATTGGTCCAAAGCGGCTTCAAAAGTCGAATGACTAACCAGATCTTGTAGAAACTTGACCTTCTCTCTGGCACTGTCAATTAATGCCGGAATATCGTGCTTTTCTGCCATTTCTAAAAACGTTTGATGTAAAATACGATTTGTTATAATAAATTAAATTAATAAAGAAGGTTCTTTCTGTTTTCTATTGGCTTTTTGCTTGAAAACGGCAAGAACTTTCTTTATCGCATAAAACATGGCTATTTTAAAGGTACTTGCTCGAAGGTGTTTGTTGTTTTTATTTTGTTTGTTGTTTTTATTTAGAAAACGGCAAGAACTTTCTTTAAAATACCTTCTTTGGTGTTAACAACATTTATTTATATCATTTATTCATAAATAAATGTTGTTAATAACAAACAAGGTATTATAAAGAAAGTTCTTGCCGTTTCAGAATGAAACAAGGAAAACCCCTTCATTATCGCTGTTTAAGTTTAACCTTTACTCACAAAACAGCTTACCATTGAAGAACTTGATAACATCGGTGAATTCCATGTTGTTCTCCAACAAAATCTGGCGATAGTTTGTGAGCATCGACAGCGCGAAAAACAGTTGAAAATGGGAGGAAACCGTATGTTCGGCCGCCCAAATCACTTCCCAAACTTTGAAAACGTCGTCGTATTTCATTTCTAAATAAAAAATGATTATTTACAAAAAAATGGCAAAAACTTTCTTTACAAAACTAAAAATGGCAAGAACTTTCTTTACAAAACAGAAAATGGCAAAAACTTCCTTCACTGATTACAAAATGGCAAAAACTTCTTTCTGTCAATTTTTTAAATCGGCTTTTTTACCCCCCCCCCCTAGCTATAATGCATCCCTAATAATGAACTTACCTCTCTTAAAGTCTAGCAAAAACCATCGGTAAGCAAAATACAGATGAGTATAGTCATTGTCATTCATGAATTGCTGATAAAGCTCTGTATCCATTACTTGTACTATCGTCCTTAGGTTGACCAGGTTACTTTCGATAGCATTTCCTTGAGAATGGGGAAAGTTGACTTTCATTTTTTCCATTAAAACTTCGAAACATTCGAGGGTGAGAGATTCTGAAATTTTTAAAATTTAATTTTGGGCTTCATAGGGGTTGAAAAATGGCAATAACTTTCTGTACAGAGCGCGAAATTGCATGAGCTTTTTTTAAAAACTAAAAAATTGCAAAAACTTTCTTTACAAAGCAAAAAATGACAATAACTTTCTTTACAACTCAAAAATGTATAAAATTTTACCATTTTGAAAGATAACCAGTAATGGTGCAGCAATATCACACATTCCTTGAACATAACCATCATCTAAATGGTCCCAAACATACGTACACATCACGGTCTTCAACTTCTCCAAATTATCTTTATTCGAAAAGAACGATGTGTGCCGATCGCAACGTTCCACATCTTTTTCGATTCTATGCAAATTTGTGCCAAATTCGTCGATTATGTTCTGAAAATGTTTAGATTTACTGGGTGCCATAGCTTAATTTTCTTCAACCTTAGGGTATGGTAGAAAAAAGTATCGGGGGATAGGGTAGGGTCTTAGGACAAGACAGAGTAGGGTGGGGCAGACTTACTTCAGTTTTTGATTTCTGGCACGGTTCCAGAAAGACATCACTGCTCATTGACTTCTCTCTCGCCCATTTCCCATTTTCATTGTGGTCGACTTCGCTATTTTGACGCATTCTGGCTGTAATTTAAATTTTTTAAACATTTTTAAAATTTTTATGACGGAAAAGTTCGGCGAAAAAAAAATTAAAGAACCGTCCCCCTCCCCCACCCATTTTTACCCCGCCCATTAAAAAATAATCAAAAATGGTCAACCCTACCATTCTCGAACTGTTCACAGTCACGTTTCACCACTTCTTTTTCTATTTCCTTCCATTTTTCGACCTTTCTATCATAACTTTCTTTCCATTTGTCGCTGAAAAACCCGATGTCATCTTTCCACGATACTAGATTCAGAAGGTAGGGCCAGGTTTTACATCGTATGTCGGGTTGAATACCGTTTAGATAGGTGCGGATCCAAAACTCTTTTTTGAGGTCTAACTGAAAATGGCATTTGGTGAAAAAGCGGCAGAAACTTTGTTTACAAAAGGCTAAATAGCAAGGATTTTGTTTACAGTATAAAAAAGGGCAAGGACTTTTTTCATAAAACAAAAAATGGCAAGAACTTCCCTTACAAAAAGGAAAATGGCAAAAATTTTCTTTACAAAACGTGAAATGGCAAAAACTTTCTTTACGAAACAAAAAATGGCAAGCACTTTCTTTACAAACCAAAAAATGGCATAAACTTTCTTTTCACTTACGCTTTTTTCTTTCCGGCACCGTTGCCAAAACTCTCGGTCGACTATTTTGTTCTCGAAATTACTCTCTTCTAACTTGACATTGTTTATGGTACAAGCTAGATGAGTTCGCACTGTTTTCATATGTTTACAGTACGATAGCCAACCATAGAAGGCTCGTGATAGGATCTGCCGGCGGACTGTTTCACAAGCGTCTAGTAGGCTTTCTCTGGAATGATTTTGGACTTTTAAAAATTTTTTTTGAAATTTTAAAATTATTTTTAGAATTTTTCGACCAGACAAAAAGTTTTGTCGTTTTTTACTATATAAACCAATGTAAATCGACGACACGACTTTTTTAGGGCACTATCAATATAAAATTTGTTCAAATCTTGTGTTTATAAGGGGAAAAAACAAAATTGAATATAAAAACTCACTTTTCAATTGAACTATGTTGTTCTAGAGATGCTTCTTTAGCTCGGGCTAGTGCTGGAGCCTTAAGGTCCCGGCTTCGGACTGACGATGATGAAGCTCGTTTTTTTGTACACGCCGGGGAGTTAGGCAAGGAGTTACTGAAATTTGATGATTTGTAAAGAAAGTTCTTGCCATTTTTTGTTTTGTAAAGAAAGTTCTTGCCATTTTTTTGGTTTGTAAAGAAAGTTATTGCCATTTTTTGTTTCTAAAGAAAGTTTTTGCCACTTTGTATTCTGTAAACAAATTTCTTGCCATTTCTTGTTTTGTAAAGAAAGTTCTTGCTATTTTTTGGTTTGCAAAAAAAGTTCTTGCCATTTTTTCTAAATTTCAAAAACATTTTAAAATTTCAATAAAAACTGCCATACCTATGAGATCGGAAGCCGTTTTGGCTGACAAAATCGTTGAGAACGTTGTTTCTTAGTGGCACGGTAGCGGGCGTGGACGAATTTGATGATTCATCTTTAATCCGCCTAATCCTGAAAACATAATCGTGACATTCCAAGTTCTCGTCGGTCGAGCTTTCGCTGGCACGACGGAAAAAGCTTGATTTTCGCTTGACTTGAGGGAGGGCTTTTCCTGAAAAATTTTGAATTTTATATTTTAGGCTTAAAATTAAGCATTTAGGCTTAAAAATATAGCTTGAAGGCTTAAAATCAGGCCTTGTGGCTTAAAAATTTAGTCTGAAGACTTGAAATTAAAACTTTAGGCTTAAAAGGTAGAGGTTGAAAGCTTAAAATTAAGTTTTTAGGCTTAAAGATATAAGATGAAAGCCTAAAATTGAGTTTTTTGTCAACACCTACCTTTCCCAGGCTCAAACCACAACGGAGGATCTAACCGTGAGCTGGGTGATAGAGCACTTTCAAGACACGCCAAGAACTGTACACAATGTTGACCAGGTGGGAACGAAAACGGCCGATGTTGAACACCCTCGGCATCCACCAGGACTAGTGAGATTGGCTGTTGGGGACCTGGAATGGCAATGAGATTAAGAATTTTAAATTTATAAAGTCTTGTCGTCACTTTGCACTATATGGAACGGCAGAAAACGACAAGACTTTTTAGCGGTCGATTTTTTAAAAATTAAAATTTTTTAAATTTCTGAACTTGAATACAGTAAGTGGAAAATACCTTGTGAATGAAGATGGATATAAATAATGTCGTTCATGTTAATCATGATAGTATGCCGCCATAAGCGACTGCTGTCACCGTTCTCCACTGGTGGTGTATCCGTACTAGTTTGAGACCTAAAAGTGTTTAAATATTATTCTACACTACCCTAAGCTACCGTACCCCGAACTGCCCTACCCTACCCTACCCTACCCTACCCTACCCTACCCTACCCTACCCTACCCTACCCTACCCTACTCTACCCTACCCTACCCTACCCTACCCTACCCTACCCTACTCTACCCTACCCTACCCTACCCCACCCTACCCTACCCTGCCCTACCCTACCCTAAGCTACCCCAAACTGCCCTACCTTACACTATTGTGCCAGACCCTACTGCCCACTAAAACTCATCAACGTTACCCATTGTCCATTAACTGATTGGGCATCCATTTCAGTACGATGGCCTTCCTGTGCTCCTGATGAAGAGACAGGTATCCCTTCAATGTGTCTGATCCATCCGAACTCGTCACGCTGACATTGTTTTTGCCATAAATTAATGATGAGCGGAAATTTTGATGCAATGATGACACGCAATTCCGACTCAACGAATAAGCGGCCACACTTTGCACATCGACCGACCTTATCACACTACTGCCTCTTTTGAATACCTGGAAGTGGGAAAGCTTAAACAGAGTAAAAAGCTAGCTAGATATGAAAAAAGTTGATGTTTTAGGTTTAAAATTGATGAATTAGACTTTTAGGTTTAAAAAATAACGAATTAAGTTTAAAAATGAGTTTTAAGCTTAAAAATGAGCTGCAGGGTTAAAAATGAGTTTTCGGCTTAAAAATGAGTCCTAGGCTTAAAAAAGAGTCTTAAAAATGAGTTTTAGGCTTAAAAATGAGCTTTAGGCTTAAAAATGAGTTTTAGGTTTAAAAATTAAAGTTTTGTGCTTAACCAATTCATCAGGGTTAGCAGTAATTATGTACGCTTCAAACTCATAAGTTAGGCTTAGCAGTTATTAAGTAAGCTTAAAATTGACTTTAAGTCCTAAAACTGTTTTTCAAGAATAAGCATGAAACTCAGGCTTATAAAATGGCTTTTAAGGTTTAAAACTCTTTTTTTAGGCTTAAGGTCACGTTTTAGGCTTAAAACCGTTTTTTGTAAACTTAAGATTAAATTTTTATTTCAAAAATAAATTATTAGGCTTAAACATAACCTGTTGAGTTTGAAAATATATATTTATGTTTAATACCAACTTTTTAAATTTAAAAATTTTTAAAAACGTTTTTAAGCCTGAATTTGCAAAGCTAAAAACTTTTGTTTTTCAAATGTCCCTTCTGGACCATTAGTATTCTCTTTCGGCTTCATTACAAACAAAAACGCAGAAAACAAATTCAAAAAAACTTACAGTCAGTGGCGGCTTGGTTGGCTTTGGACTGGTCAATGAGGAAGTTGAGGTTAGGCGAAACCGTTGGACCAACTCATCGGCCGTCGGATCTCGATAACCGTTTTCCATTTGGACTTATCGGGCATCAAACTCCACCATAGGGGGTTTTGATGCTAAAACAAGGTATTAAGTTTAGAAAAACGGCAAAAATCGAAAAAAATATGCAAACAGCAATGTATCCTACCCTACCCTACCCTACTTTACCCTACCCTAACCTACCCTACCCTACCCTACCCTACCCTACCCTACCCTACCCTACCCTACCCTACCCTACCCTACCCTACCCTACCCTACCCTACCCTACCCTACCCCTACCCCTACCCTACCCTACCCTACCCTACCCTACCCTACTCCCCAACCCTACCCTACTCTACCCTACCCTACCCTACCCTACCCCTACCCTACCCTACCCTACCCTACCCTAACCTACCCTACCCTACCCTACCCTACCCTACCCTACCCTACCTACCCTACCCTACCCTACCCTACCCTACCCTAACCTACCCTACCCTACCCTACCCTACCTTACCCTACCCTACCCTACCATAACTTGTTCAGCGTTATCCTTCCCTACTATACGGTGCCTTGTTCTCTTTTATGATACCCGATCTTACAATACAAAATCAACCAAAATAAAGTATGTTCGATGTTATCTAATTTGAATAATGACTACCTTTACACAAGCCCAAATCTACATATCTTGGCCACATCCTAGCATATTTTAACCATACTTTTGCTTTCTCCTAGCCTTTCTTTAGCCGACCCATACAAGCAAGAAGTTTTACAAAGCGCGTTATCAATGAAAAATCAACCGAAATTTACGAGATATTACCTAATTTTAATGATATAAGTAGATAGCCTTAGAGAAATTGCAAGAAATGGTATTACGCAACGTTTTGTTATGTAATATTTTTAAAATTTATAATACTTGCCTCGATGTAAAACGACCCAACAAATGACTGCGAGTGCTGGGATCTTGCTCCAAATTTCAGCGGGGGTTGTCGTAACCTACTCTACCAAGCCTTATTTTACTAAATCTAGATCTACTAAACCTAAGCTTACTAAGCATAAATTCACTAAGCGTAAGTCTGCTAAGCCCTTTTGTTCTGTCTTTACTAAGCCTATGACTACTAACCCTAAACCGATTATGCTTAAGCCATAAGCCTACCAAGGAAAATTGAAAAAGTAAATAATTTCAATTAAAGTCGCACTGTAACTGTTTACAGTGACATTTCAATTGCGCGACCCTTTAACCATTTGAGTATTGGTTTAATTAAGCCCTGCGGGCATTTCCCAAAAAAATTCATTTTTGACACACTTTCTCATGGTTTCCCCACTCTTTTTAAGGCTTCCATATTACACTGAGATAACAGAAATTGGCTTTTGAAGGTGCTGCAATAGATATGACAAAAAAATTGTTTACACGACTGAAAATGGCAAAAACTTTCTTTACAAAGCTAAAAATGGCAAAAAATTTTTTTACAAAACGTAAAATTGCAAGAACTTTCTTTACAAAACGTAAAATGGCAAGAACTTTCTTTACAGAAGAAGAAATTGCAAGAACTTTCTTTACAAAACAAGGAATGGCAAGAACTTTCTTTACAAATCGAAAAATGGCAAGAACTTTCTTTACAGAAAAAGAAATGGTAAGACCATTCTTTGAAAAGCATAAAATGGCAAGAACTTTCTTTACAAAGAAAAAAATAGTTTGAAGAATGTCAAATTTAATAAGCTTTCTTGCCTATACCTCCACCCCTTTACTCTTCACCCATGTTCCTCCCCCCCCCTCCCCCCCCTTACCTCTAACTCTTAACCAGACCTTACTTTTACCCCCTCCTTGCTCTTCCATCCCCTACCCTCCTATCCCTTGCCAATCGCCCGCAGGCACACCGAAATAAGCCAAAATAAGTCCTCAATACAAACACGAAGTAAGTCCTTGAGAGAGCGCGGCAGCCGGAGGCCTGCCTTTGGCAGTTTTGAGCCAAAAAAAGGGGCGCGGCCCAATCGATTAACTGTTTATTAACGGGCTCTTATCAACGCCACCCCGAATTATTAATACCTCCCCCCCCCCTCCTTCTTTTGTGGCCTTGGAGGATTTTTAATGTCTTTGTGGAGATTTGTTTGGTTTTGGAACTTTTAAAAAATGTTGGTTCTGATTTGTGCCGGGAGGGCTATACATCTAATAAAACAGGGTAGGGCAGGGTCGGGTAGGTTAAAAGAATCACAGTAAGGCTGGCTAAAGAAAGAAGTATGACAAAGATAAGGCAAAACCAAGACTAACATAGGAGTAGAGAAAGGCGTAAAGAACAGTAGTAGTACAAAGGAGGGTAAGGCATGATAAAGTAAGGTAGAGAAAGGAAGGGTAAGTTGGTGTAGGTTAGGGTAAGTTAAGGTACAATAGAAAAGGATAAGATAAGAATAGGGTAGAGTAGAGCAGGTTAGAGTAGAATATTGTAGAGTAGGGTGAGGCAAAGTAGGATAGAGCAGGGTAGGGTAGAGTAGGGTATGGTAATTAGGGTAGCTTTAAGCATGCTTTATATAAGTTACATTATACACTATATTTTTTTTGTTTTTTTTGTATGCTTTCTTTTGAAGTCTTTTCATTGGGTGTACACCTCAAGATTTAGGTCTTTGCAATGGCATTCATATAAAGAGCGTATGTTTTACGCACGCGACTTCTTTTTCACGCAGATACCTCATTATACCAAATGTCATGCGGTGTTTTTTTGCCATTTTTAGCGTTACGCGTTATTTACTTTTTGTTTTTTTGGCACAGTAAGTAGTAGAATTTGTTGAAAAATAGATTTTTTTCTATTTGTTGTATTTTAAAGTTTATTTTTTTTGTATTTAAAACTATTTTTTGTTTTTTTAAGTTTATTCATTTACTTTTTTACCACAAATTTTGGCAACCCCAGTTCCTTTCTACAAATCTACCAAGCCGCAAAAAGCCTCGAGAACACGGGCCTTAAAAGCGGTGGGCTCTTTTTTTCTCGCCCTAACAGCCCAGCTGCTTACTCTTCTTCTCCCCTTCCCCCCCCTTCCAGTCGAAAACATAGGGCCCGTTCCTTCCGCCATTGTTTTCCGCCTTATATTCTCGACTTTTTGCAATTAAAACTTAATCAACTTAGGGCAAAGGGGTACAAGCCTTCTTTCAGCTTTTTGCGGAGAAACGGAAGGGTGGAAGAAGGCGGAGGGGTAAAGAAAGAAAGGGGATGGGTTTTTGTAAAAAGCACCATGTGATTTTAAAGGCAGTAGAAAAAGAGTAAACATATGATTCTCCGCTGAATTCCGCTCGTTTTGCGTACTTTTTTAAAGACAAAACAGTGGCTTACAGCAAGGAAAATGATTTTTTTTTGTTTTTAACGTTCAGATTTAAGTTATCTAAAGTGTTTGGCAGCTAAATTAAAAAACACTGTTTTTTAACTATTAGGTCTTTTAAAGTCATTGTTTATTTATAACTCTAGCCTTAAAATTCAAATCGTATTTTATAAAATTTGGTATCGTATTTTAAATTTTGCAAAGTAAACTTTTATATCGTATTTTACATATCAAAAAATTTTTAAAAAAATCATGTTATATCTTTAAAATTTTAGTTGATGGCCGACGAGATTGACGTTCTAGACACCGAATCCCCCCTTGACAATCAGCTGCCATGTTGCAGCTACCGAGTACACGAGCCTATTGTTATACGAGGTGTTGGACGACTTACTATGTAAGCTTTTATAATATTTTTTAATTTAGTGCTTTACTATAGACGTATTGTAACTTTGGCATGTTTATTCTACTCTAGCCTACCCTACCCAGTCTACCGTACCCTACCCTAACCCTTTCCCTACTCTAGCTTTAAAAAATTTTACTACGTCATCTTTCACTACAATATTAACCATAAACATTGTTTCAGGTTCGGGTTGAGTTCCCAGTTTGACGCCGACTTTCCGACCGCATTGACCGGTCGGTTGGCACCAGAAGAACTCCGTGACACAATGCAACGAATCAATTATGTTTTGCAAAAGAAAATGCACTCCCATATCTGCTGGCTGGTTTGCGGAGTCATGTTTTGTTGTTGTACATTGGGCTGCTCGTTTTGGCCGCTCATTTGCATGAGTCGTAGGGTGGGTTTTAGAACAAGTTTAAAAATCCATTTTTTTCAAAAAATATAGAAATTTTGAAATTTTCAGACAATTTTTGCGTTGGAAAAAGCATTGGATTATGAAAACCAACAGCTTTACAACCGCCTAGGCCTGCATTGGCGTTTGGCCAGAAAACCGGTCGAACACAGCTCTCGACTCACCGAATATGTACTTTTACTCGAGACCCTACCCAAAATGCCCTTAATGTTACCGGATTAACCATTTTTTTCATAATGGCGTTACTATTGAATTTAAAATCTATTTTTTTAAAAAATTTTTTAATCATTTATTATCACTACTTCATGTATCGAACAATTTTTTCCACCTCCCCCTTCTCTCCATAACCAAAAGCCCGATCCAGCTAAATTACCTTACTTTTTTTAGTATCTTCTACAAGATACATCCAATTTTGTCATTTTTCAATATTTTTATAGTATTCGTCACCTGTTTGTACAATAGTTTACATTTTCACCTAACTTTTTGTCTTTCCCTTTTCCCATTATTACCAAATGTAATATATCATATTAGAAAAAGCATCGGAATCTCTCCTCAACTCCCCTAAATCTTTTATACGAGTACCCCATGTCTCAGGTTGCTTTCTGATCGTTTTTTAAAATTAATGTTGATTTAATAAATAAAAACAATAAAAAGAACAAACAATTATTCGGATTTGGTCGTGTTTTGCTGCATTACTGCGCTGGTTAACACTTCTAGTTTCTTAAAGTCGGCTGTCGTGGATACCACGTACTGTATACACGTTCGGTCATTCGTAATTTTAACTTGGATCTTTCCGTCTTTTTGAACGGGTTTGAGCACCAATCTGAAAAAGAAAAGTTTTATAAGGATCAGAGACAATATAAAGCAGAAAACAACCAAAAAAACTAAAAGCAAATACACTTTATAATATTGAAAAACCTGGTAAATGAGTATTTCCACAACTAACTAGTTGTGGTCGTTTTCTAAGTAATTTTTAGCCTGTATTACGTTAACAACAAAAAATGGATAAAGTGAGACAAAAATGACACAAAATAAATTTAAACTGCTAACATAACATATGAACATAGACCCAAGTCCACTACTCCTTTACCTCGAAAACTCGCCTCAAGACATAATAAACATGTATCTAACTACATTACTTTTAATTATTCAAACAACGACATTAAAACCAATCGTTTGACCAAATGACATTTTAATAACTGATGCCAGGATGGAAAAGGAGCTGTAACTTAATCAAAAAGCAATCAATCGTGCCAAAATTCAGCTTGAATGTAAACTTCAACTCTACCTTAACTAATGTAAAGTAAATTTCTTTTATATAAACTTTAAAGCATACCAAAAGAATTTTTATATTATCCATTGCAATAAAAAATCAAAATTTTTATAAAAAAATTTTAGCTAACTGAAAAATCAATGGATTACCCAAGACTACAATATATACTAAAGACAAAATTTTTTTCTAAATTTTAAGACAAATATAGCGTATGTTAAAATTCTAATCAATTAAAAACATGTTACACTACTGATGTTCACCTTCTGTGCCAAATTCCCTAAAAAATAAACAAAAACAATAAAATCCTTACCTGTATTTGTCGGGACTAGCATTTAAAATCGTCTTTGCATCTTTGCTGAAGGCATCAAAGTTGTCGTAAGTACCAGATTTGATAGTTTCCGTCATTGCACTCCAAATTCCTGAGTTTGCTCAAGTTAAAAATAGAAAAATTTACAAATTTTCTATAATTTGAACTAGAAAAAAAAACCAATTTATGGCACAGATATTAAACAATATTTTTAGCACGACAATAAACGTCCAAACAAGGTATTGCAGTCGAAGAAGCCCAAGCGAAAATATTTTCGGAACACGTATATATTAAAAAGACGAAATGCAACTATTGACTTGACAAAAAATTATTTTCGGACGGAGTTTTTGGTAGAAAGTCTGTCGTATTTTACAAAATAGCAATAAATAAACATTTGTTTATCATTTTTAAATAATGTTTCACAAATTTTTAAGAGTTAAACAAATTTTCGATGTATAATATTATATTATCCATGCCAATAAGTCGTTTTTCGTCAATAACAAGGCTTTCTGTGTGCTGTTATTATAAATGCTTTTGGTCAAAGGTTGTTTATAATTCACTTTATTCAAAGCAAATTTCATATAGTGATTAATTAAAGCCCGCACCATCTGAGCATGTTATTTGTGGAAAGTGGCCCGAGGCGCTCTTTCGCGCTGTTCCCCCGGATTCGGCCGGCTTCGAGGGCAAAAAACGGGGCCGGCGGCTGAAAAAAAAGCCAGAGAACGAGAAGAGGGCCAGTACGCCGCTGAAGCATGGGCCAAGGTTGACGTTATTGCCTCCAACTCAGCACCAGGATCTCGTTTCGTCGTGCGCGAGGGTCCAGTCGGTTTTCGGGCCGGATTCCATCAAGGATTGGCGTGGAAGGGGTTGGATTTTGCTGGAAATCATCGTCCAGAGAGTGTACTACAATATAATATCGATTTCTATCAGTTTGGACTAAGATTTGATAGTTTTTTAACTGGATTACAGGAAGATACACCAATTTTTCGGCCGAAAATTTGATTTTTTCAACAATTTTTCAAGATGGGAGACAAAGTTATTCTAACTGAAGTGCTTGAAGCCTCTCACCTGACTGATACCTATTCGAATTTGACTGCCAAGAGCATCATCAAGCAGTAAGTTTTTAAAAAAAATTAAAAACTATTTTTGAAATTATACCATTTCTTATATTATTCATGTTCCTTTTTTTCGTTCTTTTTTCAGTTTGAAAGGACTTGTTTACTGTCTAGTATCTTTTCAGTATTACGAAAATGCCGTTATTTTGTAGCCATTTGAATAGTAAATTGGATACGTTGTTATTTATACACTGTACTATAGTTAACGGCGCATTACAAAGTGTTTTCACGGTACAGGCGCAAGTGTTTGCACTGTGCAGGCGCAAATTTTTGCACGGTGCAGGCGCAAATTGCGTTTCTTTTTTAATTGATCATGTTACAGTAATTCAATCAAAAAGGTGTCAATTACAAAAATGTTTGGCATAGTTTATAGTGTTGTTTTGCAAAAGTTAAAGATTTTTAAAAATTTTTAGTTTCGAAATTATGAAAAAATTGAAATTTTTAACGGCTGAATTTTGAATTCGCTATGTTACAGTAATCTAACCAAAAATTCGTCAATTACAAAAATGAACGGAATGATAAAAAACGTAGATTCAAAAGTTTTTGCGCTTTTCTGTCATCAAGTTTTGTCATATAATTTTTTTTTCTTGTCTTACTTCACCAATTTTCAGACTCCGAACCGGCGGAGACGAACCAGGCCAGTCCGTTCGCTATGAAGGCCTTGATGGTGATATGCTGGAGATCCGAGAGCCGGAAGATGCGCAGGAAGCAGAGTCGTCCAACATTCAAAATGATTCGTTTACCATCGACGAAGCGGTTGAATTCTTGGGTTTTGGCAAGTTCCAACTGACCTTGTCTTTCTTGACTGGGTTGGCGTGGATGGCGGACGCTATGGAGATGATGATTCTGTCGATCTTGGCACCGGCTTTGTATTGTGAATGGCAAATTTCGGCGGTTGAACAGGCCATGATCACGACTTGTGTGTTCAGTGGAATGATGTTGTCATCGACGGTTTGGGGCAAGATTTGCGACCGGTTTGGGAGGCGGACTGTGAGTTTGTTTCTTTCTTGATAAAATTTTTGTTTAAGAATTCAAAAATATTTGAAAAAATTTTAAAAATTATTTTTTAGGGTTTGATGTGTTCAGCCTTGCTGACCTTTTCAATGGGAGCTTTGAGCTCAGTAGCTCCCAACTTCCACACACTTTTGTTTTTCCGTGGACTGACTGGAATTGGCATTGGTGGAGTTCCACAGTCGTAAGTTTTTTTTTAATTTTGGTTTTAAATTAAAAAAAAGCATTTTTAATTTTTTAAGGCAGAGTAAGACAAGGTAAGATAAGATAAAGCAGAATAGTAGTGCAGAGTAGAGCAAGCCCAGAGATATGGCAGGTTCAATGAAGTATGTTAGGATAGAATAGGGTAGGGTAGAGTAGGGTAGGGTAGGGTAGGGTAGGGCAGGGTAGGGTAGGGTAGGGTAGGGTAGGGTAGGGCAGGGCAGGGTAGGGTAGGGTAGGGTAGGGTAGGGTAGGGTAGGGTAGGGTAGGGTACGGTACGGTACGGTACGGTACGGTAGAGTAGGGTAGTGTAGGGTAGTGTAGGGTAGGGTAGGGTAGAGTAGGGTAGGGTAGGGTAGGGTAGGGTAGGGTAGGGTAGGGTAGGGTAGGGTAGGGTAGGGTAGGGCAGGGGTAGGGTAGGGTAGGGTAGGGTAGGGTAGGGTAGGGTAGGGTAGGGTAGGGTAGGGTAGGGTAGGGTAGGGTAGGGTACGGTACGGTACGGTACGGTACGGTACGGTACGGTAGAGTAGGGTAGTGTAGGGTAGGGTAGAGTAGGGTAGGGTAGGGTAGGGCAGGGTAGGGTAGGGCAGGGCAGGGCAGGGTAGGGTAGGGTAGGGTAGGGTAGGGTAGGGTAGGGTAGGGTAGGGTAGGGTACGGTACGGTACGGTAGAGTAGGGCAGTGTAGGGTAGGGTAGGGTAAGGTAAGTTAACTCTTAATAGGGCAGATTTTAAATTTTTCAGTGTAACTCTGTACGCCGAGTTTTTGCCGTTAGCACAACGTGCCAAATGCGTCGTTCTGATCGAGTCGTTTTGGGCAGTTGGAGCTGCATTCGAAGCCATTTTGGCACTATTTATCATGCAAACCTTGGGCTGGAGATGGTTGTTGTTGTTCAGCTCGTTGCCATTGCTTTTCTTCGCCATTTGTTGTTTTGTGAGTTTTTAAATTTGAAAAAATTTCGAAATTAAAAAAATTTTTTTTTTAATTTTTAAAAATTTTCAAAAATTTTAAAATTTTGAGTTTTTTATATTATAATATCAATTTTAATGTTGTTGTTTTGGTTTCAGTGGCTTCCTGAAAGCGCACGATATTTAATGGCCTCAGGCAAAACGGAAGAAGCTTATCAGATTCTGGCCAAAGTCGCCAAACACAACGGAAAAATGTTGCCGGCGGGGAAGCTGGTCGAGAACGTCAATCATAATGTAAGTGGATGATGAGGGGGTTATAAATTTGAGTATGAGATGCTAAGGGTAATTTTGGAAATGGCATTTGGCTTTAAAAGATTTAAAAATTAGGTTTAAAATTGAAAAAAGTAGGTAAGGTCATATCTAATCTGGCTTTAGCTTGCCCTGCCTTGTCTTGTCCTTGTCTTGCCTTGTCTTGTCTTGCCTTGCCTTGCCTTGCCTTGCCTTGCCTTGCCTTGCCTTGCCTTGCCTTGCCTTGCCTTGGCTGGGCTGGGCTGGGCTGGGGGGCTGGGCTGGGCTGGGCTTGGCTTGGCTTGGATTGCCTTGGCTTGGTTAGGCTTGTCCCGCTTTGGTTTGGCTTGGTTTGGCTTCGCTCGGCTTGGCTTGGTTTGGCTTAGTTTGCATTGCCTTCTCTCTGTCTGGTCTCTGCTTTGCTTCTGCCCTGCCCTGCTCTATTCTTTCTACTCACTCTACCCTATCTTATTCTACCCTATCGTACGCTACCCTACCCTACCTTACTCTATCCTCACTACAGCCTAGCTTAACATTTTCTAAAACTTCCCTTTCCAGCCAGCCCACCGTGGTAACATAGCCAATCTTTTCGTTGACGAACTCTTCAAAACCACCATTCTACTATGGTTTATATGGGCAGTGAATGCCTTCAGTTACTACGGCGTTGTCCTTTTCACCACCGTTCTATTTCAATCGACCGACGAGTGTCACGGTGGTGGGACGATGAATGCGACCACGGTGGCTGAGATTGGTTGTCGGCCGTTGACTCAAAAGGATTATATTGATCTGTTGTCTACTACAATGTCCGAGTTCCCTGGACTGATCATCACGGCCGTCATTATCGAGAGTTTGGGCCGAAAGAAGACGATGGCTGTGGAGTTTGGGGTGTACAGTGTGTTCATGTTTCTACTGTTCTTCTGTTGGGAACGGTAGGCATTTTTCAGTTTTTTGCCATTTAGGATGACGTATTTTCTATAAATAAAAAAAAATTTTTAGCCACTGGGTCACAGCCTTCATTTTCATTGCCCGAGCCTTTATCTCCGGCGCTTTTCAATGTGTCTACGTCTACACTCCAGAAGTCTACCCCACCACGCTACGAGCCATTGGCTTGGGAGCGTCGAGCTCCATGGCTCGGTTAGGCGCAATTATAACACCATTTGTGGCACAGGTGGCATCTGGACATTCGCTTTACATTCCGATCGCTATCTATTCCAGCACCGCCTTATTGGGGGTAATCGCCGCTATGGCACTGCCAATTGAGACTAAGGGACGAAAAATGCAGGTGAGCATTCTGACCTAATCGATACTACTTTGCATTAACCTACTCTACCGTACCGTATCCTACCCTACCCTATCCTACCATGCTGTTAGCCCTACTTTACCCTACCCTACCATGCTGTTAGCCCTATCCCTAGCTCTACCACTACTCCTATTCTTACCAGTCAAACTTTATCATAGCCAAGCCCTATCCAAATCTAGTCATACTCTAGTCATGTCCTAGAATTTTCTTAACCGTGCTCTTCCTTTAACCCTGTTTTAGCCAACTCATGCAATTAATTTTACAAAAAAACATTACCATCGAAAAAAGGAAAAATCGACCGTAATTTAGGGGGGGGGGCATTACCTAATTTTAATAATATAACTAGATAGCCTTAGAGAAATTGCAAGAAGTGGTATTGCGCAACGTTTTCTTATGTAATATTTTTTAATTTTATAATATTTGCCTCGATGTAAAACGACCCAACAAATGACTGCGAGTGCTGGGATCTTGCTCTGTTTCTGCGATGGATTACTCTACCCTACTCTATTCGACCCTATCTTAACGTTACCTTCATACTTCTCTATCTGTACTCACACCTGCTACCTAGACCTTTAAAATAACTTGGTTTTTTACCGTGCCATTCTTACCCTACTATTCCTACCCTACCCTATCCAAATTCGAAGTCTTACTTCAAACCATAAAAATTTCAATTCCAGGACAGTTAAATCCGAACCCGGCTAGAGAGAGAAGTAGTATTCATATCTAAAGAGATCGCAGTCAAGTGGACAACTTATATTATTTATTCTATTGTAAATCGTATATAATAAACAAACAGGGCATGCAATTACTATGTACTCGCTTTTTGTTATTCGCTTGCAAAAAACAAAAGACTGGCCTTGTATAATATGTGTCGAAAGAGAGGGGGGGGTGATTTTTTTTAAAAAAACAGTAGGGAAGCAAAAGGGAGGGGGGGGGGATCATCAAGCATTTTTTTTTTAAATTTGAAGGAAGGACTAGGGGTAGGTTAGGCTGTTGTTGGTGTTAGGATAGGACAAGGCTAAAACTGAAGATGGGATGGAAACGGGAATAACGAATCTTAGACATTTTGGATTAAAGGCCGATCGGCCTGATCAGATAAGGAATCTTTGTCCCTGGGAAAGATTCCGCATTTGACAAGAATAGGGCTAGCTTGGATTGAGGCTGGGCAAGACAGGGCTAATGTTAGGTGCTAGAACCTGTTTGGGCTGAAGCTAGGGCCAAACCCCAGACTAAGCGAACGGTTAGTTTTAGATTGAGCTAAGTTTAAGGCTGGGTTAGGTTAGACAAAGCTGGTGCTTATGTTTGGGCTATAATTAGGAATAGGGCGCTGAACTAAAACTACGGTTGGGCTAGGGCTATGGGCTAGGGCTCTGGGCTAGGGCTTTGGGCTAGGGCTCTGAGCTAGGGCTCTGGGCTAGGGCTAGGGCTAGGGCTCTGGGCTAGGGCTCTGGGCTAGGGCTCTGGGCTAGGGCTCTGGGCTAGGGCTCTGGGCTAGGGCTCTGGGCCAAAGATACGGTTAGGCTACGGTTTTTTACAGTAAAGTTGACATTTTTTACTTTTCTATTTACTTTTTGACCACTCAACCTTATTAAAACCTTATAAACAACCACTTTGCAAGCTTGTTGTCCTACTTCTTATAACCCACTTTTATGCAAATTCAAACGCCGCCTTTCATAAAGCCTGGCACATCTGTCTATTTGACTCTTCTCTTTTTCCACAATCCTCCCCCCTCTCTTGTCACATGAAGCCTTATAAGAAAATTTGTCTAATTTCTGGGTGTCTTCTTTCTTCCTCGTTTACAGTGACACCTACTCGTGCTCAATGTTTCATAGTTTTTTGCTATTTTAGGTGCATGTAAAGCTTTTTAAAACTAGTTTTTTATAATTTGAAGGTTAGTTAGTACTTAAAAGAGTTTAAAAAAGTGTTGTTGTTTTTTAACATTAAAATCAATGTAAATTGGCGACAAATCTTTTTTTGAGGTTTTGCTACGTTTGCTACCTTATTTTTCTTAAACATAACTTATATATATTGGTCGGGCAAGGCAATTTCTTAGTTTGTCTTGGCGCGGGCAGTAGAGGAGGAAGGTAGGGTAAGAAAAGGAGGGGGGGGTCAAAAAAATTAAAAAAAAATTTTTTTTTAAGTTTTAACTGGCAATCTCGTTAAACGTAAAATTTTTTTTAAAAATTTCCCCCCCCCCCTTATAACAAAAAAATTTTAAAAAACTTTCGGAAGAAATTTTTTTATCATTTCCAGAACAAAACTTGCTCGTGGCTGATAAAAACACAATGTTTAAAGCCGCCCGTTCGTATTGGAGATTACGCGTGTTCGAAGAGAATTTTTACAATTTGATCTTTATTTCAAAACTTTTTGAATTTTTGCATTTTGGAAGTTTTTATAAAGTTAGTAGAGGAAGGGGTATGATATCATATGGAAGAGTAGGGTTAGAAAAGATAATGGTGGGGGTAAAAGTGGGTATATGGTATGGCATAGAAAAAGCAGATTGAGTAGGGTAGAGTAAGATAGGGTGAGCTACGGTAAGGTAGGGTATGAGAGGACAAGGAAGGTTAAGGTAGGGTAGGGTAGGGTCGGGTAGGGTAGGGTAGGGTAGGGTAGAGTAGGGTAGTGTAGGGTAGGGTAGGGTAGGATAGGGTAGGGTAGGGTAGGGTAGGGTAGGGTAGGGTAGGGTAGGGTAGGGTAGGGTAGGGTAGGGTAGGGTAGGGTAGGGTAGGGTAGGGGTAGGGTAGGGTAGGGTAGGGTAGGGTAGGGTAGGGTAGGGTAGGGTAGGGTAGGGTAGGGTAGGGTAGGGTAGGGTATGGTAGGGTAGGGTAGGGTAGGGTATAGTAATGTAGAGTGCAGTTGTGTAGGCCAAGTATTGATACAGACGTGAGCTGCAATTTGAAGCTTTTTAAAGTTTTTACTCTTAAGCTATGTTTAGTTTAAAATAAAGGCTATAAAAAGCTAGAAGTCTAAAGAGAGACTCTATAACACCAAAAAAGTATACTTTTTCAAAATTTATATGACTATTATACAGTTTTTTATCGATTGTTGCAAAGAATCCGCGCTTTCTCCGCTTTTTCTCCAGCTCGGTCAGCTGTTTTGCCCTTTGCTTTCCGACGAAACTCTCTTTTCTCCATTCCTGTTCTTCCCCCTCCCCTTCAACCCGAAACTCTCGTGTGCGAAAAAGGGGGGTAATTTTTGCAGAAACCCGAGGGTCTAGCGGATTCATAATTCTTGGGAGAAAACGGCGGACTTGGCTTAATTAAGCTCCGGGAAGCCAAGTACGGATTCTGGGGGGGGGGGGGGAAAGAGCAAGATTTTTCAAGGTTAAGATGATTTTTAAATTGAGCAATGTTTATGTTAAGTTATGTGTATTTTGTGAAGAGTTGGGTCGTTTTAGAGATGTTTTTAGTAGCTTTTTTAAGGTTTGGCTTGTATTGAGAGCGACAGAGAAGAAACATTGATTTATACTTTATTTTTGCTACAAGCAGGGTAGTAGGTAACTCGATTATAAGCCTAAGGGTTTAGAGGTAAAGGGGGTGTTTACGTACATCAAGTTGGAGACGAAAGTGGAAGTCAACACCACAAAAGAAGATACAAAAATGCTTTTTTTTAACTTTAAAGAGTGTTTGGCTCTAAAGTCTAGCCTTAGGTTTAGCCTTAGCCTTAGTCCTAGCCTTAGCCTTAGCCTTAGCCTTAGCCTTAACCTTAGCCCTAGCCCGTAGCATTAGATCCAGCCCTAGAAACCTAAAATTAATCAGAACTTGCCCTTGTATCAGCGTGAACTCTGTCATATGGCTTAAAACATTTATCACCCTGCATAGATATCACATCTGAGCGCCGCACATAGCACATGTGAATCCCGCAATGATAGCCTATTTTAGCTTACGCAAAAACATATGCCGAATTGGAGGGCTCGCACCGGGTCGACGGTCCCCTCGAAGGCTCAGCTGACCGGTTATTTTGAGAAAAAAAAGGGAAAATTGTTGTTTTTACGCGAGTTTTGCGACCAAAGCGATAAATATTTGCCGCGGTGTTTGCTTAATTTTATCGTAAATATTGTAGCTTTTGGGTTTTTCAACTGTTATCGAACGTATGTTGAGATTGGAACTCTTGAATAAGGCGTGGGGTTCAAAATTTGTTTTTTATGCACGAGTTTTTGGTACTGAGGAGTTTTAAATGCAATGTATGGTAAAATACGGGGGTGTTAAGGTGTTTTTGTTATATACGAGTTTGTTATACAAGAGTTGCACTGTATTTATTATGTTTTTGGTTATCGACAGCTTAGCTACTTAGCACGTGTTTTATTATTGTTTGGTTTTACTCGTGTACGTATATCTTATATAGCAGCTCGGCTCAGTGTTTTTTGTAAATCTTTTAATTTTTTGTTTTTAGGTACGGTTCGTGCGAGCCGTCTTCAACCGGTCGAGCTTTACTGTTTGGTTGAAAGGTTTATACGTTAAAACAATAATAACTGGGAAGATATACAATCATTTACTGAAAGTCTTTACCTGATTGGCTTATACGTCGTATTTTACCAATCCGAGCTTTGAGTGACGTGTACTACTATAAGAATTTTTGTCACAAAGCATCTATCAGTTATAACAACATAAAACCAGCAAAACTGATTTAAATGGGTCTACAGAAGAAAGCTGAGAAATGGGTTCAGGCGCTCGGATTGCCACGAGATCCATGTTTTTGGGCTAATGGTGATTCTGCTCCGCTAAAGGAGTTGTTTGCCAAGTTGTTATCAGTTGAAGCGCTTAAAAACACTGACGAGCTTAATATTGAAGACCCTGTTCCTTTTGAAAAGGTGAGACGGTCCTTGAGTACGGTTTTGGAGTACAAGGTTGTTTAGAAGCTTTTAGCTTTAGGGATTTAGAAGCTTTTTTGTTTAGTGACTTAGAAGCTTTGACCTCTAGTGACTCTTTCTAGGTGTCTTTATAGAAATTCTAACTTTCAGTATCATCTAAAACATCTCAGGTAACATTATAATAACAATATTTTAATTTTAGTTGCTGGCAATTGCTCAAAGCAAACTTGGCGTACACTCAATTCTAGTCGGCGCTGATTTGGCCGGTAATGATGCCAAACTTAAAGTTGGCTTATTTGGCACAGTAATCTTCCTCAAATCGGCCCTGAAAGACTTTAGTCCAGAGTGGGTTTCCGCCCTCCCAACTCCAGATTTTGGCATAGCCGGAGGCGCTTACTCGAACGAACCGATTTGTTTAAAGTGCAACAAGGAGGTGTTGTTTGTGGAGCGAGTGATCGTTGGTGAAAGAGTATGGCATCGCAGATGCATGCATTGTCATCTGTGTGGCAAACGGTTGTTTTTGGGCACGTTCAGGTTGGAGAATGGAAAGTTGGAGTGTTTCGAGCATTTCTTAAACAAAGAGCTTGGAGGGAATGAGTTGGTAAGGTTTTTTGTTAGTTATCTTGTTTTAGGTGGATTTTTTACAGATTTTTTATTTTTTGGCAAGAAAATTTGTAATATATCTTAAACTTCAAAAAAATCTTTCAGCAATCCTTTGAAAACACCAACACCGCCAAACCCCCGCCACCACGCCCTCCACCACCACGTCGCTCGACCGTATCCACTCCATCTCCCAACCCCGATGCTTCACTCAACGCTAGTACGACTGGTACACCTTTGCGTGCGAATACACCGCAAAAGACTCCGGAGCCAAATCGACGAACATCGCTTCAGGTCACGATCCAATCACCGGCGGTCAATAAGAGACTGTCGGTTGCGAATACGCCGGCTTCCGACCAGTCGAATGATAGTAATTGGGAAGTGGTCGAGTATCCCGAACAATTGAATCCTTTTGCTGATGAGGATGAAATGGTAGGGGTTTGAATTTTGTGAAATTTTTGAAATTTAGGTTGAGGTCAATGGTTATGTTAAGGTAGGGTTATAGTAGGGGTTTTGGTTATGGTAGAATAGAGTAGGGTTAAAAAAGGGTTTTCTAGGGTAAGACTAGAGAAAAAAAATCTTCTAGACTAAGCTAGAGCTAGGGTTGTTGTCAAAACGACAAAAGAGACTTAACAACTATCATCCTTAACATCTAAAATAAGATATAACGTTTCGAAAATTACATAATAATTTATAGTTAGCCTTATATTTGAAATCAGCGTAAAACGATGTTTAAGAGGATGTTAAGATTAAGAGAAATCATCAAATAGTCTTTGAGATACAGCTTTTGGTTTTCCGATATTGTTGTAGGTAATCAAACTTTATCAAAGCTATAACTTTCTAAAGACCACAAAATGGATTAGTTATTGATTCTAAATTAATATAAACATAAAATAAGCTTTAATTTGATATAAGGATCAAGCAAAACTGATGACTACTTTGTCAGATACAGCTTTTGGCTTTCCGATATCGTTTTCGTTGACCAAACTAATCTCCAAACCGCAAGACTAAATTAAAACTTAATATACCTAAAATAAGCTTCTTAAATTAATGTCTCTAGACATTATAATAATTTTAAAATTCCAGAGTGACTGTTTGAATCCATTTGGCTACACATCGAGCGAAGACGAGAGTGAAGATGAACATCCAGTTCCAGCGCCAAGAAAGTCAATCGAGTCGGCCATTGAAGAAGCAATAAATGATGATAGCTCTCGGAAAACTTCTAAAGAAGAGTAAGTTTGGTTTATATTAGTAGTTTTTGAATTTTAGGAAGTGTTAGTCGGTTTATAGAGGTGTAAAGAAAGTTATTGCCATTTTTTGTTTTGTAAAGAAAGTTCTTGCAATTTTTTGCTTTGTAAAGAAAGTTCTTGCAATTTTTTGCTTTGTAAAGAAAGTTCTTGCAATTTTTGGTTTTGTAAAGAATGTTCTAGCCAGTTTTTTTGTAAACAAAGTTCTTGCCATTTTTTGTTTTGTAAAGAAAGTTCTTGCTTTTTCTATTAAAACCTGGAATTTCAGACAAATTGAGCCAAAGCCAGAACCAGTGAAGCCCCAAGAACCGGTACCAAAGCCCAAAGAGCCAGAACCAGTGCCAGAAGTAGAAGAAGTTAAACAAGAAGATATCAAGATCTACCCCAATATCCCGGTTGTTAACACCGCCCCCCTGCAAAACAATCTACAAAACTTTTACCTGCCGGCCAGTATTGTTTTGACAAGGAAGCGAATTGACTCTTTCCAATATCAACGACCTGAACTTCAACATGAGTTGGAGAAGGTGATCAAGACTCTTGACTATATTGAACGACATACCGCCATGTTGGAGAGGAACTTGATCAAGGACCTGGGAAAAGGTAGGAAAATGTGTTGTCAGGCTTAGGCTCAGGTCTAGTAGGCTTAGGCACAAGCTTTGTAGGTTTGCGCTTCGTAGGCATAGGTTATGCTTAGTAGGCATAGGCTTAGTAGGCATAGGCTTAATAGGCATAGGCTTAGTAGGCTTAGGCTTAGTAGGCTTAGGATTAGCAGGCTTAGGAATGTTAGGCTAAGTTGGCTTAAGCTTAATAGGCTTAGGCTTAGTAGGCTTAGGCTTAGTAGGCGTAGGTTTAGTAGGCGCAGGCTTAGTAGACTTGGGCTTAGTAGGCTTAGGCTTAGTAGGCTTGGGGTTAGTAAGTTTAGGCTTAGTATGATTAGGTTCAGTAGGCCTAGACTTCGTAAGATTAGCCTCAGTAGGCTTAGGCTTAGTTGGCTTAGGGTTAGTAGACTTAGGCTTAGTAAGCTGAAACTTAGCAGACTTTGGCTTAGCAGGCCTATGTTTAATAGCCTTAAGTTTAGACTTGCTAGGCTCAGCATCAGTAAACGTCAGCTTAGTAGGCTTAGACGGCAATATCTTAGGCTTACGCAAATTCAGATCCAGTACTCTTTTTTTTTCTTGGGCTATTCTTAGAATTAGTAGGCTTATAATTGTTAAGGGTTTGTTTTCCAGAAGGCTTCAAATGGGACAAATCCAACTTTGTCGATGATTGGGGAAGAGCCATGCAGCAACGACACGACAACTTCATTAAAGGCAGCATGCTTGTGCATGAGTAAGTTTTATCATCATTTTTAAAAAAAATATTTAATTTTTTGGTTAACTTAATATTTCTCTAAAATTAAATTCAAATTTCACAAAATAAAAATTGTATTTTAGGTACCTACAACAGTTGACCAACGCTGCATTAGAGAAGATTAAAAAACTGGAGCAGTCCAAAGTTGACAAGTCCAGTTTGAAAAAAGAGCTGACTGAAATGCAGGAGAGGTTGTTCAAGAATAAGAATTGTCTTCCGTTGTGTAAGTTTTCTAAGGCGATGATTAAGCAAATTGTAGCAAGGGTTGATATTGTAGTGGAGTGAGTTTGTTGAGGGGTAAAGAACAGATGCCGTACGGTGAAGTATGGTTAGTGTGGGGCTACTGCAATGAGAAAAAGTAAAAAAGAATGTTTGAGGTAAGGTAAAGGGAAGGCTAGGTAGTGGCTAAGGTTATTAAATAATGCCAGGGTGAGGGTAGAATATAGTATCGTACAGTATAGTATGTATAGCAAAGAGAGTTTTTTTAAATATACTACTCTATTAGTCTGTCGTTAAGGGTGTAGTAGTTTGGTAGGGTGGGATAAGATAGGTAGGAGCAAAATGATGCAGGGTGACGTAATGTAGGGGAGAGCAGGGTAGAACATGGCAGAGTAAGGAAGGTAAGCTAGGGCAATGTAGAATATAGCAGGCTAGTTTAGAGCTACTTGTGTGTAAATTTGTTAATTTTCATCGATTTTAAATTAAAATTTCGAATATTTTAGTGATCGACGAGAACAGTAAGAAGGAGAACATCACTCCGAAACCGCCGAAGGATGAGAAACGCAAGTCCAAGGGTCTAGTCAAGCGGATCAAGAAAGTCTTTTAATCACTGATACTGTATTTCAATTTTATTCTAGTACTTTTACCGTATACCATATATACAGTACTTTTACCGTATACCATATATACAGTACATTTACCGTATACCATATATACAGTACATTTACCGTATACCATATATACAGTACATTTACCGTATACCATATATACAGTACTTTTACCGTATACCATATATACAGTACATTTACCGTATACCATATATACAGTACATTTACCGTATACCATATATACAGTACTTTTACCGTATACCATATATACAGTACATTTACCGTATACCATATATACAGTACTTTTATCGTATACCATATATACAGTACATTTACCGTATATACAGTTCATTTACCGTATACCATATATACAGTACATTTACCGTATACCATATATACAGTACTTTTATCGTATACCATATATACAGTACATTTACCGTATATACAGTTCATTTACCGTATACCATATACACAAGTACCCACAGTCAATTATATCTGCATGTACCACATGTACCACCTTGTAAATATATCTTCTATTCACTGTTTCGGACACGTGTAATGTCACCGCCTTTAAGGGTCCACCATAATGTTAATCTATGTGTCCTTATGTCTCCGAGCCACATGTTCGATCGTTTGTTCGTCTTCCGGTGTGTATCATAATTTATTCCATTTCCTGATTAATATATACTCAACTACACTTAACCCCTCCTCCTAATTATTCCAATAAAAAGTTTTTTACTGTTGCGTTGGGAATGTAATTAAAGTTTACGTTTAGTATTGCATAAGTAAGAGATAATTGGCTTGGGCTTAACTTTAGGCTTAATAAGCTTAGGTTCAGAGTTTCTGTCTGAACCGTTTGGTTTAGACTAATGTTTTGTTCGGACCGAACAGTTAGGGCTAGTTAGCTTAGGCTTAGAAACTTAAAAGTGAGCAGGCTTAGTCTCATAGTTAAGCTTAACATGAATAGGCTTCGGTTTATTTAGCACGTTAAAACGTGGCTTTAAGATTAGTAAGGTAAGGTTAGTAGATTTAGGAAGCTTAGGCTTATAATTGTAATAGTTAGCTAAGGCTTGGTGTACTCAAAGTTAGTCAACTAAAAGTTTATAGATGTAGGCTTATTAAAATTAGGTTTAGGACAGTTAGTATGTCTAGGTTTAGTTTAAAGCCTAGGTTTGGCTTAAATAGAAAGTTTAGAGCGGGGCTAGAGCTCTGGGCTAGGCCTCTAGGCTAGGGTTCCGGACTAAACCTCTAGGCTAGGGCTTTGGGCTACGACTAGGGCTCGGAGTTAAAGCTAAGGCTAAGTAAATTAGTTACTTATAAAGGCAACACTTTACGTGTAGTTTTGAGTGGTTTGGTTTTACTTCCTCTATTTACAAACTCTTGACATCTACAAGTACCACCGAATTCGGCTATAGCAAACAAACGTACAAATTATGGCGTTATCAACAAAATATATTTATAATTATTATAGAAAAGTGGAAAGACTAACTGTATAAAATTAAAAGATATCAGTAAGTTAAGTTTGATATAGCAAGAGAGTAATGTAGGGCATCCTAGCCAAGGTCAAGCAAGGAATACAAAAGGTTTTTTAAAAGTGAAGGTACAATCAAGGTATGACTTGAGCAAAAATAAGGCTGGATTAGAAAGCAACAAGATAAGAAACAGCTTGAGTAAGTTAACTGCTATGACTAGTGTTAAGACAAGACAGAGTACATAATGGTGGGTATGGTAGAGTAAAGCAGAGTTGTGTAGGGTGGGACAAACTAGGACAATACAAGACAAGACAAAAAGGGCAACGCAATTTAAGGTAGGGTAGGGTAGGGTAGGGTAAGGTAGGGTAATGTAGGATAGGGTAGGGTAGGGTAGGGTAGGGTAAAGCTCATTTTATCTATAGTAACCATTTTATTTTTAAAATATTTTTTAATTTAAAAATTGCGAAACATTTTTATTTTTAGCTCTAAAAACCAAAAAAAGAAGAATTTAAGTTAACGTTTTTAAAAAATTAGTCGCAGAGCAGTTCGCATCGATCAAACATTAACTATAACATGTTTTTTTGTATGGTTAATGTTGTCATATCAATTCGAAACTAATAAAACACACGGGGTTAATAATGTTACGACTAATTACTGCAGTTTTGTTTACTGACACATTACTGCATGTAGACAGGTATATATATAAGGGTTTAAATAATGTTAACTATATGTACATAAATAAGGTTAACTGTGTTATTTTAACTAGTAGAAGGTAATGATAACAATGTATTTTTAAATTTTTTGCAAGTTTTTCGGCTCATTTTTCAAATTTTTGTAGTTTTTTGGGAAAAAATAGGTTTTTTAGGGGTTTTGGTTACAGTATGCCTTAGGTGGTAAATATTATGGTACTATAAGGTACAGTTAGTCTATTTCTTGGTTTAATGTTGTTACATTTTTATGTTTATAAGCTAATAAAGTTAGTTTGTTTATGTTAACATAAAGCTATGCAACTTTATCTTCAAACTACAATAACTTTAGTTACAGTATCTCAATTTTCAAATTTTAAAATTTGTATCAAAATTTAGTTCAAGTCTTACCCTTGCTAGCAGTTTTGCATTTTTAGCCTTGTTAGTTTGTCAGTACGAAGCTTAAACCAACACCTAAGTCTAGCTTTAAAGCCTCAGTAGATTAAAAGTTATATAATTTTGGTTACAGTAACCCGATTTTCTAACTTTAAAATTTAGACTAAAGCTTAGGTAGAGCTCTGTCACTAATATTAAATTTACGTTTTTAGGCTAGCTAATGTTGTTGGTACAAAGCCTAAACTAACACTGTCCCCTAGCCTTAAAGTCTCGGTTAATATAAACCGTTATGTATTTGAATACAGTAACTTGATTTTTAAATTTTCGTATTTACGTTAAAGCTTAGTTCAAGTTTTGTCTACATTTGCAATTTTGTGAGGTTAGTCTTGTTAGTTTTGTCAGTACGAAGCCTAAACCAACCCCCACACCATGATTGAAGTATCAAGCCAAGCGTTTTAAAAACTTCATTTTACAGTAACCCTCTAATACAAAAACCAGTCCACAACTTCATATAACACATTATGAAATTCTATGATATTAGCCAAGCGTTCGTGTCGTATCATTCAAAGTTACGTGTGAGTGATGGCGAGTAAACTTTGACTACATTAAGTTTGTTTTTTAATGTTTTTTCGATGAAATTTCCCTGACGTTTTTAATGTTATTTCTAACGTGAAATGACTCAAGAAACTCGCGAAATTTACTTTTTTATTGAGCAAAAGGTCAATTTACAAAAAAATGAAAAGGTACGGCTAAGAGTAACTCAAACCAGTCTGGCCCAGTGGGAAGTCTTCGGTTAGTAATAAGGCATCGAAAAGGAAAGTTGCTTTAAGAAGTCGGCATTCTGGAAAGGTTTCAATGCTTGGGTGAAGTTAGGGCTGTGGTATGGGGAAGGTAAAGGCTTTGATAGAAAGGCGGGGGTATGAATATGTTAGGACTATAGTATGGTGAAGGAAAAGATTATGGCCAGAATACGAGAAAGAGTAGGGTAGAGTAAAGTAGCGAGATAGGGTTAAAGTATGATAAGGTAAAGTAGGATGAGGTAAGATAATATAAGGTACGGTAGAAAATTAGGTAAGAAAGGTTAGGATGGAACATGACAAGGTACTTAACGGTACGGTAAAGTAAAGTAAAGCAGAGTTGGGTAGAGTAGGCTACAGTAGGGTAGAGTAAGATAGCGCATTGTAGGATACTGTAGGATAGGTCATAATACGGTAAAGAAACGGTACGGTACGGTAGCATAGAGTACCGTAGAGTAAGGTAGCGTAAGGTAGGGTAGAGCAGGGTAGGGTAGGGTAGGGTAGGGTAGGGTAGGGTAGGGTAGGGTAGGGTAGGGTAGGGTAGGGTAGGGTAGGGTAGGGTACGGCACAGCATAGTAAGGTACGATACGGTAGCTCAAAAACACTTTCTTACTCAATACATAAACCTTCCCCCACCAAATAAATAAACGCTACCCTGCCTTTTACGTGCCATTAAGAACCAAACAATAACGATAATAAATATGGAGCTGGTTCGAATCTTTGGGTAAACAATTACGGGTATAAAAACAGTTATTTCGGGGGTTATTTACGTGTGATAGCTTGTTAACCTTGTACAAGTACCACTTGAAAGCGGCGGTTGATTACGGGCTATATAAGCGTGGAGCCGCTCGGGTGGGGTAAATTAAGTTTTGATTTGGGGGTTTTGGGTTGGTGGTCGTGATTTTGTTTGCTTGATAGTGTTTTTTAGGCATCTATAAGGATAGTGTGTTACATTTTAAAATGTAAAAAAAAAAGTTTTGTCGTTTTTGTTTAACTAGTAGGATACGGTATGTAAGGTACGGTAGGGCCAGAGTCGGGCGGGGACTTTTGGTCTGGGGGCGGGGTCGAAAAAATCTACAGGAAAGACCATGTTCGACTTTCTTCAAAAAAATTTTTTTTGGTGGGGAGGGGTATTTTTCATAATTAAGTCAAGTAAAAGTGAAGATTTTATCGCACGTTCGTTCATAAATTTTCACTTTCACCGTGCTTCGTTTTTTTGATGTGAGAAGGAAAGGGATTTGAGATCAGGGGAGAGGGGGGGGAGGGAGGGAGGGGAAGAAGGAGAAAGGAGAGGAAGAGTATGGGAGAGAGGGGCACGGAAAGAAACGAAGATGAAAAGGAGGAAGGAAGGGTAAAAAATGAAATTTTTTTTGGAAAATTTACCCCACTCGGAAATTTTTTTGGGAGGGGAAAAAATTTTTTAAAATAATTTTTACTTTGCCCGAAAGGTGTTTTGAAAAAATGTTTAAAAAAATTTTTTTGAAAATTTTACTCCGCCTAAAATTTGTTTTTCAAAATTCACCCCGCCCAATTTTTTTTTATTGTAACGCCTCGTAGACTGTTTTTTGGGGCATTTAAGATTCTCTCACCTCTCTTCTGTACCTTGCTCCCCCCCCTTCATTCTTCACCCCCCTTTCCCCCTTCCCCT